GTATCTATTTCTGGACCAATTCATCACCAAATTTAAATCTGAGACGTAGAATTTCTTCACCACATTGAGATCTGTCGATTATACGTCTCAATTTGCTGCAATTTTGAGTAATGAATATGAAATACTACCTCTGTTTTCGACTATTGCGAGCGGAAATTCAACCACATTGTAAAATCAAGTGTACAGAATCTAAATTTAATTAATTTCATCGTCTGAGCTGAGGTCTGAAATGACAGTCAGGTTGCTCAACAGAACTGCCACCTCTTCTAACCTTTCTTCTTCCTCAAGTCTCAAGTTCATCATGCCTAACACTAACTCGTCCTCTTGAGTCTCTTTGCTACGAGGAATTTTGTATCTATTGTCACCATCGCATGCAATAACAACATTCATGACACGTCGTAATGTCAAAAAGGTTTTGTCCAGTGTCATGGGCGAGCGAGAATAACTCAAACGAATCTTTCACAGCAACAATCAACTCCCCCATCGTCTGACACTCGAGGGATTGCTGAAGTGCCTGAATAGAGTTAAAGAAGCCTAGGTCGAGAACATTTAGGTCAGGCGATTGTGGTGGTTGGTTTCGCATCTGATTGTCCCAACCTCCATCTGACGCTGCACTGACAAACGCTGGGTCTTCTGGTGCAATGTGCGGACGCGCATTGTCTTGTTGCAAGAACACTGTTCCCGTTTCAACGCCGCTTGGCCAGCGCCAACTTGATTTCAACGCGGGCAGCACTTTGCGCACAATCAGGTCGCGGTAAACGTCTACAGCGAAACCCTCATCTCATCAGTCAAATTTGACTTGGTTATAGCGAAACCCTCATCTCATCAGTCAAATTTGACTTGGTTTTTGTATTGTATTTTGTCATGGCGCTTGGACTCCAAATTTGAATATATAATTCACATAAAAACACTCGTAGATGCGTCAAAGCGCAAGGAACACGCTCCACTAATTTATCTGCCAATCCGAGATCTGGAAGTTACCTAACTGTTTCTGCTCGCAATAGTTCGAAAACAGAGGTAGTAGAAGTCAGAAAATTTTGTGAAAAGTTGGTAGTTTATAGATGACGTGCACCATAGTTGTACCAGTATGGAAGGGGAGTCGTTTCTGTTGGCATTACAGTGTCGATTTGAGTTGCACACTCAGCAAAAGTGTTGCGCAGTTTATATTTGGACCAAGTTAGAACGCCGAACGGTCCATGCTGAAGTTCGATTCGGAGACGACGTTATCACAGAGGTGAACCGGTCACGTTCGCCATTTGACTGAAGCTATCCGATTGCGAGTGATACGTTTGGTGTGTTGAAACTGCATTTATACCCAATCAGCAAATTAGCTATTCATTTCTCTGCCCAATCAGCAAATTAAAAGCCGAATTGCATGTCACAACTACTACGTAGAATGCAAGTACTCTGTCTGTCGATCTTTAAAGGTCACGGGGATATTCTACATCGCAGGCAGCACAGCTGTAACGTTATACATAGCTATTAGTAGGAAGAATTGGCCTTATGACTGAACAAATTACGATATTCCAGCATGCCATTACGATAATCCAGCACGCCAGTATGCACCGAAGCCGTCAGCTTGGTTGGAACGCCAGCCCCAATGTATCCTCGAAGAAGGTGCTTCTCACAGACGCATAACGCGATCGTCGCGACGCTGACGCCAAATGTGCTATGAAGAAGGCCGAGGCGCGCCGACTCGCGTCTCATCAGCCCGCTTGCCCACCTCGGCTCGAAGGCACCAACAAACCAGAATTGAACATCAACCTTAACCTTCGCTCGAAGCGGCAAACCAACCCTCTGAACGCAACATGGCGTTAACACCTGGCCGCCGAGGAGCGTAAAGCCCGCGCCGCTCGACCCGCTCTGCGCATTTACGCATGGAACCCACGTTACAATACCAAGTCCAAGTCCCTCGTATGCTGGACACCGTGCATGGTCGTGCCGTCGGTCGATTTGGCGCGAGGGAGCCAGTCTGAGTTCGAATGCTTTCATTTGTATCAGCCCTTGCATTCAAACTATACTACGCATGCACTGCTGCTTATTCTTTGGTTGGCATTAAGAACCACGAATGCCCAATTAGGCTCCGACGACGACCAGACGACCCGTCGATTCGGCCCTACCTTGCAAGCAAAGTACAAGGGAAGAAGCGGCACGCGTGGCGGCAGCGCAAGCCCTGGCGGACGTAGAGCAGCAAAAGGCAGCCACGGCGGCACTCAAACTCGAACGAAAATGGTACAACAACCACGTCAACCCGTTCGAACCACACATGTCAATCACCTTCAACAATGACAGGGAGATGGCAAGGGAGGAAGCGGAGAAAGCGCAGCGACGGCAGCTGGCCGTGGAGCAGTGGACGCTCGCCAAGCGACACCACCTTCGAGCCCTCGTCCTGTTCCAAGGGTGGCGGCCGTGGCGTCATCTTGTGGCCATGTGCAGGTTTGTCCATCTCGATATGACTAGGCCTCAAGGATAACCTATCTATCTTCAGGACGAAAGCCATCAAGGCCAAGCATTGGCACCACGACACGACCCTCCACCAGCGCTTTGGCGCGTGGGTGGGGTACCGAGACGCGTGTCGTGCTCAAGCTCGGGCGATTCGGACGGCGCGACTGCGCGCGGCGGCAACCTGGCACGACAAGCGATGGCTGAATCGAGTGATGCTCCAGTGGCAGGTACAGAAGTGCTGATCTCATGTCCATTTGAATGCCACGACGACCAACATGCAACTACTTTGGGTAGGCCGTGCGGGAGGCCACGGTGCAAAGAGAACTGTCGGTTCGAACAGCGTCTCACAACCACCTCGTCCGGCGCCTATGGGGTGTCGTCAAGAGCCTGACGGACGCTCGAAAGGCTCAGCTCTGCCGTCTTCAGGTCAAGCGCGAGGCCGACGCCAAGCGACGAGTGCTGCATGTGTGGTCATGTCGTGTGGGAGTGTGGAGAAAGGAAGCAGCAGCTAAACGCGAAAAGGACAGGATGTGGCGCCAGGTACCATCAATCGATGGGTACACCGGACAGTGTCTCATACATGTATGCGAGGCATGGGCTCGCTGGATTATTCGTAGATGCACGTGTGGCTAGCCGACGACAACAACTGAACTCACCACAACATACAACATGGCTAATGACGGCTGCAAGTTCCAAGCAGTTATTCGACGACTTCCCTCGTCACTTTACCACTCAACTCCAACACTACACCTCCAATGCACGAACCAACGTTACTGTATATAGTGGACACACACACATGATCAACTGAATCGGAGCTTCTGGTTGAACCACCGCATTTCGTGTATTGCCGACCGCAGAGGCGCCTCGCTCGTCGACACCGTCCGGCCCTACCCATGACATTTTTATATCATTACCAAGATCCCATACTAGTAGCTCAATTCAAGACAAGTACCCGGATCCAAGGATGGCCCAATGCATTTTCGGCGCTGATGCGCTCGATAGTATCATTTTCGGCGCTGATGCGCTCGATAGTATGTATTATAGCCGTGCTCGGATTATGGACATTTACTACATGTGAGATTGTGGATTGGATAAAATGAATTGAAATTGGGCCAATTGGCATGTGTAATTGATTTACCCTTCCGGATACGACTGCCGAACCAGCACCATAATGGTCGGCATGTCCAACGCCGACAAGTGGGAGGCCGTGGGGCACCCTGTGGTGAAGAAATTGCATGCCGCGTTGTCCAAGCAGGAGGCGTATATCTTGGCCACGAACAGCAACACGAATCGGTCGGGGAACTTGCAGAGCCATCCGCAACTACTGCGGGCCGTCGAGTTGGAAGACCTCCTTGTCAAGAAGATCAACGTCTGGGTGGGCGAGAAGAAGAGCCGCGACTTTATCAACGATCCCACGGCGATGGCCGAGTACTTGAGGGTTGCTTCTTGTCTCGAGGCCGCTATTGAGTCGCATGACGACGCAAACAAGTCGTTTTGGCAGAAGGACGTGGTGGCGCCAGTGTCTGCCAAGTCGATTTTGGAGCAGTTGTTCCAGCCATCGTGGATGTCGTTGCCACAGGCAGTGGGCGCGTCATCGCCTGGGGGGCACTCGAAGGATGAGAAGAAGCACAAGAAGCACAAGAAGGAGAAGAAGAGCAAGAAGAGCAAGAAGAGCTCCAAGAGGGACGGCGGGGGCAGCGACGGCGACAACGCGGCTACTGGTAGTTCGAGTGCCAGGTTCCATCCATACGCGAACAACCCCATCGGCAACGTCACTAGGGCCCTCATGCAAAACCTGGACTCGTAACATGTCGTATACTAGTTAGTATCTATCTATATACCACCCCTGCAAACGTCCTAGTACTATGGTACATACATGAAGTACATGCCAACCAAGTCGGAGCTTGCGCTAAGTTTGGCCAGTTGCCACCTCATCAGCGGTTCTGGACGAGAGGTGATTGATCTGTTGCAATCCAAGCAACGTTAAGCCAACCTTTAGACTGGATGCTACTGACTTCAGATCATACTCTGTCGCAGAGACATTTCACTAAACTACTTCGACAGGTAACTGTCTGTATACTGTATTGCAACACAAAGTAAGTATGGTTTACTTGCGCATGTACAGCGTAAAGGCAATCTGGGAGCCAAACCCGGCCGCAAACCGCAACGCGTACTTGACGTGGGGATACGCGCCGCCCTGGCTCAAGCGCAGCGGACGGGGACTCAGGTGCTCGTCGTGCGAGGCAAAGTTGACCACGGGCGGCAGCAGCCCGCGCTTGAGGCCTTCGACGGCGATCACTTCCTCAAAGCTCACGCCCATGGCATGCCCCGTGAACGCCTTCGTGTTGGCCAGCACCAGCGTGTCCAGGCCGGCGTCGCCGAACGCACTGCGCAGCATGTACAGCTCCGTAAACGAGCACGACGTCGTGGGGGACGCCTGCGTGCACGTCTCGTGGCTGTAGTACACGCCTTCGGCCGCGAGCGCCGCGCGGGGGATGCCATGCTCACTCTCCACGGCTTGGAGGAACCGGTTCAGTTCTTGCGCCATGTGCTCCTTGTCCAACGACGCACCGTGGAACGCCGAGTTGCTCAGCTGGCTCGCGACCAGTGACACGGACGGCGTTCCCGATGGGAACCGCTGGATCGTCGACGCGCCGGCGGCTTCCAGGACCAACCCGACGGCGCCGCTGCCGAGCAGCATGCCGTTGCGGCGGGTATCAAACGGCAGCGCGGCGTCGGCGACATTGGCGGCGATGGACGCGGCCCCCAGTGACCGGAACCCGCTGCCAATCCACGGCAGCAGCGTGTCATTGCTGGCCACGTCGCCCGAAATCACAACCACCCGTTGGCACTTGCCAGACCGGATCCAATCCTGCGCCATGGTCAGCGCCACCGTTGTGCCCGCACATGTGGCGTTCACGTGCGCGTTCGGTCCCTTGGCGCCGACGATCTGCGCCAGCTGCGAGTTGGCCAGCACCAGCAGGCGGAACAGCAGCTTGCGGTCAAATTCGTACGCTGGATCCGTGAACGACCGCGACACTTCCTTCACACATGCGTCCAACGCCGGGAACGACGCGGCAAACAACACGCCCGTCGACGCCGCCATTGCGTCCGGCAGCCGCCAGTTGCCCCAGCCGTTCTCAACCGTCCCGGCCACGAGGCCAGCCTGCTGCAGCGCCCGGAGCCCCGCCGCCACCGCACACGCCGACGCGTCGTCCATCCCCTCGACAAGGCTTTTGGGCAGGCCAAAGTCCTTGACCAAGTCCACCACAGCCATTGGCGCCGCGAGTTGAATCGTTTGGTTGATGGTGGTCACGGGCAGCCGTCGGATCGCCCCCGAGGCGCCGTCCTTCTTGAGCTGCACCACGCGCTTCGCGACCATCGCGTGCTTGGCGGCGTCCGGAATCCGTTGGATGCAGTTCACACCTTCCAACAGCGACGTAAGGTCGGCCCCGACGATGCCAGGGGCCCCGGCAGCCACACCGGTGACCAACACTTCGACGAGCGCCGGTTTGATCGCGGCAACGGGGGACGTCGCCACGGCGGTGATCGGATGGGTCGCCACTGTGGTAGCCGTCGCCACGGCCGCAGACGGGAGCGCCACGTACGTCAGCGGAGCGTTGAGCGGCTTGCGGGCGTACTTGCGCCGGTGCTTGTCATCGACGCCGACGAGGTAGTACGTGCCGGGGAAGAGCGAGTCGACCGACTGCACGGGGGTGTAGCTCTTGAGTCCGTGGCTGGCTTGGCGCAGGTCCAAATGGCCGTTGAACTCTTCGGGGGTGCGCTTAAGGCGCGAGTTGAGTCGGCTAGCAAGGTTCAAGCAGTCTGACATGCGCTCCACCGTGAACGCTGGGACGGCCACGTCCGTGGCTTCCGGACGGACGCACCGAAACGAAAAGATGGACCCAACTGCCCCCGATCCGTACGAGAACAGCATGAGACGCTTGCCGTGGAGGGTCGCGCGGGCAGAGTCGACGAGGCACGCCAGGTTGATGTACACGGACGCGGTGTAGCAGTTGCCAATGTGGCGCGATGCAAAGCAGGACGGCTCGACCATCTTGTTCCACAGGGCCAGCGACACTTCGCGGGACGCGGCCTCGAGGTCGCGGTCATAGTATGTGTCTTCGAGCGCGGCGCCGTGCCATTTTTTGAGCTTGTCGTACTGGGGAAGGGTCGGGTTGCGCAGGAAATCGTTAAACACGATGCGGGAGAACCCCTTTTGCGCCAGTTTGTTGTATGGCGAGTGGAACAGCACAAAGTCGTTGGCTGCCACGTCAAAGAAGTGGCCGTTCTTGGTCACGCCGGCGTGTTCGTTCTTGGAGCAGAAGCGGCGGTAGCAGTCGTCCAGCGTCTTGAGGTAGCACGACTGGGAGAACTTGCCGTCCACGGTCGGGTACTCGGAGTGCGGGTCGGGCTTGTAAAAGTCCCACATGTTCTCGGAAAACGTCGTGCGCAGTTCGCTCTCCATGACCAGAGGGGCGTTCGGACCGATCAACATGGCGACGGCGCCGCAACCAGACGTCGGACGCGCCGGGCCCTTGGCGTACACGGCGATGTCCCCGCACACGACCAACGCATACCGACCGTCCCACGCCTTGCTTTCAACCCAAGCGACAGAATTGAACAGCGCCGCGGTGCCGCCGTAGCACGCGTTCACACTTGTCACACCTTCCAAGTCGTAGTTGCCATGTTCGTGGAACAGATCCATGAGCACGGTCTTCGTGGACTTGCACAGATCGACCATGGTTTCCGTCCCAACTTCGAGCCGCCCGATTTGTGACGGGTGGATGTCATACTTTTCCAACAGTTGTTTCACCGCGGTGAGTGCAATCGAATTCACGTCTTCCCGATCGCCGGTAAAGCTCATCTTGTCTTGGCCGAGTCCCTTGGTGTACTTGCCAGCCCCGACGCCGTCATACTGTTCGAGGTCCGATTGATCAATGTAGTTGGCGGGGAAGTACACTTCCATGGCGAGGATGCCGACATTGTCCGCTTGACGCTTGGCTTTTTTGTTGCTTTTGGGGGAGGATTTCGTTTTGTGTTGTTGTTCGCAGTCGTAGCACGTCAACGGCGTGGTGGAGGAGGCGTTACCGCGCTTCGCCAGATGAAAGTGGATGTACGAGCTGGCCACGGCCACGCCGAACCCGAACAAGAGGAAGAGCAGGAACAGCGATGGGTACGACGCTAGGTATGCAAAGGTGTCCTGAAGGACCCCGCGGAGTCCTTCCGAGCTCACGACGAGCAAGATAGTCAAGACGAGCATGATGGCGCGAGCGATTCCTCGGTCCGGTAGCCAATTCAAAATGAGTGGGGCTGTACTCACTTTCTGTGGAGAAAAATATCTATTTATACAGGTTCCCCTCTTGGGGTGGACGCTCCCATACAAAACGGAGCATCTCCATTACATCAAATCATTTCTCGCAGGTAACTGCTTTACATGGAATCTAAAAATATTTCTCAAGAGTGTTGATTGCGACACCACGTGGCACCTGGCATTTGTATACGATCGAATGAAACGGTGGAAATCCATGGAATATTTAAATAACGTCTGTATATGTCAACAAATCATGGAATGCACATACGTCGAAGTACAATACGTACAATTACCATACAATCAATCATACGTTTTGTTTTTATTATTTGCCTGCCTAATAATAGGTAGTTTTATATTTGGCATGATTAAGGCTTATCCGTGCATTGTACGTACATCGTACATTGTAACGCGTCCCTTCAAATCCTGTGGATATCAAATGTGTGTGCAACACCATCTGGATGTTGCATTCCACCGTCACCATGGGCCACGCTGGCCGCCAACTTGCGCACATAGCGACGGCCGAGCAATGTGCTACGTGTAGTCCACTGCTAGCAATATCTTGTGGGATAGCATATCGAAGCAGACTCCTGGCTGCACGCATATCATCCTCGTTCGAATTTCGAGAGTGGGTCAATGAGGATGATAGGCTGCTGCGATCTCACTGTTCGGCCACAAAGAAATGCTCAAGGATGTGCGCGCGCACACATCCTCGTACTGCATGGAAATGGAGGTGTCCAGTACAGTAACTGTACTAGGAGTATAAACGACGAGTCCCGTTACGTTTTCGGGCGTTCAAGCTCGACCATGAGTCGGTTCACGACCTTGTCGTCTTCATTTGTGCCGTTGCTGCCGGTCCCGTTGAGTTTGATGGATCGGTCGCTCTCGCCCGTCATGTGCAGCAAATCCCGTCGCTTCAACGACCCTTCCTTCTTCAACGGCACGTGATGGTCAGGTGTTTCCTTGGTCCGCTTTCGATGGGCGTGGTGGCCATGCGTCGTCGACCGCGCCTCCAGCTCCGACAGCTTTTCCACCAGCAGCTTTTGATTCCCCAACACCGTCCCGAGCATGTCCTGCATATGTACCCACACGCATATGTTGATCGTACCATCACCACACAAGCCAAACTGCCTACCTTCAAGTCGTCCACGTCCATTCGCAAATTCGCGAGGCTTTCCATCGTCCGATCCATCGTCCGTGCAGATGCTAAACAGCGACGACACATCGTCATGCTTTGCAATACCCCAGATTTGTGTGAGAATGTGTAGCATCGTGTACCATCAGGTGAGGCACGCAGCCTCGCGCCATCGTCTGTCGTCCAGAAGTTGGAGGCGTTCTTATCGTCCAAGTTCATCAGGATGGACGACTTGGCCTCGCCGGGCGACACCGCCTTGCCTTCGCGCAAGGACCTAGACCCACTATACCGGGCGTCGAACTGGTCGATGGACTCTTTGTCCACGGTGTGGGCGTTGTCGAGCACCTTGATCGAGCAAAAGCTGTTCTTGGACGAGTTGTCGCGCTTGCGGCGGTCCGACTCGCGATACAGCCGCTCCAAAATGTGCGGGTACAGCGAAAAGATCACTTCGGCGTCGGCCTGTGCGAGCGATTTCATTTCGCAAAACGTCGACGCCACCACCGTGCACGACCGCGTCGTGTTTTGCAGCAGCCCTACGACCCCCATAACACCACCGTTTAGCTGTCGTACAAAAGAAATCCTGACGTGAGCATGCATGCATCCAAGCGAGCCAGCCAGGCCAGCCAGATACTCTAGCCACTCCATCTTTGTCCGATGCAAAATATAGGAACTATTCCATTCAATGTGAACATGCTACCGTCATGTACTACAGACCAAAGCCATATGAAAATCAATGAGGATACTAGCCATACCGATTTCGCCAAAGAAGCTGCCCTCCTTGAGCACGGCCACAAGGGTGCGGTTGTCCGGACCGATGATCTTGACCTTGCCGCGAATGATGATGAGCATGGACCGGCCTGGCTCGCCCCGGTGGAAGATCACGTCGTGCGCCATGTACAAGTGCGTTTTGAGCCTCATGACGACGGTGGCGAGGCAGTCGTCGGTGCAGCCCTTGAACAGCGGCACGACCGCGATGGCGCGGCGGTGGATGTGCAGCGCAATCTCGGCGCGGATCGTCGGCGACAAGTCCTGGTCTTCGTAAATGAACTTTTCATACCGGTCCGATGTCTTTTTCACGCGCCAGAGCATCTCGTAGTAATTTTTCGCGGCGAGGCGCAGTTCCTACGCCAGCCATTCACGACATGTCATGATGCGATAACTGCATCAGAATGGCAGAGTAATTTGCATTTGCAGTAGGTACTTAAGTCGTAAGTAGGTGGACTGGTGGTAATTAATATACCCGTGGCACTTGGAGGGCTTTGAGGTCGGCCATGACAGACTGGATCTTCTCCTGGTACTCGGACGCGCGCGACGTTTGACTGACAAAGATGGCTGTGATGCTCGCCGACACAAGACACACAAGGAAGAACCCAAACACGGATAACGCGGCCAAGATGATCTGTTCGTCCGCGGGAAACCCTTCCATCCTGCATGTCCAGTCAGGTGAAAATGCGACGATCCTTATGAGGGGTTGGTTGGCTGTGGGCACGTACTTGCCCAGATCGAACAGCGCCGTGACGGAGATGTAGAGGAAGATGCCGTAGCGTGAGAACGGCACGTACTCGGACACGTCGAGGGTGAGCATGCTTGGCCCCAAGCATGCGATCCAGTGGACCACCGAGATGTACAAGAACGACAGCTGGAACGCATACATGAACTGCATGTGCTTGCTACATCCAACGCATGAGGGCAAGCTAGGCGACAGCCAACGTACCGGACGAATCGGATGATACGCGCCAACCGAAACAGTTTCTACATCAACCATGACCACTCATCATCATCGTTTATACAGACGGCGGTTCGACGTACGGGAATTTTCAGGTACTTGAGCGACGTCTTGACGGCCTTGCGCTCAATACCACTGTCTCCTGTCTTAATAAATAGCTCAAACGGAATGGACCCGGCTACGTCCACGAGGAACCACGTCTACCCCAAGCGAGAAACGGAAATATGATCATGACATCTTGAACGTCACGGAGGTGGGGGCGACAGTGTTGGGGGGCGTACCTTGGCGTAGTTGATGGCAACTTGTTTGGGATCCAGCACCACTTCGACGTCGCTGCGATAGCCGGTGCTACGGGGACGGATAGGCTCGATCATAAAGCACCAGGGGGGAATGAAATGCATGTGTACCGAAAATTCGCCACGACGTCGATGATGTACAGGACGTTTGCGATCGAGTTGAACGCGATCGACCACGCCTGCTCTTGAAAGTCCACGTCCGACTCGAACGCTAAGCTGTACGGGAGGCGGTAGGCGAAGAAGACGGTCACCACGGCAATGAGCGCATCCCATGACAGCCGCAGCTGCGAATCTGACGACCCCTATCAGGATGGACTCTGCGGTGGAATTGATACATACCTGGGGTCCACATGAATCGAATCGCATCTTCCTCGAGCCCCTGCTCCAGCTTTTTCCGCTCTTCGGCCGTCACTTGCAGTGACACTCGGTTCACAGCAGGGATGACCTCTGCTTGGCGCCACATGCTGAACGATATTCGCTTCTGCTTTAATTTTGGGGGCGGCGGCACCACCTGGAGCGGGGGAAGGACGTCGTCGGTCATCGACGGCTTGCTCTCGGGTCTGTCTCGGCCGCCTGTGGGCCTCGGCATCACTTTCTCCATCACAGCATGAACGAAACTGATTGTAGTATGAACCGGCGGGCGTTTCAATGTGAGGGCCAAAAACGCATATGTCGGAAACAGTTGGCATTGACATGGAGTCGAGCCCATGTTGATCCTGGCGGTCTATGGGCAACAATGGGGTGCTGCCAGTCTCAGCTGAATCACCCGTGTTGGTCATGCAACGACCAGAGGTCGGCTCCCAGGTTAAACCAGTCGATGTTGACCACACAACATGTCGAGTGATGACTTGGCCTTGGCGTTCTATGGCATATCATCTTTCCTTTTGACAGATGAACATGAGGTTATACAGTACATCGCTAATCCTAATCACAACTACGAGGACAGCCGTTGGCACATCGACATCATCATGGCAAACACAAATGAGAGCTGGCTAAAGTTTTATCGTAGTTAGCCGGAATTGGACAGGAGTATAACGTTAGCAGCTACAGTCTGGAAGCCCTTGAAATTGGTGTGATACCGTGCAGTCAGTCATTTTGGTGCATTCGAAGTTCGAACGTCCTCCGGATATCTATCCGTTCCTTGACTTGTCCATCATGGCGTTGGAACTGCGTGTGCAAGTGTTTGAAGCGAAGGGCTTGCTGGACCGAGGGGGTCCATTCACAAAGCAGAGTCCGTACTGCACCATCAAGATCGCTGGACAGAAGGTCAAGACGAATGTGCACATGAACGGCGGATGCAATCCCGTGTTCAACCAAGAGCTGGTCATCCGCACCGTGACGGCGCACGACGACTTCCAGATCGAGGTCAAGGGCTACCACACCAACATCCCCAAGACGCACTTGGGTGTGTATGGTATATCGCTCGAGCATGCCATCCATGAAGGCCATTTCGGTCGAAAGGCGTGGTTCCCGCTGAAGAACGTCAAGAAACCAGGCAAGGACGCCGGGCAATTGCGCATGCGGTTGGACATTCGCAACGCTGCCTCGCTACCCGAGGAGAAATCTCAGTCCGTCGACGTGCTTCGCATAACCACCTCGCGGCGATCCATGGATCCCAATCTTGTCCCTATCGGAGCGTCTCGGCGATCCTCAACTCGCACCACCGTCGACAAGGCCATTCGGTCCCCGCAGAATCTGAAGGCCGGTTTCTCTGCCGGGGAACACGACGTCAGATCCGACGGCTTTCGAAGGCTGTCCTTGGCGACTGCAGACGACGCTGGTGCTCCTCCACCTCCTCCCGCAATCCATATCCCGTCGGGGGTAGCATTACGACGAACTCTGTCCCGGGATGAAGTCGACTGGACCGGCTACGAAGCGCTGCGGCCGTACTCCAAGTTTTATGTCTACGCGTCGCAAGTGTCGATCATTCGGCAAGTGCACACGGACTACATTCACACGGACTACATGAAGACGGAGCTGGGCCATTACGGCGGGGACAAGGTCATGATCACGAGCGCCAAGGTGCCGGCCGAGGGCGCGGCGCTGGTCAAGGAAGTGATCGCGCTGAGCAAGGTAGATTGCCCTCTGATTTTGCCCTTTGTGGGGTTCTTCATCGACCCGACAAAGGGCGGGCTGCACTGCATCACAAACCACAGCCTGGCCAACCCCCCGACGCTGCTCAAGTACCTCCAGCGCATGACCACGCGGCTCACTCTAAAGGATAAGCTCGGGTTCGCCATCGACGTGGCCGGCGCGTTAGTGTACATGCACGCACTCGGAATGATGCACCGTGGCATCAAGGCGGAGAACGTGATGCTCACGGAGCGCAAGAAGGCCGTGCTGAGCGGGTTCGGGACGTGCCGCGACCGGTCGTACGACCAGACGCTGACCGTGGGGGTCGGCGACATCCAGTGGTCGGCGCCCGAGATGCTCGTGGACGGCGACTACGTGGAAAAGGTGGACGTGTACTCGTTCGGGGTACTGCTTGTGGAGATCGAGACGTGCCGCACCCCGTTCGACGAGGCGAGCAAGGTCATGACACGCATGGACCTGACCAAAGCCATCTTGATGGGCAAGTTGCGCCCGACGCCTACGTCGGACTGTCCCGCGGGGCTCAAGAACTTGATTCGGACATGCTTGCAGCACGACCCAAGGCTTCGGCCGAGCATGGAGCAAGCGCTGGCGAGTCTGCACGACGTCGTGGCGACCTTATAACGTCAACCAAATGTGTCGTTTACGATGTGTTGACAAATCCCTAGTAATTGCTAGTATCGTTACTACGTAGTAGTAGTAGTAATACTAGTTAGCATTGCTCGGCGGCGGTGCCAAGTACTCCTGGACTCCGACATGTAAAACATCTCGGGGGTGGCGTGGCGGGTAAGTGGCTGCTTCAGTTGATTGCTGAAGGAAAACCTTTCAATGGCCAATAGGACCAGGGAAATGCACAAATCTCAAATGCCCTTGAAAAATTCTATTAACAGTACTGTACTACCTAATATCAATAGTACTATAATAAAGTTGCCACCACAACTTCGATATTTTCGTACTTCGAAGCTTGACCTTTTACTTGTATCCAGAAATGCAATGGACGTCCTGGCGCTGCGCTTAGATCATCTCAAAGCGCGAGGAACGTACGTCGCGACGATCAAGACGTGGCTGCAAGAGACGCAGGTCAATGGGCGACTCGTGAGTCGTGGTGACCTCCATCTCTTCGTTGCGGAAGGCCCGACCGAAGCTATCGATGCGCTGTTGATTCAATTCGAGACAGAGCCTGTCGACACGAATGCCAGGGGCGAGGTAAGAACCATGGAGTGCCGACAACATCGAAGTTTCTTAACCACATTCTTGTCTCACTCGTACTGTGTTAGAGGTGCATTGACAAGTTCTACGATGTGGTGGGACGAGAGCCGAGGGAGTCGGCGTTGCTCAAGCCCGGATTTACAGACATGCACCTCCTGGTATGTCCGAAACGATAAGTTTATCGATCCTTAACGCGCTCCTACGTACCATGCATGCATAAGAACGACACAATGCTGGAAAAACTGGTGCTCGAAGAATGGGGGGTGCCCAAGGACTGGCTGACCACCGCGCGGAGCACATCCCGCACCAAGCGGTTCCTGGCGTGGAAGGAACAAGCCAAGGTCGCGCGCAAGCAGGGCCGCCGGCGCACAGCGCAAGTGCGCGACGAGACCAAACAAAAGCAGAGAGAAGCCAAGCGGCAAAAGACAGAGAGCGCTGCGGATGACAAGAAGGAAGATAAAACAACATAGACAGAAAAAATGACGATATATTGGATATATTTTAAATAATCTAATCGGGCTAGGATATTTATCGAATGGTGCAGAAGATATCAGGGCACTTCGATCGAAACAGGCTATTAATGCCTGTTTAATAGTAACGTTACTATGAATATTACAAGTACGTACTCCGGAGCACTAGTATTATGTACCAGTAAATGCACTATCGAAAAATATCTGGTATGCATATTCCGTGCAATCCCATTTAAATTCGTGGAGCTTCATTATATTTCGCGACCTCGGCATTTAACTTCGTGGAAACGTCGAATCCTATTATTATATATTTCGGAGACTGTCAGTATATTTCGTGATTTGCTCACTTAGATCCAGTATATTTCGTGACGAGACCAACATATTTCGTGCGTTCACTTCAACTCGCTTTGATTGGCCAGAAAACTGTGCGCGAAACCGTCTTTCGCGCACTTTTCAAATCTTCTCGATGCAGCACCTCCTTTTGGATGCCGACCTTCCCCTCATCCTTCCCGATGGCGATGAACCTCCATCACCTCGAACCCCAGTAAGCACACACATACTGACCTAGTAACTAACGAATGTTAGCCATGACGTAGAGAAACATCCCGATGTCTGCATAGCAAGGTACCACTGGTATTGCTTTGCTGTCATGGGGAAGTTTTTGTAGTCCATACTCGTCCATGGTGAATTCAATCGAGAGCCTGTGGTCAGCAATGAAACCCCGTGTGAAGACGTTGCATTGTGAGCCACTCGCTGCATTCATTGGGCCACCCCATGGTGGAGCTGGAATTCCGAATGCAATGACCAAGTCGTTCTAGATATGTTTCTGATACCATGTAGTGTATGAGTACAGTCGATTGCAAAGGAGTAGATGTGAACTGTTTGTTTTAATATGCTCTCCACCTCGACCACATACCGGTAGTCGAAAACATGGACGACGAATTGGCTCGTCTCTCCTCCATATTTACACTCATTACGTTAATATTTATGATGCGAAATGTATTGGTCTCGTCACGAAATATATTGGATGTTTGCGAATCTGAGCAAATCACGAATCGTAAGGAGTGAATTTGACATTCCCACGAAATTAAATGATGAAGTCGCGAAATCTAATGCGCTCCACCAATATAAATGCGATTTCACGAAATATACCATATATTTTTCGAAATTAACCGCAAAATGGTGGTTAGTGATAGATTTATATTCTTTCTAAAATATGGGCTGATGTTGTAGTACAGACAGATGTTGTTTTAAATTTCTAAAAAATATGGGCTGATAGGATAACGGTATTACCGGTAGTCCATACAAATATTGCTTACGTTATATCAATTATTTATATGGATATCAAATATCCGTGATTAATATTATTGTCGATTTGATACAAATTTGGGGAGGGGGCGCAATCGAATCGCGCCAAATCACGCCAACCAAATCGATCCACAATCGATCTGATTGGTTGAATTTCATTTAGAAAGTTTTGATTGGTTAATAATTTTGAGCTCATCTGAAGTAGCCAATCAAATCGATTTAAATTCCAGGTCATATCCTAATTCGTACAGATGAGAGTAAATTAGGATGATGGTAGGTCATCATTGCATACAGGCCTCGTCCGGGTGCGGCACGGCCTACCTGCCGCTGCCCGACAAGAAGATAGATAATTCGGTGAAGTGAGAAGCTTAGATCCGCGCTTGCGCAGACGGCCTCCCGGGCGCTCGGGACTAACATAAGGCTTGGTCACTACTTTAGGTTTCATCCATCAATTTCATCCCCATGTCATCCGTGTGTGGAACACATCGATTTTTCAATCCGTCGAGACTAACCCAATGTCGACATTCATATCATATTAGAACGTCGTCATAGTTAAAGTGGCTAAAATTAAATAGGGTTCGTACTGCATCACTTAATCGATTTCCATCATGTCGTCGCTTTCCACGACGTCAAAGGAAGCGCCACCGGAAGGATCTTCGTTGTCCGACTCGGACTCTGGCTCCACTTTCCACGAGCCGGCAGGTGGAAGCGGACGGTACACGACCAATGCATTGCATGGTTGCACTGGTTCGTTGTCAAACACTTCTTCGATGCGAACCGATGGAATCAAGGCAGGTCGGTGTGGTTTGAATTGCGCGGCATGGCTGCCCACGACTTCAAGGGTTGCATGTACCTTTGGTGCATCGCCGCCATGTCGTGCGTACTGTACAACTTGCGAATCGTTCCATTGCGTAGGCTGCTGAATGGATTGATCTTCTTCGTCGTCGTCACCCAACATGTCCACATCCATGGACAAGTCCATGTCATCCGACTCCGGTGAGCTCACATCAGCAGCATCATACCACGTCATGGGTGTTGTCGCTGGCGTGGTTTGCTGGTGCATGAACCCAATGTGATTTTCCAACGACGCCTTAAACTTCTTGTGAGGTTGCGGACACGATGTTGGACTGTACGAGTTGAATGCCGTGGGGTGCATGAAGGAGTCGGTGAGCTCGAAGTCGTCGTCTTCACGCCGTCGGCGCAGGTGGCGCGAGGAGGGAGCTGCTCCAGCATACATCATCATATTGGTCTTCTTCGATGCTACGCGAATGAGAAAGTGGGCGACATAATCTTGAATGTCACCGTTAACGTTTGATTGGTGGAATTAATATCGTGTATTTGGTTGTATTTTAATGAAATTCCAATCGCTCATACAAATATGCTGATGGTTCCAAACCATTTTATACATTTGATTGGATGGCCTAAAAATATCGCATCGTTGGAACTGGGACAACGAACGAACGTTTCGAGAAGGTCTCGACTATCCGGATGACATTTCCGGATAGAAATACTCCGACTTTTCTGGAACTTATCCTCCAAAAAACCAGAATGCGTATCCGGATTTCGATGTAAGTTATCCGGTAGTAATCATGTGCGAAGAAACGAAGTACGTCGAAGTACTGTAATGGAGAGGCCGACGACACGGCGTGGTGTCCGCCGACGTCCGGCAAACGACGATGAAGAAATCGCGCGAGAGATGCCACCCAACAAGAAGGCGCTGGTGGATCTGCTTGAGAATCTGTGCATTTCCATGTCTAGCAATAACAACTCAGCTGCACCCGTGGACGGCAACCGATCGTATACTGCTGCCACCTTCATGTCGACGAACGGACCGCGCCAATTTGTGTACCCCAGGCGGAGCCAACAAAGCATCTACTCTGAATACATGTACACTATCATACATGCCATGACTGGCAACGTTGACGTTATGATTAGGCGGAAGATGAACAACACTGCCCCCAAACCGCCTCGCGATCCATCCCTTGGCGCGATGGTGTTGTACAACACATCACCGACCCTTCCGTCGCCATTAAGACGGTATATGCTTCCTCCATTTACCATTCCCGAAGGCAGTGAAAGTGACGGCGATTACGACGACAGCGGGATGATGATGGATGTCGACATGGACAGCGACGACAGCACCGTCCAAGCTCCGAGTCAACCTCGCTTGGCGGGCAACTTGACGCATGGCGAGTGGTTCCTACCCGAGGACGACGAGGATGATGCCATGGATATCATGGACATGTTGTAATCACCAGCATCTATTTACTCGTGTCGTCGTTCATGTGGAAGGAACGTTTCGTCCGTGGCGTCGATCGATCTTATTGCGCCCAAATATCGAATGTGAAATAACGTTAAAAAATCAATGACATCGCGCCCTATACACTGTACTTACGGAGGTCATATTGGCGGTTTCACTTTTAAAATAGCCATCGAGGTCAAAAATGTCGGCTTCGACTCCAGATCACATCTTGCTTGGTGCGAGTGCCTTGCCATCTTCACCATGCTGGACACACTCCGAGGCGTGTGGAACGAGATCGGGCTGAATGTGGCCGAGCAAGAGGCGGAGCTCGACCGGCAGCTTCAAGAGTTCTACCAGTACAAGCTCATGGACGCAAACAACACCAAGAGCCAGTACCTGGATGACATTGCGAGCATGCAGCACGACATTAGCACGTTCGTCACACAGCTCGGCGACCCATTCAAAGTGCCGAAGGACATGGGTCTGCAGTCGAAAAGCCTCAAGGAACAAGAAGCACTCGTCCGCGCCGACTTCGACGCGTTGAAGCGGGTACTTGCAGTCGATAGACAGTCCAAATCAACATGGAGTATCGTCCTCACGCGGTACGATCGTTAGGTCGTGGACGAGCGGACGTCGGCGCTGTCTGCCGTGGTAAAGGAACTCTCGTACATCCAAGCGCTCATGGGGGAAGCGCCAGAAGTGCGTCGACAAACACGAGACTTTCCTTGGACGTGACACTGAATGTGGATGTAGAAGCCGTCGCAGCCGCTGGATTTGACGGTGGCCGGAATCGACAGGGTCAAGGACGCGTTGCGGGTGAAGAAGAAGGAGCAAGTACGTACGTGGTAGCACCGTACGCCTCGAACGTGACGACGTTTGCAGGCCAACCGCCGCCAAGCCATCCTCAAAGTAGCAGACGAGTACCGCGTGTTGGTCGACCAAGTGCAGCTCGTGGACTTGTCGGACTTTGACCGGTCGGTAGTGACCAATGTCGAGGTACAGTTGCTTCTTGGCCGTTCAAATGTCCCTCACAACAATGACAAGGCCCTGGGGCAGTCTTTGAACCTGATTGAGCTCATTTCAACGCGCGTTGCAGACCTCATCCAGTTAAAAGTACGTTGATTTACATACTATCGATGAAAACGAGGTACTATAACCGGCCCGCACATGGATATGAATAGGCAGACCGAGAGCAGGCCAAGAAGACATTGCTGGACCAGATCCACGTGCTGTGGGATCGCTTGAACGTGCGTCGGTGTCGCAGATGGCAATTCTGTGACGGGGTCCATTTCTTTGTAGGTGTCGCCAAACGTCCAAGGCGACGTGCTGGACGCGTGCCGCGGCATCAGCGCCGACGCCCTCCGCCATGTATGCACTCCTTCCTTTAAAATCCATCGCCCACGCGCCCTTCATTCACAGCAGCATTCTCGCGCTAGGCCGAAGACGAACTGACGCGGCTGCAGCACCTGAAACGGACGAAGTTGGGCGAGTTGCTGCTTGACGTGCGCCGTCAGATCGCCGCGCTGTGGTCGAGTCTGGAGGTGGATGCCACAGCTGCTGCGTCGTCGTTTCCGGCCATGCAAGTGCCGGTCGTCGACGCCACCGAAGAGCTCTTGGCGCTGCACGAAAGCGAGCTCAAACGATTGGATGCCAAGGCCACAGCGAGACGCGCGCTGCTCAAGGTACACTCCTATGACTCGTTTTTCGTAGAAATCTTCATGTGACGATATGTGACGATGTGTGACAATGTGTGGTAGTACATTGAAAAGCGCGAGGAAATCATTGGCGAGCGCAGCCAGTACGAAGCGTCGCTCCATGACCCCGACCGACTCATCGGGCGCGTCGCCACGGCGCGGTTGCTGCGCGAAGAGAAACTGCAGGCCAAGATCAAACACGATTTGCCCAAGTGGACCAAGCTCCTGCTGGATAAACTGCCGGCGTGGGAGCAAGAGTACTGCACGCCATTTGTCCTTCGCGGTACGACATCACACCAGTACTAGTGTGCATAGTTAACGTTACATAACGTTTGACGACGATCCTCTTTCTGCGACACGGGGTGATGATGGGCGGATGTATGTCGTAGGCGAGCGGTACTTGGACACGATCGCACGCGTGGATGCCGACTACATCAAGCAAAAGGAGCTCGACCGCATGGAGAAGGACCGCCTCAAGCGGGAAAAGAAGGCCGCCGCCACCGACGACAAACTGGGCGTGTCCACCCCCAAGGTAATCAATCATGTGATATGTCACCAAGTATTAGTGTATGTATTCGATTGTATGTGGTCGTAGCTCAAGTTGGCCAAGGGGCCATCCCCCCCCCCCTTGACCAAACGCATGAGCTGCCCCAACCAAATGACGACCGCCGTGCCGCCGTCCCACCACAATGCCGTCGCGCTGGCTCGGGATTCATCCAAGTCGAAACTCGCGAATCCGGAAACGTACTAGTAGTACTAGTAGGAATAGTAACGTTACTATTACTACGTACTAGTAGTAATTAATACCCCTACTAGTACCCATCGTTCCTAGTTTTCCATTCCACCTAACGGTGTACTACTACGTAGTACTATTAATAGTGAATACAGTAGTACTAGGAATCAACTATCTCGTTATATATATACAAATATATACACGTATACTAGGAATAATCAACTATCTCGTTATATTTACACAAATATATACACGTATACATATTATATATATATATACATGTATTAATAGTATTAATATTAATACCTAGAAGCGTCCTACAACTTACTTCTTCATCGTCGTCGTGATATCATATATATATATGTATGAATAGTATTAATATTAATACCTAACTATTTCGTACAACTGTCCTATTCCTCGTCGTCGTCGTCGTCGTGGACGGTATGTCCCAGTGGTTCCTTTTGCCACACGCAGAGTTTGCCGTAAAAGTCTGGCGACACGATCATGGGTTTGAACGGGTGCCACCGCACGTCGCGGGTGACGCCCTGGGACATGAGCTCGAGTCGGTCGACGACGTTGGCCGAGAGCACGTCGTAGATGACGACTTCGCCGTCCGCCGAGCCAGAGTAGATGTAGCGCTGTCCAGTCGAGTGCTGCGGCGAAAAGTACGCGCGGATCAGCGTCTGCTTGACGGCGTGGCCTCGGTACGTCATGACGGACTGGTCCTGCGGGTGGGCGTCGGCGACCTCGCCTTCGTAGTTGCCGGGGTACTCTTCAAAGCGGTAGTCCCACTGGAACTGGCGCGGCAGGTGTTGTACCTTGGCTTCGTCGGTCACGCACTTGCGAAGGTCCCACAGCTTGGCGGATTGGTCCTTGGCGTTCGAGACAAAGTAGAACCCGTCGTCGCGGGAACTCATGTGCGTGATGCCATCCGTGTGGCCTACATGTTGCATGAGACAGAACGATGGGATGGGTCGATCGTGTCTACCGACAAACACCCCTTGGGGCCGCGCGTTCGACTCAGACATCATCCGGCGGTCCCACAGCTTGATCAGGCAGTCGTCCGACCCGCTCACAAACACGTTGGACGACTGCGGACCGTCCACGAACGTGATCGCGTTCACGTGGTCATCGTGGCCCGCCAGGTGGCACACGGACGTGTTGGTCGTCATGTCGTGCAACACGACGGTGTTGTTGGACGTGCCTGCGAGGAACTCGGTGCCGGCCGCGTTCACGCCAAGACTCCACACGCCGAAGTCCCGACGGCGCTGGGTCATCGACCTACCCGTAGACGACGACCGAGCTGTCTTGGCGAGATCGAATGCACATTCCTTGCCTCCCTGCATCACCATGCGGACCATGCTCGTGATCGACGAGTATAAGACCCCCTTCGCGTCCGGCGTGAAGTGCGCATCAGTGACTGTCCACCGGATATCGCGTACAGGATATGCATCCACGCGCTTCCACGTGTTGGTGTCGTAGATGTGCACTTCTTCGCTTTGTCCTGCGACCAAGAACGTTTCGCCATCGGGACTGAACCCGCCACAGTACAATCGTTCGTCGTGGTGGTCCACTTCAAACACGTTCGCGTTCTCCCCCACGGGGAGAAATGCTTCGTTGACGGCAAGATGCTCGGCAGGGCGCAGTTCCCCGCGCCGTTCGCGCTGTGTAAGAAGGGCGAACAACCCGCGACTTCGCAGACCACGAGCTTTGGATCCTCGCAACGGCTGGTGTACTCGATGGCGTTCCATGGACAGACACAGGTCGCTTCTCTCCAGGATGCTTGCCCATATTCGCGCCTTGCGGATCTCCCGTCGCTGTTTGCGATCGAGCGGCGGGAAGTACTCTGTCGCGGCCATCGATGCCAACTTATTATTACAGTCAATGTGAAGTCTTTCGAAGAAATATCTTCTTCAACCTGATGTCGTCGGATAGAATCGAATTGTATCCGGATATTTGTGACCCCAAAATCCTGCGATGCCATTGGCCAGATCTCGGAACTAAATAAATCAAATCTTGGTACTCCGAAGTATTAATACTTCAACAGCCCATGATCAAACATCAACACCAACAAATATAATTATAGCAGGTGCAGGGGTATGGGAAAAATTTACTATTAATAGTATTTTTTACCAATTGCAATTGTCAACGGCCTAAACAATTACTATTAATAGTACTCCGAACACATTTCGAGAGACGACAATTATTTCATTGTTTATCGCTTTTACCAGCAATTAAATAATTGTAACAATTTACTACTCCGGGGTACTTTGTACAGTAGTAGTAATTGTCAATTATTGAAATCTTAGTCAATGTCCATGGATACAAAGGGAAGCGTGTGATACAGATACTGTATAGGATTATATGATATACTTATAGGATTATATGATAGACTTATTGATAGACTTATAGGATTATATGATAGACTTATACGATTGTATCATAGACTTATAGGATGATATGATAGACTTATAGGATCGCATAGTGGCCATTGGGCAGTTGGTAAATGAATCCGTCCATTTGCAACTACATCGTACAATTATTGGAGGGTGGGGATGTCTAGGAAAAAGGTACCTCGTCCAGCGCGATGGCGATGGCAGAGGCAGAGTGTGTGGGGGCTAGTCGACCTACGAGGTCGTTGATGGACATGGTCTCAGCTTCCAAGAGCTCTTGCACCGCCGCTCCTGCTTCCCAAGACATGCCATCACCATCCCAGCTCTGTCTGTTGCATGGTATATATGTTACCTGGATCGGAAGGAATGTGGGATGTAGTTGCCAGCGGAAGGGGCTGGTCGTCCCCTCTGTCTATAAACTCAAACACAGCGACGCCAAACGTGCGGACGTCGGCGTCACTGGCGAGAGAGCTGTAATGGGCCAACGCTACCTCGTCGTAATACAAAGCATGTGCAGTGTCACAGATATATATACGTATGTGTGACAAGTGTAGACGAGTGCAGTACCGTGGGCAGACTCGACGCCTTGTGGCAGCAACAAGCTGGGGGTTTCGGCTTGGAGCGCTATGGCCAGGCTCACGTAATTGCGGACGGCGCCGACTTGGACGGCATGGGCGCCGTTGAAGAAGATCGTGTCGCCCGGCACGATGATCGAGTACGGTGGCTTGTTCACCCTATAGCCAAATATCACCGTTAATCAACGTTAATCATCATGCATTGTTAGTCACCTCAGTTCCAGTCGGCGCTGACCCGATGCAAGTCGCGCGGCCTCTACCTCTGGCACGGTCAAGTAGAACTCGTCGCCACGGGACTCTTCCGCTGTCCGCCGCGCCTTTTGACTCGGTCCATTGTCAAACAAGTACTCGAGCGCGTCTGTGGCAAATTTCCGCTTGATGCCAGCCATGACCGCTGTAGGTAGCGCCGCGAGAGGTCGCGCGAGTTCCGATGACGTGGCGGGAGGCTGCCCGGAGAAATAGCTGGCTTTGTATCTAAAGGAGAAGATTAGACTGGGGGGGGTTGGGACTTGAAAAGTGATACAAGTGAATGATTTCGAGGAACCGAAGGGTTTCCATGTTGGCGTCGAGGACGGGGAGAATGCTACATCAAGAACGTAAAGCACCAGACCGGTAGACCGGTCAAGATGGAGCAGTACTTGGAAGCAAGAATGTAAGATGATCGTAGGGCCTGCCGTGATGGTTGCAGTTCGCCCAAGCAGTCGACCTGGACTAAGTGCATGAGGCAATGATGGACGGCGCCGCGGTTGAGGCGACGTACCAAGTCTCCAGGACGAAAGCGCATGTGTGCTGAAAATTGCACAGCGATCACTGCCGTGCCATCATCTACGCATCACTTGACGCCTCTTGTCCATCACGCCAAGGACGTTGAGTTGTTACCAAGTTCCAGTGCTGTGGCGCCGCAAGCCCGTACCGTGCCCATGATGCGCACGCGAGTGAAGAACTGGATGGGGTTACCGATGCCGTACTGTTTCCTTCCATCGTCCCACCGGCATCTACTTGGCGCAAAGACATCTCGTAGCAGCAGCTTTAAGTGATGGGACATATTTCCCGCGCGGTGCGGTGAAAATGTATGATGGACTTGACACTCTTTCAAACAGTGTTATATCATGTTTAACAGGTTTATACGGATATTGAAAGGACACCATTTCCGGATACTGTCCCCATGTGTTTGCGAGCGACATCTTCGAAAAAACAACGACGCAGGCAGGCACGATGGACCCGATGGCAATGCTGGAGATGGGACGGCGTTCGGGCACGTCGAACCAAGACGTGGACGAGTTCATTCGCAAGACGGACGCGGTAACTGTCCTTCGTTCCGTCGAGGAACCGACGAATCTGACAGTGTTGCATGACGAATATACACAGATTGCCAAGGCAATGGAGCAAATCAAGAACGGAACATTCGACCCCGACAATTGCGACGTACGATTTTGTCTACGTAATGTTTTATACGACTCAATTGACTGCAGATTCCTGGGTACCTGACCCCCGAACAAGAAGAACGGGAAGCATTGGCGGCCAAGAAGCGAGAAGACGAGCGCGTGCAACGAGAGGTAGTTGGTTTCCGTCACCAACACATGCAGCATGTCATCGATCCCATCGACATAGCAAGCGCGCAAACAGAAAGAAAAGCAAGAAGAACACGACCATTGGTGGCATCGAGCCAAGCTTCGCTTTGCTACTTATGACGACGACGACGACACAAACTCGACCGATCCTGACAAGTGGGCGAACCGCATCGTCGAAGCGTACAAGGCCCGAGATGGTATGTAGCACCATCGATAGTATTACTAGAACGTATGCTACTGTCATGTCCGATCTACGGGGATGTTGTTCATCCATCTTTGTAGCCAACGACTACTCGATGTGGGACAAGTGGGAACCCCAAGACCCCGTAACACTCGACGAAAAGGCGCGGCAAGACGCCCTCGTCGAGAAAATGAAAAACGACCAGTTCGAACAAGCCAACCCCGACTTTTGCACGCAATTCAAGCACGATCTGGAGAAGCGGCAGCAGTCCACGCGGGACAAGGACCGTCTGGCTCAAAGTACGTGGCCAAACACATTCACAACACAATACAGCTCGTCGTATCAGCTCATGGTGACGTGGCGTTCTTATGCGTAGAGCACAAGATGCAAGGCAACACGTACTTTAAGCGGCGCCAATACGCCCCGGCGCTGGCGTCGTATATGGCGGCACTGGTCGAAGCCCCGTACTGCCCGCTCATCCTCACGAATATCGCCCAAGTCCACCTCCGGCTGAACGCGACGGACGACGCGCTCGAGTTTTGCAACCGCGCGCTGTTCGTGGCCCCGACCCACATCAAGGCGCTGTCCCGCAAAGCGTCCATCTTGCACGGCCGCGGGCTCTGGAAGGATGCCCTCAATGTCGTCCAGCTGGCCATGGACGTGGACAAGCGGGCTAACCCCGACTTGGTCCAGCAGTTCGTCCAGATCAAGGCCGCGTACGACGACGACGTCGGCCGCGAGGTGCTGCAGCGACGAATGGACGGCCCCAACTCGGTGGACAACTGGCACCTCCACGCCATGCAACACCTTCTCGACCAGTTTGATCTTGGACACCACAACCCCCATGAATCCACTGAGCGTCCCTTTCAACGACACGCAAGTGGCGACAAGATGGACGGGGATACAACAGGTCGGCCTCCGAACGTTGCCACCGTGGACGCGTTGCGGGCGCTGCTGCCCCTGCTGCAAGCAGACAAGGACTGCAAACTGCTGTTCCGGACGTCGGGGGCTCTCACGCGCGTGGTCGCCCGCCTCGTCGCGCCGGAAGACGCCGAGGACGACGAGGTGCGCGCCATCTTGCAATGCCTCGTCGCCATGGTCACCGACGACGCCGCCACCCAACACCACCTGTACCTCCTCGCCCCATTCCGCCAGTGGGTCGTGCATTCCGTCGCCGACACTTCCATGAACACTACGCGCAACATGTCGCTCCTCGTTCAACTCGTGGATGAGTGCATGGCGGTGAATCTGTGGAAGTCCGTCGTTGCGACGTCCGTCCCGATGCTAGCGGGGCTCTTACGGCAGTGGCAGGCACAGGAATCGGCCGAGTCTGCGACCAGTATCGTCTTGTACGCGTCGGAAATGGAGGCCGGACGGCACGCGCTGACCACGGCGCTGATCCAGCCGGTGCTTGTCCAAGTCCTAGCCTTGCTGCGTCGGTACCCGTCGTCGTCGTCGACAGTTCAATTAGTGTCCGGATTGGGGGTTCTGTTGAACTTGACCAACCACGTCACATTTCGCCACATCGTGGCCACCGAGCGGGACGTGGCCCACGAGGTACATATGTACTGTACTGGATCTGCGACACTGGTCATGGATGATACACACAACGAATACCATGATTCCCATCTTGCAGCTTATTCGGACGACGATGGCTAGATGACCAAGGCACTGGTGCAGCTGCTGACGCTACGGGACGAAGTGGTCGTGGCCGAGCGGAGCCTGGCGATTCTGTTGAACTTGTCCCTGGACCCGGCGGCGGCGTGCATTCGACAGGACATGCTGGCCGCCAACGTCCACGAGCATGTGCTGCCGTGGCTGCAACGAGGACGGGGGCTGTTACGCGGTAAGACTAGGCTGGAGGAGGATGGGCGGTTGAGGGTAGATAGGCCTGTCGTTCATCTGGGGGACGTAGGCAATGATGTGGTGCTCGTGACCCGCCTTGTGAGTGTGCTCTGTCGTCTGCATTCGCTGGACGGTGTAGCGCGCGACGTCGCTAGCACGCCGCCCTTCCTTCGCGCTCTGTGGGATGTGTTTGAATCTACGGCGGATCGCCCACATGATTGCTGGCACCTGAACGCTCAGTTGTTCTGCCACTTGGCATGGAGCTTCCCGACTGCGGCGCAGTTCATGGACGAACATGCGTGCGTGCGTCGCATGATGCGGTTCATGCAAGACAAGCGGACGCATGTGCCGAAAGCTCAAACAGCAGCGTTTGAACGCATGGTGACGAATTGCACCAAGTGCTGCATCGCGATGCTGGCCGTTGGCGGAGGTGACGTTACGGTCGCCGCCATCGTCGAATCGAATGGGTTGGAGATCCTCGTCGACTTGATGAGCCACATGAAAGATGAAAAGGTAGCTCGCAAGAACGTTGCAATCCTCCTCGCCAAGTTGTGCCAACGAAGCGACGACATCAAGGGCCGCGTCCGCGCACTGCGAGGGATTGAAATGATGCTCTCCATCTGCCGCGACCTCAAGGGGTAGTTGATACTCTAGTGAAAAATCTCCATGTACATTCTAATGCATCGATCCTACATCCATCCTACATGCACTTCATCAGCCCCCCGGCCGCCTTCCCAGATATTTGCTCATTTGGGCGATTCTTGAACGGGCGTTTCTATGCGGGATCGCTCCAGTATCCGGATGGTTGCTTTTCTTTGTTTCGATGTGCTGGTTTGGCCATCGTTTATTCTGTTCCAGCCTCCTTCTTGATATTCCCGTCGACTGTTTACTGCATCAAACAAAATCGAATACAAATATCCATATGCGAAATTTGAACGTAGTGGGAAACATACTAGAGTGTTCGTGAAACCTCTGAAACCGGATGCTATTTTTATGAATTCTTTGAAATCAAATAAAAACAAGTGGAGGCGAGGGGGTTGAGTTTGCATTTATACTTCCTGACGTCGAGAAGATGGTGTTGTTCGAGTATTTGACCAAGATTTCCCCGGCCCAAGCCATCGGCCAGTCCGTTGTCGGCGCCTTTGCCCTCTCTGGCCTTGTGTGGGGCGGCTTCCGCTACACCGGTTTGTCCTTTCCCGTCTTCTTCGATCGCAACCCATAACGCTTGATTTGTAGGCGAAGACTTCGGCGGTGCTTTGCCCGGCGAGCCCAAGACCACCTCGGCAGAATGGCAAGCGGCGACCCGCGACTATATCGTCGCCCAGAAGATGAACCCCATCAGTTCGTACCGTAAATAAATTGAACATGTATGGAGGCGCACACCAAGCGAAGGCGATAGGGGGGTAGCCGCAGCATGTATGCATGCGTCTTTCCCCTGTGTAATAGATTGGTTCGACCATTTGCTTAATGTGAAGTCTCGTTTGCTCCCCCCATGCAAAGACGTTCCATGTACATGATCGTGTTAATCGAAACCTATCGAATGCAAACTAAGTTAGGCGAGGTTCGTGCTTATGCCTACATAGCACACAGAGGTTAGTCGCGCTAAACGCCGCCTCGCGTCATACTTGAGCCTGTTCTTTGTTGGTTTGCTGCTGGTTCCACGTGTCGATCGCTTGTTGAATGCGCTTGGCTTCCACCACAGCCTCCTCACGAACTAGTTCGCCATCGTCTTCGTCCAGATGCCCATAATAGTCTGGTTCAATGCCTTGGTAGATGTCCTTCCTATAGATCTCCATGACGACCCTGTGGAAAATAGAGTTGAATGTGTACCGAGAACGTTTGGGCTTGGGGGCGTCCTGCTTTTCAAACAGCTCGCGCACACCAGGAAGGTTCTTCGCCGCCCCAAAGTACTTGTATCCGCCCCGCTTCAACGACGTGCCCTCCGCGTCGTACCCGTCTTTGCCCGACCCAACAGAGTACGTAGCCCCACCGAGTTCGATGATGCGCTTCTCCCATCGGATCTTTTCTCCGATGCGTTTGTTGATCTGATCGTTCAAGTCGCGGAGAACGTGCTCGCCGAGGGAAGCTACGCAAGTCGCCCATCCGTGAGGGGTGGAAACGGAGACGATTGCTACTTCGTACCGTTTTGAATTTCCGACACTTTGCGCGAGATGATGCGGATCACTTGATGGCGATATCGTTCGGCATCCGCTAAGTTGGTGCACTCGGACGTCTGGAATGGCCGTCTCCTACGCACGACATATGAGCGGCGATGACAGGTATAGAGATGTACCCCAGGAAAGATTTGGACAAATCTGCCTTCATGGACGTCCATCGATTCATCATCGAGTTCGCTTTCTCCTCATTACGTGCCATGGTTGCTTGGTATCGGGGTTTTGCTCCGCGGTCAAGATTTGCCGCTGCTTTGGAATCCTAATTGGACCATCGAAAAGGCCTATTTAGGCTTTAAACCTGGTTCTACTTAAAAACAATCCCATACAGTACTCAAATGTAAATTCCCAACGTGAAATAAAATTCATTGGCCTGCGATTGCTCAGTCATTTTCAAATTTACCGCAAAGGTGACCGATCTTCGCGCCGCAAGGGGGGTGCCGGCAACTCGTATATAGACGACGATCTTGAGCGCTACACGACAGGAACATGATGACAACTCTTCTAGCTACCTGAATGGAGACCACTCCATGGAGGAGCAAGTTCTACATGAGATTGCTGATTTCCTCATATATTCCGTGCATTGCATGCGTCAATGCCGCCGACGAAAAGTAAAACAAAGTAGATCGAGGTCGCGAGCAAGTAGTAGTAGTACAGTCTGTATGTCTGTCCATCCCATCGCTCCTTCTCGACCACCGAAAGGACGAGGAACGAATGTAACACTAGATGAACGAAGTACGGCAATGCATGCATACTCGTTCTTCTTAGGACGCAATCTGTTCGATCAACTTTTGAAACACCGGGTTGAACGCGGCTTGGTCGCCCTTGACACACACATTGGCAGCGTTCGACGCTCCGTCGAACGTCACTTCCAAGAACGCCGACACGTTGGTCATGGTCTTGAACGAAAAGTACCCAATCTCCTTGCCCTCCACCGCTCGCTTGGCCACGTAAAACACGTTTCGCGGCTTGAAAATTGCCGCGAGGGCATCCACGGACGCCGTCGACGCCTTGACAGGGAGCGCAAAGTACGTCTCGTTGGCGTCGGCAATGCCCTTCCACAGGGTGATAAAGTCGGCTTTGTCCACGAGGCCGCCCTCGGTCAAGAGCACACTCACGTCGATGTCCGTGGAAAAGTACAAGACGTCGCCCGACCCGAGGTTCTTGAGCGCCACTTGGACGACCGTGTGGGGCGCCACGGTCGCGTTCACAAACTGCGGACTCACCGTCATGGGGATGCTCACGGACGCGCGCTGGCCGGGCGCGAGCGGCGTGGCAAAGTTGACTTGCGGCTGCGTCGGCACCACGCCGAACGTGCTCTTGTTGAGCTGGATGGCCACGCCCGGGACGGTTGTGCTCGACTGGTTCTCCACGTCCAAATCCAACGAGAACGCCCCCTGTCGGCGGGTGTACGCCCCATGGATCACGAGCCCCTTGCCGGTCTGGGCGTTGGTCAGTTGTTTCTTGGCCACAGGAGCCGGAGCCACAGCTACCGGCGCGCCAAAGATGTCTAGGCCACCCGCACTGGTTGTCGGGGCGGGAGGAGCTCCTCCCACAGACATTCCGCCCATGTCCAACAGATCCACCGCGCCGCCGCCAGGTGCCCCGCCGTCCGACGTCTCGGCGTCGTCGTACCGCTCGTCGCCTTCCGTGTCGGCGGCCTCTTGTTCGTTTTGCTTTTGAATCTCGGCAATGTTGGAGCGCACGACAAACGCACTTGGGAGCTTGTGGTAGACACTCGCCAGCGTCGAAATCTTGCCGATGAGGTCGTCCAGCAGCGCCGGCTCGAGCGTGAACGTGTCGTCGCTGATCACGGGCTTCTCGGCGAGCACCACGGCCTTGGCGGCGTCGGGGTTGGCGCTCAGGAGGCGCCAGTACACGTACCCGCGGTCTCGGAGGTCGGGGTTGTCGCTCTCTTCGGTCGCCTTCTTGAGCACGGCCTGCACCATGGCCTGCGTCTCATTCGGCCGCTTCAGGAACAGCTTGACCGTGGCCGTGAGCAACTGCAGCTGCACGAGCGCCGTCTCGTCTTCGAACGCGTCCAGAAACGACTGGAGCAGCTCGTCCGCGTTGTCGATGCGCTCGGCGTACTCGCCAATGATCCACACCATCGAAGCTTTGGCCTCGGGCTCGTCGAGCGTGTCCAAGTTCTCGCACAAGGTCGCAATGATGCTTTCGTACTGGTTGGGGTACTTGCGGAAGATGTCTTTGATCACAATGATCGCTTCCTGCACGATGTAGTTGACCTTGGTCTGGATCAGCTCGAGCAGGACGTTGATGCACTTCTCCGCGGCGTTGTTGAGCTTGATGGCGCACCGCCCGATCGCGCGGACGCTGCGCCGCACGAAGTCCACATCCACCTCGGTCGCGTATTCCTTGAACTCGAGCAGCACCTGGTCCACGTTGCGCTCCGACACCAACCGAATGATAATCTCGAGCTTCTCCATCTAATAGTAGTAGCACATTCCACGATGTGATCATCCCAAACCAGCTCATACAAACATCCACTTGAATGGAGCTGTATATATATGTGTGTCTATGATTCACATAGATATATATCTATATGATTCTATATATATATATATATGATTATGATATATATACATATATGTCTATGATTCACAGAATAGTGGGACCCCAAGTGGTCACCTCTTTCACAAAACATGTGCAATTAATTCACAAAACGTGACCAAGTGTAGACACTTGAACTGTGTGAAATTCGTACCTTGACGTAGATCGGGTCGTTGTACTTGCAGAAGAACACTTTGATTTCGCTCGACAAGATGCTCGGTCTCTTTTGCACAATCAGGTTGATGTTCCGCAGCGCCACGTATTGGATCTCTGGCTCGGTGGACAAGAGCGTCACGAGCGGCGGCGCCATCTTGCGCGACAGCGTGCGCTCCGTGTCGGCGTTGGTCACTTTCTCCAAGAACCTATCGGCATATCTCGTCATTTTCGGCGGGCGTGGCTGACATGACATCTATGACAACGTACTTCATGATGACTTTAACTGCGGAAAGCACGACCGCCGAGTTGGCATGCTGCAGCCGCGGGGTCACGCGCTCGATGATGCCTTCGGCTTCGCGAGAGTCGGCCGGCACGTAATTCGCGAGCGCGTCCAGCACAAACACCTGACCCCATTCATTGCACTCGTTGAGCGCCGCCAGCAGCTTCTGCAGCACCGACTTGGTGATCTATCACGACAACATCATCAAGTTGCTCTTTCGTGGCCATTGGGGCCAAGTTGCTCTTTCGTGGCCATTGGGGTTTTGCGACAATGTACGGCAATATGGGCAATCAAGTAGGCAAATACGATAAGACGGACCTTGAAATGCTGGTGGCCGCCGTTGTCGGCGATTTCGGACAAGGCGGCGACGGCGTTGGCGACGACAGTCGGGTTCGAGTCCGAGATCAACTCGCGAAGCATGTCCAAGAATCCTTGTTCGTCCACGAGCTCCGGGTTGATGTCGTAGAGCTTGGCGACGCAGATCGCGGCGGTCTTGCGGACGTATGGGTCCTACTGGCACACTCAGCATGGACAACGATGCCGTGAGGAACGTACTTCGTCGGTCAAGCACTTGCGCAGGGGCTCGCATAAATATTCGGTGATGCGGTCAACGCGAATGCAGCCCATGGTGCGGACAGACAAGGCGCGGATCAACGGGTTGGGGTCGTTGGCATCCTGAACGGGATGGAAAGGCACGACAAAGGTCAGAATCATTGTCACTTGATAGGCTAGGGAAAGTACGAACCTTGACAAACGTGTTGACGGCGAGAATGGTCAAGTCGGGGTTGCTCTTGGCGTAGTTGATCAGGTACAAATACACGAGCTTCTTGAGCTGTGTGTCGGCCGTTTGGATGCAGTTCACTACGTCTGTGAACAACATGGACACGTCCTTGCCGACGGTCATGTTGGCAATGACCTTCTTCACCGCGTCCTTCTTCTTGTCTCGGCTTTGGTCAGCTAGTTCCGTGCGCAGTTCGTGCGTCTCGCCTACGTGTACCAACCCCTCAGCCATGCCACGCGTCATGCCGCGTACCTTTCTTGCTCGACGTAAAGAACTTGGAGTCGTTGCCTTCGCCACGCATCTTCTTGGCCAGTTCCGCCATGCCCGCAGGCATGTTGGTGTTGGCGATATTCTTCATCGTAGCTGCGAACGACATGGTACCTCCTTAGCTTCGTTGACCTCCGGCGTCCGTCGTTCACTTGGGTTTTGGTCCTGTGTGCTTTTGAACGCAACCCAAGTCACTCGAGTTTCACCATACAGTATACAAATGCCAAGTGTAATTTTTCACCCCCTTCGTAACGGACGACATTTCATTGGTTGAAAAAATTGGCATATCGAGATTTGATTGGCTAAATTTTCAGAGATCTTTCAGGCGTTTCCTTTTAAAGGCCCCATCTTCACTAGGAAAAGATATTTCTTTGCCTTCGAATTTTCGCCATGTTCCTCATCCTTGTCTTGGAAAATGAAGTCTTCGATACTACCTCAATGCAGTTGCGTGGACATCTTAGCATTACGCGACTACACCTACGTCGATAGCTACCCCTAAGCCACTAGCGGCGTTGCGAACGCATCGTCGATGGACTGGCACACGCCAGTTAAACACGACAACGTCTGCTGTCGAAACACGAACCGCGATGCCAAATCCGCGAGTGCATTGTTTGCAAACAGTCCGTCCGTGGAACTCCATTCTCCGCATTCCTACAAGGGAGAGCACGGTCATTCCTTAACGTTACCTGTACAGTACATCATATCCTCAAGTAGCGTTATGCTGTACCTTGCACGTGTGACCCACTCCATTCCCCCGTGAGCTGTGCAAACACGACTCGCAGTACGTGTGGCCACATCCTGTCAGTGTCACAGGTCGAACAAAGATCGACATGCATTTCAGGCACGTGAACGCAGTCTAGCACATGACACGTATTGGTATAGTCGTTCTCAAGACAACGAACATACCTCGGATGACGTTTCAGCTTCGACTAACTTGTCCACCGCATCTTTCAAATCGAGCTGTGCTTGCTTGAGCATGATGATCACGGACGGATCCATCGCCACTTCTTCCAGCGCAGCGCATCGCTGTAGAAGCGTGTCGTGGGCAATGCGTAGCATCGTGTGGGACGTCGTGAGGGTCATCAGCTCGGCCTTCATCTGGTCCATCATCAAGAGCAGCTCGTTCTTCTTGTTCAACATGCTCGCCAACTGCGTTTGCAGTCCCACCACATCCCCCGATGGCGCCGTCCGGGCCACCTGGGCCAGCAGGCGAGCCACGTCCTCCTTGGTCTTGCCCAGCTCCGCCTTGAGCCGTTCCTTTTCGTCCAACACAATCGCCAGTGCTTCGTTCTGGCCTTGTCGGCCCTGCATACATTATCCATCATAATGGTTGTCGAGGCGTCGAAGTACGCACCTGCTGCAACGCGTGGACGGTGGGGTTCTGGGACGTGCAGGCCGACCAGACGTCGGACACCATGGTCAGCTTCTCGCGCAGCGTGGCGTTGTCCACTTCCATCGCCGCCGCTTCGCGCATCAACCTTTGGACATCTCGTTCGTGCTGAGCCACCAGTGCCTTGGTCTGGTCCAGCGCCAACTGCTTGTCCTCGATGACTTTGGCTTGAAACTCCACCTGTTTGCGTGCTCCCGACGCAGTCTAACCCACATCAACGGGAATATATTGTCATTCTAAATATAGAATATACATGGGATACAGTACCACCAACAGGAAATATTAACATTCTACCTGTAAATATAGTATATACATGGGATGCAGTACCTCGTCCAGCGCAATGCACTTGTCTGCGAGGTCGGTGACCTGAGATTCCAAGTCCGCCTTGATCCGTTCGTCCTACAATCGATCGTCAGGGTCACATATGTTGTTCGTTGTCGGACGACGTACCCGCGCAAAGACCACAGTCAACTTGTCCAGTTCGACTTGGCTGGTCGCTCGACTTGCAGCCCATTCGTCCCTGACGTGGCACAGTTCGCGAAGCAATGCGTCCTTTTCCTGGGTGAATTGCATCGTCTTGATCGCCAACGTGTTGCGCGTATCTCGTTCCTTGGCTTGGATGTCGTCGATCGATTGGTTGAGCGCGACAATCTTGCACCGCAACGCTTCGTTCTCGGCCCTGGTTTTCTACACTGGCCTCGTACATAATGCAAGTCCACAAATAGTGTTGTAATACCAGGGTGTCGTCCTCTGCCAGCTTGGCACGAGCCGCGGCTTGCAACTCGCGACTGAGCGCTGCCACGTTGGCTTCGAGGGCGGCCACGTGCTGTGCGGCGTCGGCCAACTTGACCGTCAACGCGCGCTCGCTCTCTTGCGACTTGGCCAACAGTTTGGTCAGCTGCTTGTGGTTGGCAGTGATCTCGTGGCATTTATTCTCCCATTTGAACATCTAACGTGTGTTTAACAAGGGCTAGTTCATACTACGTGTATGGCCGACCTATACCTCGACTTGGTGGTCTTCCTCCAGTTGTTTGGTGCGTTGCTTGCCATCGTCATCGGCTTGCTTGCGCTGGTTGGCTTGGCTCGTGGAGTGTTTCGTGGACGCTTTGTCCAATTTGAGTTCGGCCGACAGGCGCTTCGCCTCGCCTTTGACTTGACCAAGCTCGTCTAATGCCAAGTGAACGGACAAGCTGATAAAACGATAGGTACGTTTGAGCGAGTCGATTTCCACTTGGGTTTGCTCGAGCTGCTGTTTCAACGACTGCACGCTCTGCTTCTCTTCTATTCTCATACAGAAGTTCGCGGGAGTTGTGTACACACACACATCTACAGTACGATGTCGTACTGAGGTTGTATGAAGTCAACGCGGTCAGGTTTCGCTGGAAACTCAACGTCGTTTCCCTTGCCGTGGGACTTGCAGGCTGTGACTTGTCAGGGTGGTGGTGACGCAGCATCTGGAATTTTGCCAACAACCCTGTCTGTTTCTTTTCCAAGTGAGGGATGAGCGATGATGGCAATGTGCGCTATGGAAGGCACATGTAGTCAGCACGTTGGGACACTCCATGAGTCCAAACCTCGGTCATGGCCCGTAGGGGAGGATGTGCAGTGGTGGGCAGAACGGAGCTTAGCTTTGCCGCATTCAATGTATCGTCTTCTATCCTGTCAATGGGACTAGGTCGCCGTGGCGGCGTGGGGCGTTGCGGCACCATTATGCTGCCGTTCTACCAGGTCGGTTACAAGACCGTTACAACTTGTTCGACCGGATAACGGGAACATGTATCCGGTAATCGTCCATATGGTGGACGCAACCAATCAGAAGTGTCACATTCGCCGCGTCGAAAAACGATTGGCCCATATCTGAACTGGAGCTTGCGACGGGAATCTTCGACACCGGTGTCTTTGCAACAACACGATGAGTCGACCGCAATCGATCCGGTCCGCCGCGGCGACGATCACGTCGCTCAATCGATACCTATCCAGTAAAGCGGTGAAACTTCCAGAGTACCCTGTGGATACGTCGTACTTGGTCTCCCACTACACGGCGCCGGCGTTGGCGGCTGCCTTCCGCGACAGGTACGAGGTCGAATTATGCATATCTAGTAATCGCTCATTTTCGTCGACAGAGAACAAACGTTGCGGCGGTGTGCGCAGCTTCTCGCAGACGGTGAAATCGATCAGCTCTCGAAGCTCTTGACGCCGTTCCGTGGCCAAGGTTCGTCCGCATGCCTCGCTTGCATGACCTTACACGGTTAAATTAGCTGTGATCAAAGACAAGCCACCCACGACACCCCTGGACGACGCGTTTTCCGTGCGTCATCTGGACCGCATCAAGAAGCGACTGAACCGCCTACCCCGTCAAATCGCCAAGATGTCGCACAAACGCGCGGCGGTCGTGATTCCGCTGTGTACGATTGACGGTGCGCCGCACGTGATCTTCACACTGCGGTCGTCCCACATGCGCTTCCATCGCGGGGAAGTGTGCTTTCCAGGCGGGATGGTCGAGAGCGGTGACACGTGCATCGAAAACACGTGTCTCCGCGAAATGGAGGAAGAGCTGGGGGTGCCATCGTCTCAAGTGAACGTCCTCGGCGTCTTGCGGTGCGACTGGTCCAACGTGGCGTCCATCACGGGCGTGGCGGTGACCCCCGTCGTCGGACACATCGACGCGTTCGACGAAGCCAGCTTGAACCTCAACTCGGACGAGGTCGAGAGCTTGTTTACGGTTCCGCTGGCGCTCCTCGTCCAAGACAAGTTCTGGATCCGCCCAAAGAATGCCACGCCCGTGTTCACGGCCGGCCCGCATTTGATCTGGGGACTCACGGCCTACGTGTTGGACATTTGCATCCGCGAAGTGCTCTTGGTGGACGAAGCCACGACCGACGACAAGGTGGAAGCTGCTGCGGCCCCCAACGCCCAGTTTGTATAAGTATATTTAACCCCTTTTGCAGGTCCAGTTCATTCCCTTTAGCTTTACACGATGCTGCGGCTTATGTCGCAGTATGCAAGGTGTATCGGCGTGCAAACAGGATAGGATGGGGAAAACAAATGGAAAAAGAAATAGTTGACGATTCAATACATTATTTTCTGTAAATACAGACAATAATTAAATATATAATTTATCAACGTACCACCTGCCATATTTTACTGTAGGTCTATCATATAATCCTATAAGTCTATCATATACTGTAATCCTATAGGTCTATCATAAAATCTTATAGGTCTATCACGTAATCCTATAAGAGTATCATATAATCCTAGACATTGCCACTCCACTCGACCGCAAACGACATGAATATTAAGTCACGTGTTGAGTTTGCCAAACCGCAGCTGCGTGACGTGTTCGGCTTCTCGCTGCACCATAAACGCCCACCGCGCGTCCGTGCTTGGCGGCTTGTACGGCCCGCCCATGCGGCCCTCTTCTTCCAAAATGCACATGGCGGCTTTATGCAGTCGGTCGCCTGTCAGTCCGGCCGCCGACGGGTCGTCTCGGGGGATCTGCATCCACGGCGCATCCAAACCAGGGACGGTGCAGAATGGATTCCGCCGCTTGAGCTTGAACCCGAGCGCGTGGTGAAGCGCCGTGCTTTTGCTGACAAAGTCGCCGTCACTCGCCATGCGATGCACGTAGTTGACGCCGCGCCACAGAAACGGCACTGGCCGGACCATGAAGCTCCGCCACGTTGCGACGGCTTCGACCACGGCGACCGACGTGTCCCGCACCCTCAGCACACACGACAGGATGTCGGCAGGGGATGCCTCAAACGACGTGGTGACGTCGAGCAGCTGGTCCAAGCTCAGCTCCCGACACACGATCGCCTTGAGCACGTCCAGCTCCTCCGCCGCCTGCGACGGGTACTGCGCATGCGACACGGACGCAAGTGGCTGCAGCCGCGTACATTTCACTCGCATGATCGCTCAAGTGAAGTGGTCTGGATGAAACCGATGTAACCGACGACGTTAGCGCATCCACATTTGGTATATATATATTACATAAAAGTCTGACCCTGTACTAAGTAATATGCGACACAGTGTATGATATATTATCCACGTTTGGTATATATATATTATATAAAAGTCTGATCCTGTACTTGGACGTAGAAAATGTATACAAGTAATATGCGACACAGTGCATGATATATTAGTGAGCACGGCACCATGTCACCATAAAGTTGCAAAACCTCTCGAACTTGATATGCATGGACTCACAAAGTGTTGGGTCCTCTACCACTACTAGTACTACTACTAGTACTACTAAGTTACGATAATGGAACACATCCACCTTCATTATGTGAGACGATTCAAGAACCCAGAGGACTCCTCGTCGTTTCGAGACGCAGCCGTTCGGTCCACACGGCAGAACCTGGTTCCATGTCAGCCTCATCTGCACTCCCAACGTACGCGAGCAGGTGCACGTGACGCGACTGCACTTCGATGTCGTCTTCCATACCAAACGACGCGTGCAATGTCGGTCGTACAGTGTCCCATGTGCAAGGTGGCAAGTGGGGGGCCATCGCCACCAGCACATCCAGCGCCTTCACGCGGATGTTGCCCGTCTTGGAAGCCGTGGCGGCCTCCACCACTCGATCAAAGAGGGCGTCGGGGTCCGGAATCAGGTTCCGTTGAGCCAGCTCCCGACACGCTTCGAGCCCCGTCAGTCGCAGCTGGAACGGCTGGTCCAGCAAACTCAGCACGGGGCCCACTCCGGTGGCTTGAAACCAGTCGGGCCCGTGCCGCGCGGTCACCTGCACCAGCGCGTGCACGGCGCCCAGTCGTACCTGTGACACTGTGTCTTGCAGCAGACTCAGGGCGACCACCACGAGCGATGGCGGCAGGGTCTTGTGCTCGGTCCAGTGTCGCACACACTCTGCCGCCAACAGGCGCGACCTCCACGGCCGCTGCTTGGACAGCTTGTCCACATGGACCACCACCAGCGCTTCCAACTCGTCTGGCAGGTGCGCCGACGCCGTCGCCAGCTGCTCCACAACCGTCTGCGCGACCACCACATCCTTGTCTACAACCAGCTGCTGGATCATGGGGACCAACACGTCGCCTTGACTCGCCCTTAACATGGCAAGCGCCGCGCCCAACGACGCCGCCACCGCGCGCCGGACGCTGGCGCACGGGTCCCGGGATAAGGACGACAACGCCGGCAAAATCGACAGAGCCACCTTGGCATGCATCGCCTCGCCATCATCCAACGCCTTCTCTGACGACGAGAGCGCGGCGCTGATCGGGAACGCGCTTCTGGTGGCGGCAATCCGCACCTCCATGTTGGCATCGCCGGCCAACTCGACATAGTGATCCACGAGCACGTCGGCAAAATCGCGGCCAAGCACATGCAGCAGCGTCGGGACCAATGCGACCGTCTGGTGCCGGATCTGCCAGTCGGAATCCGTCACGAACGAATTCACGAGAGGCAGCAGCTGGCACCGCACGAGTCGGCGCGCGGGGTCGTCCAGCCCCGAGAGGACGTCGCCCAGGTCGGCCACGGCTTGCACGGCGTACAGCCGGACGAGGTCCGAGTGGTCGGCGGACAGCTTCTCCGCCGACTGGACGACCCACGCGATCGCGTCGGGGCCAGCGACTCGCGCCAGAGACGGCAGAACGAACACGGCCGCCCGACGGACCAACGGCGCGTCGTCCATCGTGAGCCGCTCAAACAACCCGCGGAACTGGACGCGGAGGTCCCCGTGTACGCGAGCGTAGGTCAGAGGCAGCAGCGCCAGGGGGATGATGCGCGAACTCGGGCTCGAGTACAGGCTCAGGCGCGCCAGGAGTGGAGGAAACGTGCGCAAGAAGGCCGACGGGGACAGCGCCGCGCCGAGCGCTTTCAGGCTGTCCACGATGGCGTCTACATACAAAAACGATATGATGCTACTATCGGTAGTTGAACCATCGACATGAACCAAATATCTTGATATTGTACATGTGTTGATTCTAAATGAATGACACATGTACAGAAGAATTGAGCCAATCAGATTGCAGGAAACCATCATTAACATCGAATTAGTGTATGATTTCAATTAGTGTGATATCACGACACACTTTTTACATACAAAAGTCCGTACAAAGAAGAATCGGTCGATAGATTTTTGGCAAATCGAGCACAAAAGTCAGCCACATTTTGGGTAAAAGGGCAATATAAAGATTTCCAGCCATCTCTCAAAGCCTCCCTCCCATGCATCCAGATTGCTGTTAACATCTTCAACGACTTGCAAACGTACCCCACGTCGTGCTCTTTTCCATGACCGATCCGTTCTCAAACACATCGAGCACCAAGTGCAACACCCACCACAGGTGCTGGTGGTGTGACTCTGTCGCAGAGTTGGGGGCACACCACTGCGCCAGCACCGCAAGGCCCCGCACCAGGTCCAACACGACACTCTCCCCCTTGTCCGCATGCAGGCCCATCCCGTGCACCATCGCCATGAGCGCCCGCCGCGCCACCGCGCCGTCTGTCGTGTCGATGCCGTCGACGTCGGCAGTGTACAACAGGTCGGCTGGCACGACATTATACGTGGCATTCAGTGCAGCGATATGGAGAATCTCACATGCGATGGACGGCAACACTTGAAGCACCTAGCATGCCACAAACCCAGTCGGGAATATCCACCCCAAGAATGCATATGTAGTTCATATTCGTTTACAGAGGGTACGTACCCACAGCAACTTGCGCTGAAACCGGCCAAAGCTGGTGCGGTCGTCGTCCGACACGACCAACTCGTGGCGTTCGGTCGGGTTGGCCGACTGCGCCATGCGAATGTTCACGTCCATCGTCTGCTTCAACGCGGGCAGCCACGGCGCCGGCGTCACGCAAAAACTACCCAATCAAACGTCAGGACGCATGAATATGATCAAATCGTACGTCAAAAGCAGCGGGCGCGGAAGGGTGTGGATCCTGTGCAGTGTCTCGCGGTGAGTCAGATGCGTCACGCCCTCGCCATTGATGGCCACGAGCCAGCTGTCCACGGACACATTCGCGTACGCGGCCGACGTGCCATCCTTGACGTTTACGATGATTGTGCGCTGCAGTCAACATATATATTGTCAAGTCGATATATTCAAAATTATTGCAGTGTTTGGGTGCTCACAATCGAATGAGCAAAAGAACCAAATCGGCACACAATATCGATATATCGACCAATCAAAATCCAAAACACGAATCAAGTAGCCAATCAAATTCATTCTTGGACCAAGTCAACACCGAATTAGTGTGTGTGACTGAAATTAGTGTGACACGCGACGATCTTTCCATACAATAGTCAGGACAAACAATCGATCGATAGATTTGGCAAAGAATCCGCACAAAAAGTCAACCAAATTTTGGGTCAAAGAAAGACAATACCACAGTGTGGAAACATAGACATGTTATTATTATTTTATTATATACGCGTAATTTTTATCATATAGAGTCCTTACCAATGCATAATAGAAACGAATAAAATACATTATAAATAATAGATTATTTAAACAGAAATAATAGATGAATTAACCGAAATAATAGATGAATTAACAGAAATATATCATAAACAATATACTACAAACGTGGAAAACAGTTCAATCGTCGTCTAACCTTGTATATATATATATAGATAATCGACGTACTTCGTGGATGTTTTCGACTGTGATGCCCATGGGTCCCGTGGGGAACGACGCGTCGTACAGCGGCCAATCCGGGTGCGCGCGGTTGTTCACGTGGCCGTCGGTCGAGTACCATTCGTGCCCCACGACTTGATCAAAGTTGGGGAAATGGGGCACCGGATGGAAGAGCTGGTCCATCGCCACCGCCACGTTGCCTTGGCTCCACGTGTAGTGCAGCAGTAGCAGGTCCGACGGGTACTTGTCGGCGGCGGCTTGCCGCATGCTTTCCAACGCTCTGGCCATGATGTGGATGCCATACTCGACAGGGGACGACGACAGCAGCAGCTCAGTGGGGACGGCCGAAGTGTCCACCGAGGGTTTCCGGTCGTCGTGATGGCCATGTGTGTGGTCGGCTCGGCGGAAGCGAAGTAGCACTGGAACGTTCACCACCTTGCAATACCCATGATGGTCAAAGGGGATGGGTGGAGAGGGCATGTAGTTACCTCTTTGGACAGCCGCGTGACGATGGGCGCGACGTTTGTCTCTTTGATCACGTGCCCCGAGCACGCGATGAGGACGTCGGCCTTCTGGATGTTGGCTTTGTGCGCAGCCCCGCCGACGACAACGTCTTGGACTACGATGCGACCAAGCACGTTGCCGATTGTCCACTTGAGCACCCCGTCCGTGAGTTCGACCTCGTATTCTTCGTTCGTGTGAAGCACTTTATGAGGTCCGTCGGGAGAGGAGAATGTTGGAGTTGGCGGCGGTGTGATCGACACGACAGGGGACTTGGATGGGTTGTCTTGACCTGGCGTCTTGTCGAGGAAATACAGACCAACGGCGTCGCTCAGGTCGCCATGGGATCTCGTGACCAGATCGCGGAGTTCTGCATCCGTTACGTTGTTATCCAGCAAATCCTTGAGAGACGCAATCGCTTGAGGATCCAAGGAAGGGTTTGTCGCGGGAGGGACGATCGTTGCTGCGTCGGCGGGGAGTCCAGCGTCATCCATCGTATCGTCATTCAAGTCGCCGTGGCCATAATAGTACTCTACTGCGCGGCCAACATCCCCGCCCACCTTGAGCAGTAGCCAGCGCAACTTGTCGTCGGAGTAAGATTCGCCGACGATACTCCTCAACCGCGCCAAGCCGTCGTCATTCGACTCGGCGCTCGACGACGACATGAGGAGAATGACACTGGAAGGATTTTTCAAGGTTGTCGTGTAGAATGCAAACGAGTTTTAATCGCAAACAATTGTACATACAAAATTCAATATATGAGTCCAACTTTGTGATTTTATTTTTTCATACTGCAATCTCGCTCGACGGAAGTCCGGATGTAAATGCTGGATTATCCGGATTACATTCAAGTAACTAACTTTTACAGTGTAATAGCACAAAATTGGCAATCTCGCAGACAGCAAATGGAAATACCATAACCAGGATATAAGAATGATATGGTTGATGCTATATATAGCAGTGCGTAGAGATACTCTAATGTACGCCTCGTTGTTCGTGTGTGTGTCTCCAAACCTGTCGGCAGCTCATGTGAAATAACATTATTCTGATAATATTAATTCCTACAGTGGCTGCTTCTGTGCTGCTTGCGAAGTCGACGTTAACTTTAGCTAAGTAACATGGTAGTGGGTCGAATGCTTTGTCATGGCGTGGTACTGTTTGTAGAGTGCAAACAACGGTGGGAAGACTCACTTAACGGCAGGAACGCTCCACAGCTTTGGATTCGCCCGTTGATTGGCCAGTATACAAACGTTTAGATATACTGAGTTATCCGGATATCCGCATACACTCGCATTGCTCGGTCATTTTTGAAAACAGCGAGGTGGTGAAACTTTGCACCGTGGGCACGCCGAGCCTTGAATCCCGCTGAGATCGCACTACAATGGCCGGTACGTAGCGCTTCCTCCGACGACTTGTCGGTTGATCTATGGTGGTGATGGACGTTGTAGATTCTTCTGCCAAACCCCCTGTCAAGGTACACAATACTCTCGATTTCTCATGCCTCGCATCAAGTTTTGGGGGGGAGTATGAATTGTTGTGATTAATTATTGGCTTAAATGTGTGCGATTGATACTTGCATGGGATTGGTGCAAAAGAAAGGCTTGCTGCTCTGGGATTGGTGGAAATGCGTCTTCACCTCGTAGGTCGAAGCCGCGCCGACTGTGAAACAATCGGGCTCGGGCTGCGCCGCGTGCGGCCTGGACAACAACGCCGACAGTATCTTGTTATGCGACGGTAACGAATGCAATGCCGAGTACCACACGTATTGCCTCGTGCCGCCGTTGACGGAAGTCCCCGACGGCGACTTTTTCTGCCCGTCGTGCAGCGGCAACGGCACCACGTACGCCATTCGCGCTGCGACCAACGACGACGAGAACGACAATGTTGTGCTCGAGTCCACGTCGTCGTTGGGGGTGTTTCGCCGCTGGTATGTGAAGAACAAAAACAAGGTCTTCTACAAGCCGTTTGTGGCGCAAGTCGAGTCCAACTCGGGGCGACCGATCCAGTTGGGACTGTATCGCACGGAAGAGCTGGCGGCGGAGGCGTACGACTGCTCGATCTTAAAGTCGCATGGCGCCACGGACCTCGCGCAGCTGCAGCTCAACTACCCCGGCAAAATCGACAAGTACAAGGACATCATCTTGGCCGCGTACATCGCGCCGCCCAGCGACTCGGACAACGACGACGCGGCGACTCGTAGTCGGCTCACGCGGCTTCGCAAACCCGCGCGCCACAACAGCTTTGACAAACCACCCAAGCGCCATCGATCCCTCAAATCCGACGACGGCGGCGACGACAGCGCCAAGAAGGCGCGCAAGGCGGCCGTCGACTATGCCGCCCTGAATGTCGGCGACATTCCCACCAAGTACATTGGCGTCAACGTGCACTCCAACTTTTCCGTGGCGCAGCTCAAGATCCTCGACAAGGTCAACTTTATCGGGCGATTCGATACGCCCAAGGAAGCCGCGCTCGCGTACGACCGCGAGGCGGTCCGCCACTTCTGCCGCGGCACCCCCCTCAACTTCCCCGAACGCCGCGACGAGTGGACCCAGACGCACGCCAGCCACACACTCAACAAAGTGCTCGTCGTGCCTGAAAACCGATACAACAAGAACGTGGACAAGCTCACGGTGTGTTAGCTGACTGAAGGATTCGATTTGGCCGCAACGGACTGAGTATATCTATGGTAGGCGTGGATGCGGTTGGTTGGCCAAACGGTCAAGTTGATTGAAGCATCGCGACGAGTGCACTGGCCGTCGCTGGACATGGACGCCATTGAAAGGGGACCCGTGATCAACGAAGAGTTTACGACCCGTGACAGAGACGTATGCTGTACATATATATATATATATATATACCTTTGACCTAATATTTGGCTGACTTTTTCGCCAAATCTATCTATCGATCGAATCGTTGTACTGACATTTGTATGTAAAGATCGTCCAGTGTCACACTAATTTCAGTCACACACACTATTTCGATGTTGCATTGGTCGAAGGGAGGACTTGATTGGTCACTTGAATTGTGTTCTGGATTTTGATTGGTCGATCGATATTGTCTGCCGATTTGCTTTTGTGTGCTATTTCGCCAAATCTATCGATCGATCTGAATTAGTGTGACACTCGACGATCTTTCCATACAATAGTTGTCCTGACTATTGTATGGAAAGATCGTCGAGTGTTACACTAATTTCAGTCACACACACTATTTCGGTGTTGACTTGGTCCAAGAGTGAATTTGATTGGTCACTTGATTCGTGTTCTGGAGTTTGATTGGTCGATATATCGATATTGTGTGCCGATTTGGTTCGTCTACTCGTTCAATTGAGCACCCGACTGGAATAATTTCGAATCGACAATATATATTTATATATATAACGTATATAGTTTGTGTTCTACACAAATCATGATATATCTGTGGTAGCTACGTAACTCGTGCTTGGCCGTGTTTGCGTGCGTCGACAGCATCATTCAGGTACGGTCATCCGACGTGGTACAAAATGGCGGTACTAAGTTGTTGTAAACATAGGAATCCAAGTTTTACCAAGAAAAGTCGCCCAATGGAATGTTCCTCAACCCGCCGCCGGCCGGATGCTTCTTGGAACTGGCGGCCGCGCGGGCGTACATTGCATACTGCGAAGCGATCAACGATTTCTCCAAGTGCGACGTGGACAACGTCGGCACTTTGGCCGCGTCGTTGGCGACGGTGCTGAGTGCCCGGGACGAGTACCTCAAGGCCAAGGCGGGCGAAGATTCCATGCTCCAGGAACTGGATGACTTTATGGCCACCGCCATCAAAACGTTCGAGCCGAGCAAAGCGCGTCCCGAAGATGTGACGTACTTTCCCAACTGCAAGTACATCAAACGAACGGTTGACGTGGAGCACGCGCCGCCACTCGTCAAGTCGGAAAAAGGTGACGTTGTGGCCGACTCGACGCTCGCGGCCAAAGACGACGAACCGCCACCAGTCGATGGCTCCGACATCATTGCAGAGGATACATCGTCGTCGACGCACGCGGCGGACAAACCCAATGGAAAAACCAACCACGCCACTGCCGCCGCCGCTTCCTTGACGCATGACGAGTGCTGCTTGGCGGTCGAGCTGGCAGACGGGTCGTACGAGTTGTACCCGTTGCTGACGCTGGAGCGGGTGGTGACGGACGACGGGCACACGCCGCTGCGATGGACGAGCGACCAAGTGGCGGCGCACGAGGTCACCGAGATGGACGCGCTCACGTTTGGCGTGGACATCTCGCCGACGTCCGCCGCCGACATCGTGCCGTACCTGTGCGTGACGTTTGTACACGAGATGACCCTTCGCGCGCGCGGCCGGGACCAAGTCGACGTGAAGGCCAAGAAGGCGGACAAGCTGGCGGCGCTACAGGCCAAAGTCAGCGTGTTCATGGACAACTTCCCCAAGACCAAGGCCGCGTACGACGTCGACACGACTGCCAACAAGCTGGTGCTGGCCAACGCCAAGCGCGACATTGAGCTCCTGGAAACGGTCGACCTCGTTGCGGTGCCGGCGACGACGGCGGGGCTGTCGACGTGCATGCTGCACCTCAACACGTACCTCGACACGCTGAACGCGCGACGCGAGCAGTTTGCGGCCGAGTTCAAGTACTACACGGCGGCGCTGCTCCAAGTGATCGCGTCAGACGGCGTGCTGGCATCGCTCCAGGCCAGCTACATGGCCTTCTTCACGCGAGAACTGCACGCGCTGTGGAAGGAAAAGTGTGCGTCGCTCGAGATTTTGTACCTGCTGCTGCGCTCGATGGCGAAAGCGGCGGCCGAAGACCCGGACGCCGACGGCATGCAGGCGCCGATCCGCCAAGCGATAGCCGCGTGGGAAGCGTTCACGTGGCCCGATCTGACGCGCACGACGCCCTTCTTGACAAAGACAGAGACGTCCCCGCTGGCCACGGTGAAGCCCGAGCCCACGATCGCCGTGGATGAGCTCAAGGGTGTGATTGAAACCACTCTGTCGCATCGAGGTACGCTTGAATCTGTCCAAATCAACAGCCCCGCACACAAAAGTACAGAGAAATGGATGGGCTCTGACTCAATGATCATCTGTGACAGTGATTGGAGCGTCGGCCAAGGCTGCGACGTCGAAACCGACCAAACCGCTAACGATGGTGGTGTATCATCCCGTGTGCATCCACCACGAGACCCCTCCAGAGCACCCGGAATCCCCCGAACGATTGAAGGTGTGTTGTCATTGATTGACTGGATCTTTATATCAAGCACATGACTAGCGAGCGATTGCAGTGCTGAAACCGTTGACGCTCAAGTACCCCCACGCACTGTCCGTGGTGGCTTTGAGTGGCACGGCGTCCGAGCTGGCGCCCCCCGAGACCACGCTGCTGCTGGTGCACTCGCCGCATTACTTGGACCAGTTGAAGGACCGGTCGACCAAGGTGACCCGAGGCGCGCTTGTGTTTGAGACGGACCCCGGCGACGACAACGACGGCGTCGAAGCGGCCGCGCCCGACACGATCCGGCCGTTTGCAGCGATCGGCGGCGCGTTCAAGGTGGCGGCGTCGATCAAAAAGGACTCGGCCATGGACACGTACGTGAGCGCGGCGTCGTGGGACGTGGCGCGCATCGCGGCGGGCACGGTCTGCCTCGCGGTGGACAAGGTTCTGGCTGGCGAGTTTGCCAACGCCGTGTGTCTGGTGCGTCCTCCTGGTAAGAGCCTCTTTCGAGTATTTTGTATTGAGTAGAGATAGAGTCACTTTGGAGTCCCCACTATATTTGGACAATTGGCCTTGTACCCCTAAATTTGGCCGACTTTTGTGCGGATTCGTTGCCAATTCTATCGATCGATTCTTTGTACTGTCATTTGTATGTGAAGATGGTCCAGTGTTACACTAATTGAAGCCACACACTAATTCGATGTTGACTTGGTCAATCAGTAGATTTGATTGGCTACTTGATTATTTATGTGGGTGCTACTTCTGATTCGATTGAGCATCCATCCCACTCGAATTTCGAATATATCGACTTCGCCATACCTGTTCTCCGCATGTACTGTACATATTGCAGGCATATCGAAATGTGTGGTTTATTCGAGGTTGGATTGGTAGGGCATCACGTGGGGCGCAACGGACGCACGCCGACGGCGCCGTCGTCTGGGTTTTGCCTGTTGAACAACGTGGTGATTGGCGCGCTGCACGCCCGCATGCACCCGAGCGTGACCCGAGTGGCGGTGCTGGACTGGGACATCCACCACGGCAACGGCACGGAGGAGTTGCTGCGGGGAGACCCGCGGTCGTTCTTTGCGTCGATTCACTTGTATCACAACGACTTCTTCCCGGGTACTGGTCCCACTGCGTCGGACGCCAACATCGTGAACGTTGGGCTGCAGAACGCTGGCCTTGGCTCTGGCTCCGAGTACGACGACTGGCTTTGTATATAGTAAGAGACTGATGGATGTTGGTAGGGCCTTTCGACACGCGCTGACGACGGCAGTGTTCCCCGCGATGGAAGCCTTTCAACCCGATATCATTTTCATTTCCGCGGGTTTTGACGGCCACAAGGACGACATCTTGGGCGGGTGCGCGGCCGTGTCCAACCGAGCTGTCCCGGCCGGCTACGTCGAAGCGGTAAGAAGAGTGATATATATATTGTCGATTTGATACGGGGAGGGTGCAATCGAATATATCGCGCCAACCAAACCGATCCACAATCGATCTGATTGGTTGTTGATTTTCATTGAGAAGGTTTTGATTGGGTAATAATTTTGAGCTCATCTGAGGTAGCCAATCAAATCGATTTAAATTCCAACGAGAAACCACAACACAATGAAATTTCACTCGAAAGCACAATATATATATATATTGTCGTTTGGCCCAATATGTGGACTTTTGTGCTGATTCGAAAACATATATCGATCGATTCGTTCGTTGAATTGACAGAATATTCTGGATGTCAAAAGGTGTCGTGTGTGTGAAATTGTAATCACACTAATTTAGGGTCTCACACGAAATCAAGCGATTTCTTGCAATCTGATTGGCTAAATATATCCTTCTGCCAATGATTCTTGTGTACATTTATTTGGTTGTGTCGATTCTTCCTTCTCCATGTCGCTTACCAGCCAGTTTAGAATAAATATCATGGATATATATATCAGCGTGATGTTGATAATGGCAGTATTTGTGCGTATGGTTGGTGGTTATATTGACCTGTATTAGGACTATGCATGGGCGACGAAGGAAGTGCTGAAGATTGCCGAGAGACACTGTCAAGGGCGCGTCGTGTCGGTGCTTGAAGGCGGGTACGATGTGCGCGACGAAACCAACTCGCTGGCCAAGTCGATCGAGTCGCATATCGATGCGATCGTCGAAGGGGTGCTCGAGTCCGCGGCGGCGAAAGCGCCAACGACGACGGCAGACCAACAAGTCAAGACCGAAGTCAAGGTAGAACCCAAAGTTGAAGGTCGACTGGCTCAGTTGCTCAGCCAGAACCTCAACGACGCATCGGTTGTCATCGTGGATCAAGCCATGGCGTAATTTGTAATGCATGCTGTGTTCTCAAACTATATAGTTGCTGAGAATCACGTGAAGTAAACTCGGGATATATATTACTTGGCGTGAGTATACTATAGTGCATACCTGTGAACATGTCCACCCTCCTCCACGTATCTCACCCATCCTCCAGAGAAATGATCCAAAAGGACAATCTCTGCCATACGTTCTCAAGGGACCTCTAAGATTGGATACATTACTTTTACCTGCTACTTTCGTTCTTTTGGGCAGCATATTGGATCCATGAACATCTTTCAGAACGTCCGCGAGTACCTGACGCCGGTGCTGTCCGAGTCTGGGTTCGTCACGGATGGCGTGCTAACACCGGAAGAGTTTGTGGCCGCGGGGGATCAGCTTTGCTACAAGTGCCCTACGTGGCGATGGGAGGGAGGGGACGTGGGCAGTCGCCGATCGTACTTGCCTCCAAACAAGCAGTTTCTTCGCACGACGGGGGTGCCCTGTCGCCGCCGCGTGACGTCGTTGGAGCAAGATTACATTGGGGAAACGGCAGTCGAGGGTGACAATGACTGGCTTGAGACCCACAACCAGAACAAGCCCGTTGACGACACGGCCGAGCGCATGCAGCACATCTCCCTTGACGGTGGCGGCTCTTCGCCAACGTCCTCGTCGCAAACAAACATCCTCCGTACGCTAGTCGACGAGCATTTCCAAGCGACAGCAGCAGCAACTACCTCCACGTATGGCCATGCCACCGCGTCTTCATCGTCACCGCCCGACCTCAGTGCATTTGACGACGACGACAATCTGGTCGAAGAGACCGACGAGGCGACGTTGACGTACATCGCCACGTCCGAGCCCGAGCCGACCGAACTCGATGCCGACGGCAACTTGGTGTACACACGAACATACGATTTGTCGATCAGCTACGACAAGTACTACCGCACGCCCCGCGTGTGGTTGTTCGGGTACGAAGAGAGTGGCGCGCCGCTCAAGCCCGACGACATGCTGCAAGACATCATGCAGGTACAACTCGTTCCATCATCGTCCTCCATGACATGATGAACCTACGGGCCGCAGGACTACGCGAACAAGACCGTGACGATCGACCCGCACCCGCACTTGCAAGGCATCCCGCACGCGTCGATTCATCCGTGTCAACACGGCGCCGTGATGAAGCGCATCGTGGCCAACTTGATGGGCGGCGGCAAGGAAGTGCGCAGCGACCAGTACATGTTCATCTTTCTCAAGTTCCTGCAGTCTGTGATTCCCACGATCGACTACGACTACACGATCGACGTCGAAGCCAAGTCGTCGTAATGTCGTCGACGACCCACATCAACAACACAACACAAGATGCTTTGGTGTTCGTATATATAATAGTACTATGGTCAATCGACGATACACTCGCGACCTTTCACATGCTGCTTACGTGATGTTGTCTTCACGTTGCACCAGCAGACTCTGTCGCAGATTCTCCTTGGTTCAACGCTTGGTGGACCCACGCACCCACGAGGTTGTGGCCAGTCGCGAGGAAGTGGGCGTAATGCGTGTGCAGACACTTGACCGACGCCGGATTTCGGATGCCAGCGATGCCAACCGTCTGCAATGCTCGAACCCACTGCTTCTTCTCCACGACAAGTCTGTCGGCGGGGGTAAGCAGCGCCCATCGCTCCGACGCGTACGCGGCATGCATGTCTGTCATGGCCTGCCATCCGGACATGGAAAACACTTGGTCAAATATGTACACAACATGCCGGTCGTACTTGGAGATGTTTAGGAGAGGCGGCCAATCGGTCGGTGAAGCGCGTGACGAACCCCGCGCCCTCCAAGAGCGACACGCGCTCGTGCAGTTCTGGACTCGCGAGCCAGTACATGGTCGGGAACGGCTCTGCGGTCGCTCGATGGTGCTTCTTGTAGTCGTTCGTGCAGTCTCTCAACGGATACAGCACGAGCACGGCTGGCTCCACTTGGTTCTGTCTGGTCGTGTACGACGCGGCGACTCGGACGAGATTCGCCGGCACCGCGCCCAAGTTGCGCGCAATCGCCGCCAGTACTGTCGGGTCCACGACTTCGCAAGGAATTCCTTCAATGACATCATCCAGCTCGGCTTGGCTTGGCGACGGAAGGGCGGGGGCTAAATCGCCCAAGTCCAAGAACGTCGAGCTCTCGTCCGTCACCGCCGACGTAGGTGGCAATTGGATGTCGTCGTCGGTCATTTGAAGCAGGAATGGTCGCAAAATGGACCAATCACAACGCTCTAACAATTCATCCGCCAATCAAATCGCTTGCATTTGATTCCTTTGATCAATCTCCAAAAAGTAATGCGAAGATGCCGTCTACTCGAGGTATTGCTCTTGAGATACAGGAACAGCCATCATGAGGTCGTATACTGCTGTACTGTTTAGGGAGGTACATACACCTATGGTACAGTCGTCGCCTAGCTAGCTAGCTCGTGATGACGCGCACCCCCAAGAGCGATACTTTGTGGGCGTCAATGTTGTCTGGCTGTCGAATGAACATCATGTTGGTGGAAATGTGCAAGTACGACGCCAGCCATTGCACCAACGCTGGCTCAAACGTGCCTTCAATCGATACGTAATCAATCTACAGCATCCATCATGATTGCGTCATCATTGCATCATGCGATACTACTGTACCTTGGTCTCTGGGTACATGCTATCAAACACCCCCACGAGGTCGGCAAACCCGACGGGGTCGGCGGTGCCCGGGGCATGGACGTGTACGATTTGGATGTTCTCCGTGTGCTCGTTGGTGCGGACGTACCGTACGGCTTTGTTGAGCAACGACAGCGACATGTGCTTGCAGAAGAACACTACGGGCGGTGCGTTGATGGCTTGGATAGCCTACGAACAAACAGCATCATGTTTCCATCCCAAGCTCACCATCAAACACAAATATGGCAGTCATCTCCCATGAATAAACAAGAGCAATAACCAGTTAACCAGACAGACCTTTCGAATGGTGCGGCCGCCTAGCGCCCCCGTGCGCGGCTGCAGCAAGGGCTCGTCCAGGTCACTGCTGTCGGACGACTTGGTTTCCGCCTTGTCCTTCTTGGATGGACACAGGCTCTTCATGACAAACATGCAGACGCGGAGAAGGAGGATGCGCTCCAGCATGATAAACACGAGCGACCCCACGACGAGAAAGTAGAGCGCGAACACGACCGACACGGTCGGGTCGCCCAGCAACGTGCCGAGAAAGCCGCAGCACACCATCACCAGCGCCACAATGCACTTCCACCTACAAACGCCCAACTTGTGTGTTAGTTGTTGCAAGTCTGAGTCTGAGTCTGGTACCACGCGGCGCTCGTGTCTCGCGGCATGTGGCTTCGCTTCACCTTGAACAAGATTGCGCCGCCCGAGAAGAGCAGCAGCAAGCCCAGGAACGCGTACGAGAACACACTCGACAGCATGACGATGTCGCCGTTCAAACACACGACGAGGCTGGCGGCGATGGCAAAGTAGAGCCAGATGATGTAGTGGTTGGTGTGGCGCCACTTGTTCTCAGCCAAGAGGAACTCGGGCATGACGCGGTCGCACGCGAGGCGACGGACGAGGCCCGTGATGCCCACGTACGACGTTAGGACGGACCCCGACAGCACGATGAACCCGTCGATGGTCATCCAGAGCTCAAAGCCGCGGCCAAGCGTCTCCCGCGCCATGAGCGCCAGCACAATGTTGTTGTTGGCGATGGTGCCGGCGGGCCCGAGCAGCGGCAGCACGCACAGATTGAGGATAGACAAGGACAGGTTGAAGAAGGACGAGAGAAACCACATGTTCTAGAAAGGAGTTAGTCTTACGAGATGGGGCAACGACGGGGGGGGGTGGGGGAGCGTACCCGAAGGATGGCGCCAAAGATACCCGGCTGCTGCTCCTCGACAAAGTTGGCGGCCGTCTCAAAGCCCGTGACGCCCAGCATGGCCGAGCTGAAGCCGAAGAACACGGCTGTAAACACGTTGCTGGTAACAAGAGAGCCGCAAATATCGAGGTCGGGCAACGGGGTCTGCATGTTGGAGCGCAAGATCTACATGAAGTTGGTGCATATGTCATTCAACCATCCAGGCGGGGCGGACGGACGTACGTGGGGGTTGTTGAACGAGAAGACGACGCAGCCAACAATCAAGATCAACAACGTCATGATGTGCAGCACGAAGATGCCCAATGCAATCACCTGCGTCAAACATGATGATGATGTTGGACAGATTTTGAACGATGTACCGCGCTCTCGCTGAGACCCAAGACGTTCAGCAACGCAAACACAAACAAGATGCCGATGGCGCTTTCGACGTTGTTCACGGACGGGACTTGGGCGCGAAGGTAGTCGGAGGCAGACACGGCGCCGACGACCCCCGTCGCTAGGTACGCAATGACGGCCAGCGTCGCCGTCATCGCCGCCACTTTCTTGGACGTCGTGTTGAGCATGGTGTTGTACGAACCGCCGTTCAACGGAATGGCACTCACGACTTCGATGTAGATGAAGCGGAAGAGGTACATGACACATGTGACGAGAAAGGTCGGGATGGGCGACAGCTTGCCTGCCTTGGACGCGACGATGCCCGCCGAGTACAAGCAACTGGAAAGCAAATCGTTGCCGCTGATGGCTGTCGATGGCCATTCCGACAAGAGATGCTTTGGTGTTTGCATGGTCGTCCGAATCGAATCGAGCGAGTCGCGAGGGATGTGCAGGGTTTGCGCATGCCCATAGGTCGCGTAAGTCCAGCTGGCTACAAGGACATGAGGGTGCCAAGTCATGGTCATGCCTACTACGTACGTCCATGAAGCGTCTCCTCCTTGACAGAGAAGTCGAAGTGACGCGCGGGGTTGGAATTCGACCCGTATGACCGGCGGCGCTCCATGATGTTATCGCAAATTTTGATTTGCGGCCAACACGATTTACGTTCCATGAATCTCATCATTTATAATGTGATTTATAAATGATTTAATTATCGACAGTACAGACGACGTCTCGAAGTTCTGTGTGTTGAGCAAATCTCACGATATGATTGGATAGCATAGTTCGAAATACGAAACATAGTATAAAACGTTCACCAATAGAATTGAAGTATTTCGTGATTTGCTGCTGATTGGCTGCAAAAAGATGTGTGACACGCAAAACTTCGACAAATGTTAAATTCCTTTGAATACTTCGAAGTAGCTAGTTAATCATGCTAAATAGATGAAATCAAAAATTCATGTTGAAGTCAGCACGTTCTGGCAACGTTGAAGTGCAATCAAATGGACATTTCACACTTCGACTGGCCATGGTGTTTCGACACCAGTGGTCACCACTACAACTGCTGCTCTCCAGCGAATTACATGAACGAGTATCGCTTAAATATGATTGTCTTTGCATGACGTTACGCCAAGGAATCAACAGTCTGATGCACACTAGTAGATAGCGTCGGGGTCGGGTGGTTAGAAATCAGCACGCAGGTCCTCGAGTGGGACCAATAGGTCAATGTCCAATTGAGGTGGGAAATTCGGAGGCAACGGACTGGGTGCAGGAAGGTGTAGAACAGAGAGTGAATCCAAGTGCACGACAGCAGTGTCGGGGGCAATCGGGATTGGAACCATGGAAGGCAACGCGACCCCATGGTGTACGGCGCGGTGCACTTTGTACGAGCAATGGGCCAACGTCGGATAGTCCAGTTGAATGCAGACGATGTACACCACATTCACAACAGTCGCCCACTGGTTGGCCTTCCAATCCAGTTCCGCCCACGATTGGAACCAACCCACTTCGAACTTGACAGTGTGGAAATCATTCCAATTGACACCCGGCGGCAGCTGGACGTTGTAGGGGGATTGCCCAAGGACTCGACGAGGCATAAGACACACATCTGGCTCGAGGCGGCGGATGTTGGTCTGGTACGCGGCTCCAGCAATGTCCAAAAAGCGCAATCCAGTGTGGGTGGCAGCATTAACCGCAATAATCAGTCGGGCGATATATCCTTCATGGGGTCGAGACGGCAGTTCCACGATGAAAAGCGTCCCATCGATCCATTCCATGTTTTTGGACTTGAGCTGCTGGTCTTCGGTCGTCACATACGCTTCCCATTCAATTAGGGTCGCATCTCGCAAGAAGTACGCCTTTCCCTTTTGGAGCTGCTTGTCCACGAGGTCCCAGTCGAGAAGATCGATCGTCTGGTTGATTGAATAGATGGCACCCAACTCAAGTGGAGTCGGTTCTGGGATGACTGCTGTTGGTGCTGGAACTGCCATCATCAGGTTCGTAGATGGCTTTTCTTCACTGTCAATTTGACGTCGCTTCGGATCCACTTCTGCCGCACTGCTGTTACTCTGTTCTCTCTTGGAGTCGACTTCTGGGGATGCGTTGCTGCTGCATACGAGGCGGCGCACTGGGGGGACAGTGAACGAGTTCTCGCCGCCACAGACTGTGGTTGTGTCAATGGGATTGTGCAAAAGCGACAGTGTCCAAATCTTCGCGTACACAAGCAGAATAAAGGTCTGTGATCGGTTCAAAATATATGTTAATGGCACGAGAACCGACCGATTCATTATTATTATCATGGCATAAATAGAATTTTTAAGGGCTGGTGTGGATTTATGCCATAAACCGTTTTGGCAAAAATTTCCCAAAGTCTCATATCCCATGAAAAAAAAGAGAAAAGAAGTATCTACAAAGTTGTCTGGATGTGAATTTTGATAAAATTATTCGAATTCCGATTGACAACTGTAGACTTTACCGCCATAAAAAAGTTGGACTAACAGTAAATCGGTCCATTATTATTATACCATAAAACACCCGATTCTCAAGAATATTGTGGAAAATAAATATTTGAACATTGGTGGCATCCAGACGATGTGCTATTTATTACTACGTAGTATAAGGGCGGGTCTGGATGCCACAAATTATGGCATAGTAATTATGGCATAGTATATACTGTATACTGGTGATCCGAATGCTATTGGTGAAGTGACTCACAAATTCGGTTGAAATGCTCAATATTTGAAGCCGATTTGCATCAGGATGACATTCTGATCACGACACTTCGCGTGGATGATGTATTTTGAATCGATTCCCTGCATTGAAAATGGATGAAAGCAGATCAGACAGACCGCTACAATAGTAACGTTAAGGTTACGTTGGTCCAAGGGCGGCGTCGCGAGCCATCACCATCAAGCGATGGCCATGGATGCACAGCATTTCGTTGGTGGAAGGTCCATGAAGATCAATTAATCTTAATGCATGGTTGACGTCCCCGTAAGCGCAAGTGTGGCTCGACGGCAACGCGCCAAGCGACGACAACATCAGACGAACCTTCGTCCGTCCGTCCTTGAATTCGCCAGCAGCCGTGATGGCGTAGCTGACACCGCCCCGTTTCGTCCAGCGCCACAGTGGATGACATGGACGCGTGCTCCTAGGTCTACGTTTCTTCGTCTGATGAAGTGGACAACAATGCAAACACATGTGGTGGTACTGGTTTCACGGCGTCGGCAACTGCACAACCATCGATAACGTTATGCAGCCATCTCATCACGGTGCCGTTCTGCCTCTTCCACATTCCATCGGACAAGTATTTGCACAACTCGTTCGAGCATGTTAACGATCACTCGTCTGTGTCCTCCAACGCCAAGACGTCTGCAACGTCACCAGCCGCCGTCGATGCCTCAACCAGAATGGCGTGTTGCTCACGTCATGTGCACGTTCACCACCGTCACCCCAGCTTTTATTTCCTGTCGCCCATTCGCGTCATATGGACACTTTGGTTCCGCAGATACGATAGACCACCGCTAGCCAAACGGTGTCCTCCACGACGACGCGTCCAAGCGACGGTATCGACTCTTGGGTGTTCCACCTCCCTTTGTTTGGTCATGTGACTTTTTGGAGGTTAGTCGATGTGGCGCAGTACGCAGATTTGAAGCTATACTATGTGGATGGATAGCTAGCTAGCACCAGAACGACGGACGCAATGCATACGTCATTGGGCCTCTGCATCCCCCCGCCTCCTAACACGGTAGATCGATTGCGACCCCGCCATGTCCGTCGAGCCCATGACGGGCGGGGTCTCCGTCGCGCGATTTCCACATTCAAGCTCGATCGTAATGGCCATGCATGAGTTGGCGCAAGGTTCGACAGCCCTTTCCATCGCAACACCATGCTTTGAACTCTAGGGACTTGTCAACCCGACCGCACTCTTTCTTGACGGACTTCTGCCTCGCCATCTTCAAGGGAAAGACACGACCTTTGTACAAATGCGGTGGAGATGCTCTAATGAAAAGACTCGTCATAGCTCAGTTCATCGCGTTCACCTCCCAGTTGGTGGCTGTACACAGTGTCCTCGTACTATGTACTTGCCAGCGCAGTTTTGTGTGCAGCAAGCGCAGCAGATAGCCTAACGTCACCGGTAGTACTTTTCCAATAGATCAGGCGAAATGTGATCTGGCAAGGGATTGACTGTGAACGGCCAACGCGGTTGTCACTGTACGATAACGTCCCCCTCCTACTGTGTTCAGACCGCCGTCGCATCCCACATGACGACCACTCCTAAATGGAGCATACGCTGCCCATATGTGTCATCTGTAGATAGTTACGCATAATGACATGCATGGTTTGTTGGCGAAGCGACGAGTCAAGACGTGGAGGACGTGGGTCATCACCGGAAGCTTGTGATTCAGATTAACAACTCAACGCCCAATTCCGAGGTTTAGTGTGCAATGTCATTAGGTGTCCAAAAGAAACTCAACTCCACCAGGAAGCCCGCTTAGATACCGGCTTGCTTGGCGCGTTGGGACGCGTAGTACGCCTTCATTTCTTCGCGCTTGGCCAACGCGCGCTTGTGCGTCCCCAGGCGCTTCTTGGAGAATTTGTAGATGCGCTTTTCCGCAGACGAGCCCCCGGACTTGATCATATCGAGGATGCGCTTTTCGTACGGCATCAAACCCACGACTTCACGCACGATCGCACGCACGAACAAGGTCTTCTTGCCGGCGCGCTACACATACACGATGAGCTTCCTGTACGACTGACTACACACGTTGCACATAGATTCCTGTCATGTACGTACACCCTTCTTGGCGGCAGGACGGGGAGCGACTTCTCGCTTGGTCACGGGGTAACCCTTGGACAAACCAGTAGCAATACCGGTCGAAGACATGTTGCTTTACTTTCACACTAAAACCGAAAAGTAAGAATTTCCGCCATGCCAATGCCCCCAACACGACCAACCAATGCTGTCCTCCAATCATCTCTCCCATCCGGATAATTTTGTATCGGTAAACCTTTAACATTTGATTCATCTGACCTTGCAGACTTGATACTCCCGTGATTCGCCGCACCATCCAAACGGTCGCGGTATCCGGACACTTTCCCATCGTTATCCGGAATCGCGACATTGCAGTTTGTGACCTTTTTCTAGAAAACGCGTCGAAATTGGGAAATCCCCAGACACAACGAAATTGAAATCGACGGGAAGATGTTTGGGTCGCGCGGCATGTCGCGGCATTCGGACGTGTTGGATTGCCCTGTCCCCACCGAACCCAGGGAGATTGCGTCCCTTGTCGATGAACTCAAGCGTCGAGGCAACCAAGCGTTCTCCAAGGGCATCATGGAAGAAGCGGAAGTGCTGTACTCGCGCGCCATCGAAGTCACCCAGTCTGACGTCCACATTCTCCACAGCAACCGAAGCGCCACGCGATTGAAAATGGGCAAAAAGGAACTGGCCTTGGAAGATGCCGAGGCTGCCGTCGCAGCACTACCTTCCTTCGCCAAGGGATACTTCCGCCAAGGCCAGACGTTGATCGCGTTGAAGAAATATTCGGAGGCTGTCGACGTTCTTACAAAGGCCGACTCGTTGGAAGCTGGAAATGCGAGTGTGTTGAAGGCACTTGCGGAAGCCAAAGACCTGCAGGCGAAGCACGCGTCGTCCACCGCGGCGGCGGATGAGCGACCGGTGTCCCCAAAGAAACGTACCATCCACAACGCGCCTTCGTTCCCATCTTCGACCTCCAAATCAGGAGCGCCACCAGCCAAGTCGGCTCATGTTGTGGTGGAGGATGGCGAGGAAGACCTCAAAGGGGTCCGAGGATACAAGAAGCTCGCCGACGGCCGCGTCACGACCTTCTTCAACAACGAGCTCACGGCCGAAGACAAGGCGCTGATTGGAAGCATCGCCCCGCAAAAGATCGACGACGCCCAAGCGGTCCAAATCAAAAACGTCGAGGGCGGGTCGGCGTGGAACCAGGGCAATTCGTTCGAGGAAAAGGACTTGTCGGCGTTTGCGCGGGACCGCGTGACGCAGCTGATCCAGGGCGTCCCACCGCAACCGTTGACTTTGGACGGTACTGCGGGGTTGCTGTCGATCAAGGAGGTCAAGGACATGGCCGGGGACGCGTCCGTGGCGGTCGTGCGCGGCGCCAAGCGGTTTGTAGCTCCATGTGCTTCCATTTTTACTTTGCTGATGTCGTCGGTAGGTACATTTTCGACTTGGCTTTCACCGTGGACGTGACGTGGACGCCCACAGACGCCGTCGTGTCGCCGCTCCAAGCGACGGTCAAGTTCCTCGACATGAGTTCCGACAGCGGCGGGGACTACGATGTACGAACGAACGATGATGCATCTCCCCCATGTGTGTTGATTACTGTACTGGTCTATGCTTAGGTGGAAGTGGTGGTTGCAGAGCGCTACTCGCACCCAAAGGGCAAGGTGCTGCATCAATCGTTGACGTCCAAGGCCGCCACGAGCTTCCAGCGCCTCTTGTTTGATCGCCTCCAAGTGTTTGTCGCGGAATTCCATGCGAATTAACCACTTACCACGCCCATTTAACTGTTAAAGATAAAAAGGCCCAGCGTGCATGTATTAACTCATGAGCTGGCGCCACTGAAACATGAGCGTCACCGACATTGCAGTTGAAGGGGTCGTCAATTCGGTCGTATCCGGATGCGGCGGTTGCAGTGCAAACGACTCGGTGATCGCGTTCTGGCTGGTCGTCAGCCGCTTCCGCAGCTCCAGCACCGACAGGGTGACCGTCCCGAGGCTTTCCGAGCGACTCGTCGGCGCCTTTTCAAAGATCTCGACCACCAGCGTCGCCGTGTCGACCGAATACACAAAGAAACTGAACCTACATACAACCAACCTATCGTTTAGTGCGATCTCGACACTGTCGCATGTATTTACATTTCTTGCCACGTCATGGCCTTGACCTTGGCTTGGACGGTCGAGGGGCTCCGCTGCTTTTCGCAGCTAAACACGCCGTGGACCGACGCGCGCCCGTCGTCGTCGCCGCATGCCCACACCACAGACTGCCACGTCACAAACAACATGCCCACGCACACGTCGTGCCCCAACCCTTGGATCACTACCACCACATCATTTACAGTTAGAACCATCGGCACGTATAGCTAGCTGCATGCATGCGCATCGTACGCGACTTCTTGGGCTGCGACGTGACCGTGCGCGCCACTTGGACGGTGCTGAAGAGCCGCCGACACACGTGGACGTGCAGCACGCCGCGCACGCCGTCGCCCAAGTCCACGTCCACTTTGAGCTCATGGTCCTAACACCACAATTATCACCAAACATCCAGTTGTTTGAACCGGCTCCTTACGCGTTTGGCGGCCAACGGACCGAGCGGGATGATTGCAGTGCCCCACGCATGATCTGGGACGGACCGCTGGTGCTGCCACACCTCCACGTACAGCGTCGGCGCCGCCACCGCATCCCAGTAAAACTCGTACTTTTCGTCCAGCGTGCACATGCCGTTGCTATCCACGACGCGGATCTCTGTCTTGTGGCTCTGGCTAAGGGTCACGATGCAGTACACTTCCGCGGCCGTCAACATCGTCGTGGTGTCGCTTGATGGGGACGAAGTCGTGGGGGCAAGGGGCGGCAGCACCGTGAGCTTGCGCACGTGCAGCGACACGACACCCGGACCGAACACGCTCTTCTTTTCGTCCGCGGCATGATGATGCGACGTTGACGCGGCGGACGGCGACGACGGCGCGGGCGGCAAGTCGTCGACGCCCACCACGGGGTACAGCGCTGGGTCCCAAAATGGAATATCCAGCACCTTGGGCCACACCAACGTGGTCGTGACCATGTCCAAAATGAACGTTTGCAACCTAATTCCCATCAAATGTCACATGTCGTTCGTTCGAGCGATAATGATCAGCAAACTGACCAATCAGATGCAAACGGTACGCTCGTGATGGCGATCTTGGCCGCGGTAAGGGTAAAGTCGATGCGGGGTGGGCTACAGTATATATTACATCGTATCGCTCGTACAACCAACAAACGACATGCTGATTTATACGGATATAAGAAAAATACTAGTACCTGATAAACGATAACGAAATGCCACTACCAGTCGCATATGTTAGCTACAATATATCAAGATGAGCAAAGTACCTGAAGCCGGGCCAGACGGACGCCATGGGGCGCAGCGTGATGCGCATGGTGCCCATGATCACGGCGTCCTTGAGCCGAACGCGCGCGGCGGCGCTGCCCATGTGCGAGATCAACTTGAGTTCGGCGAGTTGGTCGTCGCCGGCGACGAAGCGGACTTCAGCGTCGAACGAAACCTCCGTGACTGGGCCGTGGGGAAGCACCGAGTCGTCAGGGATGCACTTGATGCCCCCGAAGGATGGCGGCGTGTCCCCCATCTCAAGACCCGTGAGGACCATCGACGACAGCATCGGCGGTGTGCTGGTCTCGAGCATCGGGTTGACGTAGTACATGATGGAATCCTGTCGTAAAGAGATGACCCACGCCCCGATATCGTGGTTGTTGTAAGATTACCTTGATCGCCACTTTGGTGTACGGCCAACTCCTACAGATATAACGATGCCATCCAATCAACTACATGCTGTACTACGATTGAGCTACCTGGCAATAGCAGTGTTGAGCCAGTCCGCGCGCTCGACGTCTTGACAAGGTTAACGTCATAAAAGAGGTCTATGTATTGAGGAAATCTACCTGAAAACTTGACCCAGCTGGGAAACTACAAGTGAGCACTGTGATCACCACGACAAGCGCGGGGGTATGGACGTACCTCGACGGTGGGGCAGTTGGCAAAATTGGATTTCTCCGCCAACGTGAGCTGCCGCATGTCGGATCGAAGGCGGCGACGCTTGGCTTCTTGCGTAGTCACGTTAGAGATCAACACGAGTACCCCCACGACGCTCAGCCCCCCCATGATCATCCCGGTCGCCGCCATCACGTGCACGAAGACGAACGCCGCCACGAGTCCGGGGTACCCTATCGCCATGGTCGCATCTTCGTTGTGGGTTCCGTGGGCATGATAAAAGCCAGCTACGGCCACGGGACACACAACCGACGCGCCGACAAACCCCGACATGAAGCTCAACAAGAGGCCGCTGCCGCCCGTGGGATGCCACAAGACGGCCCGAACTTGGTGGAGGAACGTTCGAATCCTTTGGTTGTTGGGCGACGACGCAGCAGCTTTCGGCCCATTTGGTTCGCGAGGTCGGATGAGGGGCGCGACGTCGCCGGAATGGGTCGCGGTGGTGACAACAGGGTCAGTCAGTTGTTGGTCTTGCACTTTGTCATAGTTTTGCTGCCGAAGCAGCTCACAACGTTCTTCGAGGGACAACACTGGATGGGACCCTGCCTTGTCCAACGACGGCGCTGCCTTTTTGCCCTGCAGTGCGCGGTTGAGTCGCCCCAGCGGACTCTGCGGCGGGTCTCGCGTCGAGTTGGGACAAGGTTTGAACCCAGCATTGCCGCTGCTTCGGTGGGACAAGCTCGGGGGATTCGACGCCGGGGAAGACGATGCCCTTGGCGAGAACGGATTGAGTTTCTTGAGGGTACGCGCGACGGCGTCCCCCACGTCTTCGTCGTCGTCGCTGGACATGGCTGATTCCGAGTCGACGTACATTGACAGCGGATGATCGTCCTGTAGGTCGTCTCCGTCGTCCGCACTCGAAATCGACAGCGCGTCCGCCAGACCCGCCGTGAGCACTTGGCCTTCGTCCATGTCGGCGGCGGCGGCAATTGCGCGCTGCAGACACGCGATCCACGCGGCCACGCGATGGTGTTTTTCGTCGTGGAAGACAAACAGCTGCGGACGGTAGTGCACCGTGGCTTGCTTAGTCCAGGCGTGCACTTGGAGGATGAACGTGCCGTCGGCGGCGGCCTTGGGGTCCGGCACCAGCGAGCTTTTGCACAACGACAGCACGAAGGCCGGGGATGCGTCCGGATGGTCCCTACGAAGAAAACGATGATGCGCGGGCGGAGAAACATGCCAGGGACGGACGTACGACGTGAAGAGGTCGACGGTAGGTTTGGTGGCTTGGACCACGACGCGGTACTTGGACTTGACGTAGAAGAGCTTCTTCTTGTCCAGATCCTTGAGGTGCATCGACAGCGTGCCAGTGATGGCGTCGGCAGCTGTCAGCCTGGCCACCTCGGCGCTTCGGTCTTCGGATGATTTCTTGTCGTCTTTGAAGTTGAGCAGATTCGACAGCTTGAACGGAGTAGCAGACTCTCGACCCGTGGCCGCACCATTCCCCGCGAGGTTGGGCGAGGACATGACGGACTTGGGGGACGGGGCCACGTCATTGTGGCGAGGGATTGCCGTCGTCACCATCAACGCATCTAAACCTGGTCCAGGCTGTTGCTACGTTACAATGGTTAGATAGGTCGAAGGGGCGCGCTTAGGAGGTTACCTCGACGTCAGCAACGACGCTGACCTTGATGGAACCACGCGGGGACGCGATATCTTCTGAGGAGGCCGTCGGGGCACGGCGATCGTCCATCTTGGCCTCGAATCAACGATTGGGTTCCAGATGTGTTCTCGTTCGTTTCAAAACGGTTACGCTCGGAGTTTACTGTATGGCTGTGTAATTTCACTCTGTGTCACTGGAGACATCACTGACATCTTGGCTATAAAATCAAGATTTTTGTTTGTACAAGTGACTCGGGTGATACTTTCGCGAAAAGTCAATCATGTCGCATGGAGCTACTATGAAGTGAAGTCTTGGTCCTAAAGTTTTGGGGGCTGACTTTTGAGCTGATTTGCGCGTGCAGTACCGATTTGTTCATGCTGCAGACATCTCGATTGGGTTCTGACCAGGGGCGACCTTACTAGTATCATGGTAGATGGTACAATGCGCAAACGACATTGCACCACGCTAGGAGATGAGGTCAGGGGGCCCTCTGGAGTCTGAAATCGGTTAATCCCATGCGTAAGTAAATTCCTAACACTCTGTAGTACGAACCATTTGCCGCGCACAGTTATTTGTTACTGTTCTCGCGTAATAATAACGTTACAGTAACTCGCTCATCTAACGGTACAGTCACTGTAATGAACACAGCGTGGAAAAACTGTCATTGATATGTATCGTACATTTGACCCATCTGGAAGTCGAGAAAGTACACAAAGCTACATTCGAAAAAGTAGTGCGAACATTGCAGGGGGACAGTTTATCCCACTCGTTAAAGTACCTTGGAAAGTACAATCGTACTACACATACAATATACTAGTTCTGCATGGGGCCGCCACGTACAGTAGTGTCATACTCCATTGTATTTTGATGGTTTTAGATCTATATATTAATAGTAATATATTTCAAGGTCAACCTGCATAGAAGTAGGAACTAAAATAAGGATGCTCAATTTATATTCCAAGATTCAAATATGGGAAATACCGACAACGGGAATAACGCAACATTACTTTATCGAATGGCCTCCTGCTAGTCAATGCATGTCATAGTTGGATTGACTCTTTGGGATGGTGTCGGCCACGTACTTGGCGGCGACGCTCCTAGCTGCGTCCACGAATGCGATGACAACTCTTCCTGATACGTGCAGTGGCCGCGGTGCCTTTAGTCTGTATCAGCGGGAGGCTGGATGTGCGGTCGGGAACTGCGAGTGCTTTCCCGGGCTGTTTCGATGCGACGATTCCTTAGTGGACGGACTGGGTCAGTGCGCGCTCTCCGGTACGCACAACACCTAATGTCCGGCATGCTCATGTCACTCCGTCGCAGGCAACGGGTGGACGGTGCTCATCGTCGCGTTCGCGCTCAACTTGATCGTGCCGGTGATTGCATTTGTCACGCACTTGCTCCATCGCAAACAAGCGGAGAAGGCCAAGGCCGTGTTGGCCAAGGAGGCCGCCGATCTGGAAGCGTCCGAAGGCGCCGGCGCGAAATACAAGTACGTCTCATCGTCCGTTCCGTTCTCGTTGGCCAATACTAACGCCACGTCTGTGGATTATATTGCAGGTCATACTTTATCGACCTGAATCTTGTACGCACGGCCCTTCTGCCTGGATCGCGTGGATGTTAATGAGTGCTCACGGCGTACAAACGTCTATTTGTGTAGTTCAAGACTGTTGTGCCCGACACAGCATTTGGCCTGCATGACGAACCCAAAATCTTCATGGAGACCATGAGCAAAGGTACGTCAATTCCTTCCTTCTCACGTGTGGACGTGACCCGCCGTCGGCAGGATGGGTGCAGTTGGTGTGCTACTGCCTCGCAGTGTCGTTCGCGCTGTCGTGCGCGATGCTCATTCCTTCGTTTCCCATCAACGAAAAAGCGTTCGAGCTCACGCGGCTGTCAACCGTCCAATTGTCCGACACGTCGTACGCCGTCGAAAGCGCGGCCACGACGCCGCTGCCAGCGTCCACGCGGTACCTGTCGATCCAAGGTACTCTTCGTTTATTGGATTTTCGTACAAACTGATATCACTTTGCAGAGGTCACATTCGTTTCTTTCTCGTACAAACGACGACACGTACATATCATTTTGTAGAGGGATTTGTTCCATGTTTTTTCTCGTACAAACGACCGATATATCATTTTGCAGAGGAATTGTGTTACATATTCGTACAAACGACGACACCACGATACGATATCCTTTGGCAGAGGGTTTCACACTATATTTGTTCAGGCGCGTTTTGCGAAATGTCGGCGACGATCCTCGCGCCGACGGGTCTTTCCGTCTTGACGCTCAACTACACGATCTCGTTCGACATGGAAGCCAAGAAAATGTTTGACACTGTTTCTGGCAGCAAAACCATTGGCTGCGACTGCGACAACTCGGTGTGCAAGATGGTGCCGGACCAGTCGGATAATGGACTCACGGACCTCGTGTACTTTCCTTGGTACGTACGCCCCACTCACTCCCGTCCGTCCGTCCGTCCATCCGCTTGCACGAGGTTGCTTTGTATCCTCATGGTCATTGCTATGTAGGTTCCAAGATGCTGACGAGGACCTGATTCGTCCGCTAGTGGCCGACACAGACCCCCACGAGTTTACCCTGCGCGCGACCTTTGAATTGTCGTCGAGCTACGTGAGCGCGACGCCCGTGTCGCCGATTCCGCACCTCTCGTTCCTCGCGCACTACTCGTACATTGAGCACGTGATCGACCTCGTCAACGTCCTCGTGTTTGCCCTTGACCTGCTCGTGATCTTTGTCTGGGGGTACCTCACCCGCAAGGTCGAGCACAAACTGCCGGAGCGGTCGCTCATTTCTGTGATACTGTTTGTCAACTTCATCGCGACCTTCCCCTTCATGTTTGTGACCAAGTTTTTCTTCCCCACGTCCGTGAGTCTGCACCAAGTGTACCTCTTTTGTCATGCGTGGCAAGCCTGCTCCAGCGGCATTTGGCTGCTATGTCTTCTGTTTGCCCTGGACATGCAGCGCAAGCGCGTGTTCGGGTGCCGCTTCTACCTCGTCAAGCTCACGCTGGGCGTTGTCGTCTTGTCATTGTACCTGTGGGTGTACTACTCGACCCTTCCGTACCAGTGGATCCTCATGCTCAACTTTTTCCTGGCGATCCTTGTCAGTACCATCTTCCGCGGCGTCATGATCGACGTTCGCAACAAACTCCGGTACCAGTGCTACGTGAGCACCCGCCCCGAGCAGCTCACGGCGCGGCTGCTGTACGTCGTGGCCATCGCTGTCACGTACGTGTTCTTTTTTGTGGCGCTGACGGCGGACCCGGTCCCCCGCGTCGAAGCGTACCTCCCCAAGACAGTACACCTCACCGACATGTCCATCCAAGTGATGATCCGAACTGCGACGTGGATCCTCGTCATCATCTTCCTCCCGCCGTCGTTCTCGGCGCCCCAAGTGTACTACATGCGCGCCAAGACGTCGCTGCCGCGCCTCACGGATGGCTCTATGCACGATTTCGAGATGGCGTCGCTGAAACAAGCGGTGCACTCGCGGGGATTGTTTCACTCGGCGAGCAACTACGCAGGGTGGAAGGCCCCCCGCGCATTCTGCGTCGAGACGGCGTGCACCGCGTACAACCAGAGCGTGGCCGTGTACGACGAAGTGGTCGCGAATGCCGAAACCGGCGGGTACGACATCCCGTCGCACGCGCACTTTGCCGCGGACGGACTCGAGTTTGTCGCCGAGTTGTTTGACCGAGACACCGACACGTACGGGTGGGTGCTCAAGGGCGAGAAGAAGATCATGGTCGTGTTCCGCGGCACCAAGAGCGGCCAGAACGCTGTCACAGATCTCAAGTACCGCTTCTGCGTGCCAACGTGGGCCACGGATGAAACCGAAGGTGGCCTCCTCGACAAAACCCGCGTCCACACGGGGTTCTGGGAAGCATATGTGACTGTTCGAGACGACCTCAAGCGCATCCTCCACGAGTTGGTGCAGGACATGGGCGAAGTCCAAGTCTACTTGACAGGTACAGACAGCCATACGTTTTGACTACTTGTTGGGCGATTTTCACGATGGCTATATTGATACCCCCATCTCTGTGGAACCTACCACATCTCACAGAACCGTGAAGGAATGACTAGGAGAGATAATCGATTAGTATGATGAGGATAAAACTGACTGGGGTTTGTAGGCCACAGCTTGGGCGGGGCGCTGGCCACGCTGGCTGCGTTCGACTTGGTCACAGACAACACATTCCACTTGGACGAAGAAGTGGTGCTGTACACGCTGGGAGCGCCTCGCGTGGGCAACCACATATTTGCTACCATCTTCAATAAGCACGTGCCGAATGCTTATCGCATTTGCGCCGACGGCGACGCGGTCGTGGGCGCGCCCAAGCGGTCGATTCAGCTGGCGTACTTTGCCAAGAGCTTGTGCTACAAGCACATCGGGACAGCCGTGCTGCTGTCGACCCGCGCCAAGGGCGTGTTTATGATCAACCCCAACATTGTCGAGCGGGCGTTCATGGCCGAGTTCCGGAACAACGTCCTCGCGCATCTCCCGCCCACGTACAGACATTTGCTCAACAAGGGCGTCATGTACACGATGAAGCCGGAAAGCGTCCGTGAAAACGAAGCCACCCCCTTGTTGAAGTAGACCAGGTCTCGAAGACCATTGTGCACGTTGGATAACATGACGAGTGCTGCTGTGTGAGCTTGTGGGTTGCTTACTGTTGCAACACAAACGTAACACATACATTGTTATGCCTGTCATTCGAGTGATACATGCACCAGCGGTATCATCGTGCCCCCAGTTCAAGAGTCGGTGAATATGTACTGTCCTGTCGCCAGGTCGATCTCAAAGTGTGCCATCAGTACAGTGGGATGCCATACATACAGATTTATGATTGGTCGAATCAATCCTGTAACCCCTCGTTTTGTATCGGATTTGAAATAGCGACATGGGGTAAGGTTTCAATCACCTTATATCAGTACATGAGGATGGGGGACATCTCATATCGAGATGAAAGGTGATGGGCATAAACTGTATTCTTATAATCCACGATGATGTGATATACGATGTTGTCATGCCAATGTCATCCCTCCCACTCACCACACTTTCATCCTTTGGCAGCTCGACCACAGCGTCATTTCACATCTGGACCTGCGGTGATGTCTTTGAAGGTGGCCATGCTGCTTCTGGCCGTCCTGGCTGTCCTTAGCGTCGTAGAAGCAGCGACATCTCTTCCTGAAACATGCAGCGGCGGTGGTGCATTCAGTCTCTACCGTCGCCAATCGGGGTGCGCGGTGGGCAACTGCGAGTGCTTCCCCATTCTGTTTGAGTGCAGTCCCTTGGCGCGCGATGGCTTGGGTGAATGCTCACTCTCTCGTACGTAGCCTCTGGTCCCAACAATGCTCCTCGTTCTCACTACCTTGAATTGCAGACACTGGCTGGATCGTGCTCATTGTTGCGATCGCGCTCAACCTGGTCGTGCCCGTCGTGGCCTTCCTCATCCATTTGGTGCACAAGAAGAGCGCCAAGGAAGTCACGGGGCGCGAAGACCACGTCCAGACGGACCTGGAAGCAACCAGCGGCCAGCGCAAGTACATGATCAACTTGGCGCAGTTCCGGACGATTGTCCCCGACACTGTCTTTGGCTTGGACCAAGCCCCCAAGATCTTTATGGAAACCATGAACAAGGGGTGGGTACAGTCTCTCTGCTATGGCTTAGTGCTGGCGTTCATTCTCGCCATGGCGCTGCTCATCCCGCCGTTCAAAATGGACGAGTCGCTGTACCCGCTCACGCGCGACACGACCGTCCAGCTCAACCGGTCGGCGTACCGCATCGCATCGCACTCAGACACGTCCGTGCCCCCCGGCATCCGGTACATCTCGATCCAAGGCGACTTTTGCGGCGACGCGTCGTCGGCGCTTCTCGACCCGAATGGGAAGACCGCCCTCAACGTGTCGTACGAAGTGTCGTTCACAATCGATAGCAACTCAATATTTGACAACATTCACGGCCACAAGGTCATCGGGTGTGTGTGTGTGGCGGCCGCGTGCCGCATCGACGACGAGCAGTCCGACGACGGGTACGCCCCCCTCGTGTACTTCCCATGGTACCAGGACGCGCTGCATCCGCTGGACCTGCAAGCACAGCCACACTCGTTCGCGCTCTCGGGGGTGTTCCAAGTCGAGTCCAAGTTCAACCGCGCCGCCACCGTCCACCCGATCCCGCACCTGGCGTTCATCGCGCATCACTCGTACATTGAGCGCATCACGGGCTTGGTCGACCTCGGCGTGTTTGTCACGGACGTCGCGGCGCTGCTCGCGTGGATCGGACTCACGCGCGCCGCCAACGTCCTCCCCGAACGCCGTCTCATGTTCGTCATGCTCGTAGTCAATTTTCTCGGATCGTTCCCGGTCCTGTTTGTCGCGCAAAAGCTCGACCCGACGGCGTCGTGGCAGGACACTTACTTCTTCATGCACGCGTGGTCGGCGTGCGCCAGCGGAATTTGGCTGCTATGCCTTCTGTTTGCCCTGGACATGCAGCGGAAGCGGGTGTTTGGGTGTCGCTTCTACCTCGTCAAGCTCACGCTTGGCGCGGTCGTGCTGACGTCGTACATGTTTCTCTTCTACTCGGCCACGCTGCCCACCCAGTGGATCCAACTCACCAACTTCTTCCTCGCTATCCTCGTCGGCTCCATCTTTCGCGGCGTCATGGTGGACGTCCGCAACAAGCTCCGGTACGCGTCGTACGCCGACTCGCGCCCCCAGCAGCTCACCGCGCGCTTCCTCTACACGATCGCGCTCGCCGTCTCGTACGTGTTCTTCTTCGTCGCGCTGTTTGCCGACCCCGTGCCCCGGGTTACCAACTACCTGCCCAAGACCGCGCTGCTCACGGACACGGCGATCCAGGTGATCACCCGCAGCGCCACATGGGTACTTGTCATCATCTTTCTGCCGCCGTTGGCCGTGGACCCGAGCGTCTACTATACCCGCGCAGCATCGGCCCTGCCGCGCCTGACCCATGCGTCGAATCGCGAGTTTGAGCTGGCCCACCTCAAGCAAGCTACCCACAGCGGCGGCACCACCACCACCCCGACGTACCACCTGTCGACGCTGTCGTGGCAGGCACCACAAGCGTTTTGCGTCGAAACTGCCTGCGCCATGTACAACCAAGCGATCGGCGTGTACGACGAGCCCGTGCTTAACAAGGCCACGGGGCGCTACGACATGGCATCGCTGGAGCATTTTCACCAGGATGGACTCGAGTTTGTGGCAGAATTGTTTGACAAGGCCACCGACACGTACGGATGGGTGAGTCGCGGCGACAAGCGCGTCGTCGTGACGTTCCGGGGCACGCAAAGCGCGGCCAACACTGTCACAGATCTCAAGTACTTCTTCGCCGTGCCTACATGGGAATGCCACGACAAGCCAGACCTGGATAAGACCCGCGTGCACGTGGGGTTTTGGACGGCGTACATTACGGTGCAGCACCAGCTCAAGTCCATTCTCCGCGATACGCTCCAGGACATGGGCGACGTCCAGATCTACTTTACCGGTATGTGTGTGTGTGTGTGTGTGGCCACGTCATAATATGTACACGTTGACGCATGGATGATGATTCCGTGGGGTAGGACACAGTTTGGGCGGGGCACTGGCTACGCTGGCCGCGTTCGATATAGCCACGGACGCGACGTTCGTGTTGAAAGAGGAAGTGGTGCTCTATTCGTTTGGCGCCCCCCGCGTCGGCAACCACGTGTTTGCCAGGGCCTTCAAGGAGTACGTGCCGAATGCGTACCGCGTGTGCAACGACGGCGACGCGATCGTGGGCGCGCCCAAGCGGTCGGTGCAGCTGGCGTACTTTGTCAAGAGCTTGTGCTACAAGCACGTGGGCAAGGCCGTGCTGCTGTCCACACGTGCGCAAGGGGTGTTTGTGATCGAGCCCAATATTGTCGAAATGGCGTTCATGGCCGAGTTCCGATACAACGCACTCGCCCACTTGGGTGGCGGGTACCAAACGATGCTGGAAAAGGGCATCAAGTACACGATGCAGCCCAAGAACACTGCCACGGGCGAGAAGGCGCCGCTCTTATAGTAACGTAGCGACCTGCGGAAGGGTGTGGGACGCCGATGTAATAAATAATGCATGAGACGACAACAATTTTGATTTCAATTTTGGAGGTCTTCGTGTTGATTGGTCGAAACGCTCAATACATTGCCCTAGTATGAGCTTGCCAATTTCGAAATAATGGCGCGCAAGCAAAAGCGAACGGATGCCGACGACGACGATCTTGGCGGGTCCTTGGAGGAGACAATGGAGTTGTACCCGCAAGACAAGATTGCGGCATGGAAAGAAAAGTTGAAGAAGGATTGGCTGATGGAAGCGCCAGACGAGTTCTTTGCACTCCACAGTCTTGCCGCGAGCCTCCACCACGCAGATCCGTCGTGTGCGTCGTTCATGTGCTGGTGGTACATAATCTAACGACTCGTAGGTGCATTTGCTGCGTCCCTTGGCGTTGAATTGACCGGTCCATTCGACCTGCTCTCGGCAACCACCATGCGTGTGGACAAGCATGTATATGCACACACATATCCAAGGATCGTCGAATCATGGCCCATGCTGGTAGGAATACCTCCACGGGCGATGCTACTACGACCCGCCTGAAGTGATCTCAGTCATGCGTTCGGGGTCGACGTCATTCGGGTACTTCAGGTACGATGCATGATCGCATTGTTCCGTGTACTTCACCCTCATGGTGTTGCCATTCCCATCATGCAGAGATGCTCCGTCGCAAGTTCCTACCTATGTCGTGCAAGGAAGTTCGTCGACTGTACACATACCCACTCCAACACAATCACATTTTGTAGTTTCATCTTCATGGGTTTTGTAGGGATCGTTTGAATTGGTCGGGGCCAGCCTCGCCCAAGTGCTGCTCGATTTGATCGAAGTGGCAGCCGCCCCCCATCCCCACCACGCAATGATTCGAGCATTCTTAACGACTCAATGCGAGTGTTCGGCACTTCCACCCAAATCCAAGCGACGCAAGACGACATCGTTGGCGTCTCCACATCGCGATGACGCTCAACGCCGACGCTCAGCCGACCAAGTAGCGCCGACGTTGAGCGGACTCGGGATCGTTGTGCCTGTCCATGCCAAGTCCCGCGTAGGGTATCGCGATCTTCCACTCATGGGCAATGCACTACGCAAGCTTCTGGAAGCGCCGGTGCGCGGCAAAGCCATCGACGACCTCATCACACGTGCGACGATTGCCTGCGACGAGTGCGACTTTGGCACGGCGCTGCAGCTCGGCTTGGATCTGTGGACGCAAGGCGCCAAGTTCGAGGGCGAGGCCGTGGGGCTCATGGAGAGTGCGTACATGATGTTGGGTCGCGGCGCGTTTGGTGTCCTCGCGCGTCGCCACATTGAGCACCGCAACGTAGACCACTGTAAAAACTAGGGGAATAAGAACTGATTGTGAAACTGTCAAGCGTTACTTTTGTGAAACTGTCAACATGCTCGCGCGACTTGGCGGGCCGTCGCAGGCGCGGAAGAAGTACGAGGAAGTGCTGCTACTACCTCGGAAACAACTGCAGCACATGGACTTGTCGCCACCCAAGCCAAAGGTCGCGACGTCGTCGCTGGAGGGCGAACATGGCTCGGGTGTAATCAAGCGAAAGGAACTGTCCGATGACGAGAACAATGCCATATGGCGTCGGTGGAAGGACAAGAAGGATGCGGAACGGCGGCGGCGGCGGCAGGCCAAGCCAGCGATGTCCGACCAGGAGCTGACTCCTCTGGTCGAGCAAACCGTCGAAGAGTCGAGTACGAACGCCATAAGTATGGGTGTCGAGGAGAGGGGGTTGGCTCAACGGGGAGGCGTTGTAGAAGCGGAATTTCTCAAGTGGAAGCAAAAGAAAGACGGCGAACGGCGACGGGAAAAGCAGCGGAAGCGAGAGATGCAAGCGTCCTGGGGTATATGCATCAACTATGTATCGTGTCATGTCGTAGTACAGCTCAGTGTCAATTCTCATGTCGACAGAGCGCGAGAAGGAACTTCATCGACTGGCACTTCAAGGTACAATATGCGAATCCTACAGTACATGATGACGACACAATGTGTTGCCATAGAGAAACCACCACCGTCACATCCGTTCCCGGCACTGCATCCCACCCAGCAACATCCTAGGAAACCCAAGGTCGACCCCGTTCGACTGCAGCAAGTCCAAGAGAAAGTAGGTTCAACCCCCTTCACTGCAATTGCCTTGGAGTGACGGGTCGTTCGTAGGTCCTAGCATCTCCGTATGCCAAGCCCAGTCGACGGCGGCCGCCGCCGCATGGAGGCTGCGTGCTGCCCCAGCTGGCCAAGGTTTCCGTTGCCACTGAGACGACTCGACCCGTGACGTCGTGCCGCTCTGCAGAGAGTCGGCCGTCCACAGAAGCATCGGCGATGTTCATCGAAGCGCCTGCCGTGGACATTGAACCGAGTTTAGAATTGCAACACTTTCCGTCGTTGCCACCACCGTGTAGCGGTAGCTCGTCATCTCGGCCTCATCAGCGCAGCTCGAATGAAGACGTGGCGACGTTGCCACCACTGCTGTCGGCGCTGACCTTGTTGGAGCGACGGGACGAAGATGAGAGAGACGTGGATCCGTCCCAGGTGTTCCCCAAGTCCGACGACCGTGGTGACGACGAGTATGGCGATATTTATGAAGACGGAGGGCATGTTCATTTAACAGCACCGCCACCACCTGTTCAAGAAAGGGACGCGACGTCGCGCGGCACGACCAGTGGGTATGGCAGTGAAACGTGGGAGTAGGACAATGTAGCTAAGTATTTAAGACCTCCATTTGAACGGTGGAAGGGGGGAGGGAGATGCAACGGCCTCCTATCGCGGCTATTCTGTCTCTACTTGGAGTCCTTTCCGCCCTTGCCCTTGTACACTTGCTTGCCACTGGACCACGGCACGTAGTTGTGCTTCCACATGTGCTTGATTTGGCGCTTCATGGTCAGCGTGAACAGCAAGATGAAGTACATGAGCAAGATGGGCCAAAACACCTACAAAGTAAGCGTCAGTCAGCACGGAAGTACACACTGGGAGGAGGAGAGCATACTGGGACGTTGAACACTTCGAAAAATGTCAGCAGCGTCGCCATGAACGTCGCCTTCGTGGATGTATACCAGAACTTAAACTCCGGCACGCGACGACTAAATGGACGGAACTCTTCGCTGTTGGTCGACGGAAGCACAGGGCCCTCCGTTTCGGGGTCGATCTACAGTGTACATGCGGTTAGCCTCGGTAGAAAGACGTCTGGGCGATGGTACATACCTGCGGCGAAAGGAACCCAATGAAGAGGTTGAGCAAGTAGATGCCCAACCCGTAGGTGATGATGTGGAAGGCATTCAAGTAGTAGACGCGGACAATGTACGAGGTGAGCAGCACGGCGGACGCAATCCACCGGCCGTACACGTATATTGTCGATTGGTCCAACACGTGCTGCCACTTTCTGCATCATCGAGTCAGACATGCGACACACGAAGTCCATGGGCAACATACCTGCCGAAAGATGCGAACACGCGCTCCAGAAAGGCCGGTTCCGTCAACGATTGCGAGTCCCCCCCGCTGGCATGTGATCCTGGTCCCATCTTGGCGGCTAAGGTGGAAACTGAGGCTGTCGAGTTACAAGTTTGCTGGTGGATGATGATTGGTTTAAATCCAAATCGACAGCCAATCCAATGGCATCACTATTCAGAACCCTAAACAAAGATCTGTACTCCCTGGAAGTTACCCTAATGAATTGAAAAGCCTTATTTAACATGACTTGGTTGCTGAAGTGAAAAGATCTGTCGCGAAGTCCGCCTTTCCGGATGATCTTTTGTATCCGGACCACCAACTGCCTGTGGTGAGAAAGGCTTCATTTCGAAGATCGCTGTTGCCATGAACCACGTCGTGAAAACTGTGCGCCAATCCACCAAGCATGCGAGCACGCGTGCATTCTCCAGCAAGGTCGCGTTGCCTGACCTCCCCTACGATTACAACGAGTTGGAACCCGTGATCTCTGCCAAGATCATGGAATTGCACCACAACAAGCACCACGCTGCCTATGTGGCCAACTACAACACCCTCACGGAACAGTATGCGGAAGCCCAGGCGAAGAACGACGTGTCCAAGCTGATTGCGTTGCAACAAGGCATCAAGTTTAACGGCGGTGGACATGTGAACCACTCCATCTTCTGGACGAACTTGGCCCCGCCCAAAAAGGGCGGTGGAGGTGAGCCCACTGGTGCATTGAAGGCAGCGATCGAAAAGGAATTCGGGTCGTTCCATGCGTTCAAGACCACGTTTAGCGCCCAAACGGCCGCCGTTCAAGGCAGCGGCTGGGGGTGGTTGGGCTACAACCCGACCCAAAAGCGTGTGCAATTTGCCGCGTTGGCGAACCAAGATCCCATCAGCACGGTCGGCTTGATTCCGCTCTTGGGCGTGGATGTGTGGGAGCATGCGTACTACTTGGATTACAAGAACGTCCGCCCCGACTACCTCAAAGCCATTTGGGAAATCGTGAACTGGGACAACGTCGAGGAACGATTCAACGCTGCGTCCAAGTAAAAACCACGGCGCAGTTTGCTTAGTATATTGCGTTGAACGAATTGAAAGTGATAAGCTGGTTGGGTTGTAACGTTATCTGTCAGACTATCGTCATGGTTTGGACCTTTAGACACGACACATAAGCAGTGTGGTCGCCAGTTTTTCTAGGTAGAAACTGTGACGACCACGTATACGACGTACTCGCGCCTGCGCTGGTCGAGTACGTATTCCCTATCGGGTAGAGTGCCGTGTTGACAGCAACGAGGAATGAACGATCTGCACAAGTCCCGTTGCTTTCAGCATGTTACGCAGCCACGCTTCAATGAACTTTTTAACTTCGACTCGATGCACAGCTTCATGTTCATTCACGCCAGTACTTATGTACTACCTACGGTGTAGTACCTCGCAGGTTTACAACCTTCTGGCGGGTGTTATGCTAACGTTACTGTAACGTTAGAGTTAGCGTAACCCTCAACACGACCAACTGACGTGGCAAGTTCCAGTGGTTACACCGGTAGAGCGGATGTAACTGCCTTTCGAAAGACAGAAGGATTTGGGTTTCCACTGTGAAATGTCCGACATTTCCGGTCCCTTGAAGTCGAATAAACTACTTCAGGTATGACGGCTAAGCCACCCGGATTGACTTTGCGCTTGAAAGCCGAAGACGCGGCGAAGAAAGCCAAGGCGACTCGCGCCAATGCCGTCATATTTGGCATTCCCGTCGCTATCGTCTTGCTTGCCATTTGGTTGAGCTCGCTGTCCGTCGATTCTGGCTCGTTGCTATCAGATTGGACACGCCGTTGGGTGGACGACCTGGCGGCGACTCTCATCCCATCGCAGAATGCCGGGTGGCTGCCCGACGTCGCCGACCAAAAGCAGCGCGGCGACATCCTCGTGGAGGCCAACCACTTGCAACCAGCCCTCGTGTATTACCACAACGCCCTCAAACTCGCCGCCCAGCACGACCACAACAAAGCCGCGACCCCCGACGAATCGAAGCGCATGCGGTCACACCTGGCCAACAGCATGGCCATGACGTACGTCAAGCTGGGCAACGACACCCAGGCTGCGACATGGTACAAGCACGGGCTCGATGTCGACGACAACAACGCCGAGCTGCACTACAACTACGCCAACCTATGTGTTCGACAGGAGAAGTGGGTGCCAGCGGAAGCGGTAAGTCCTACGTTTCCTGGTGTTCCTCGAGGAAGCCGCCATTAGTGGTTCTCACTGCTGTCGCTTGTTTGAATACCTACCTAGCACTACCGCAAAGTCCTCGCGTTAAAGCCGCTGAATCCCCCAGCGATGCTATCGCTGGCGTACGTGCTACAACAAGAAGGCGCCTTGGACGAAGCCCGCACGCTGCTCCTCGAAGCTTGGGACCTCGACAACACGGACGCGGACATCGCGGCACAGCTCGGATACCAGTACATGGCCGAAACCGACGTTTCGAACGCCCTGGAATGGCTCAACACGGCCGCTGACATGGGTCACGAAGAAGCGGCGCTTCAGCGGAACGAACTCCTCTCTGCGTGGATGCGGACGCAGGAACAAATGACGGCCGGTGCCACGCAGGGATCTCACGATGGAGACACGATGACGCTTGAGGAACCTGTACTTTAAGCCATCGTTAGATCGAAAAACTCCAAGACATGAACCGCACATTGTATTTGACCAGTCGATTAAGAACATTCATCTCCAACTCGGCAGTGGTCGGCCCTGTCCCGTCACTGCCTTTCCCCTGCGCATTTGTCTTCTCTGTTCCCTCGTATCTGCCTGGAATGGAGCCATCATCTAGCGAAATCCTGTAACCTGTTTCCTGGATCATATACAACGTTCGTTGGTGGCCGGCCGCGCTGACTACTCGAGGGCACCTGTGGGGTTGAAGGCTAAAGGTGAAAAGAGATAGAAAGAGCTTGGCGTTCGCTCAAAATAACCACTGGTTCCCGACGGATCGCATATTGGTGGCTGTCCGGTCAAGCAATACAGCATAATGATTGGCCGGAGAAGGGTTGTCGGACAAAACATCACGATTTCATTGGCTATTGAGACTAGGACATCTTGTGAGATCTGGTGTGCACTTCCTATGACCACAATTAGCTCAAGCATTCTGATTGGCTCGATCTACCTTCGACAAATTCGAAGTTGGCGAAGCGCAGGGAAGTGCCTTTTTTTACTTGAAATTAGTATGAAGGCTGTCTAGTGGTAAGAGTGCAAATACATAACTATAATACATGCTTACATTTCTATATGAATATACATGAGGTACTTTTCACTTTGAATATAAATGACAAGCTTACAATTGGTTAGAAAGCGTAAATATTGCATGTGAGATATTACTCATCGCTCACTACCGATGTCGGTGGAAGCCGTTTAGCGCATGGAAGAACTATGGCGATGCAGCCAAGCTGATGGATGTCCTATGAAGGTCCAAGCATGTACAACTCATGGGTATATTCGTCGTCGTGGCGCTAGATTCACGTGTGCCTTGAGTGAACATACCGGTATAGGTGCAACAACATACAGTCTCGCTGAATCCGTTACGAGGTTCCCCACAATCCGCAGATAGAAATGGACCCATTTCAGTCGTAGCCACCTGACAATCTATTATGTTGGACAGCGTTTAGGGCAAGGACGTTACTGTGTGGCTTGGGGTGACAGTCCTAATTTCAAGTGTTAATTTCGGACTCAACTTTAGCCGATCCATGGCTGATCTTGTGGAGGTTTTTGTTTCATTCTACAAAATGCCACGAGGGAAGCGCACTGCCAGCGACAGCTCTGACGCGACGAGCGCCAAGAAGGCCACCCACACCAATGCTCTCCTGGCTGCGGACGACGTCGAGAAGGCAACGCTGCACTTTGAAGACGGGACCTCCATCCCCGGTGTGTCGTTTGGTGCAAAGACGTCTATGAGCGGTGAAGTTGTGTTCAACACGGGCATGGTCGGCTACCCCGAAGCGTTGAGTGATCCATCGTACAGCGGCCAGATCCTTGTGCTGACGTTCCCTCTCATCGGTAACTACGGCGTGCCGTCCCAAGAGATTGACGAATATGGCTTGCCCAAGAACTTCGAATCGAGTAAAGTGCAAATTTCCGGGCTCATCGTGTCCGAGTACTCGTTCGAACATTCGCACTGGAATGCCGTGACGTCGTTGGGCGACTGGTTGAAGGCTCACAACGTGCCGGCGCTGTTTGGGCTGGACACGCGCATGATCACCAAGAAGATCCGTGAACATGGCTCCCTCCTGGGTAAAATCGAGTTCCCCGAGCACCCGATCAAGATTGAAGACCCGAACAAGACCAACCTTGTCGCCAAGGTATCCCCGAAAGAAGTCAAGGTATACAACAAGGGCGCGTCGCCCAAGATCCTGGCATTCGACTGCGGCATGAAGCACAACATCGTGCGGTATCTGCTGTCCAAGGGTGTGGAGCTCACGGTCGTGCCGTTCGACTACAACTTGGCCAAGAGCAAATTGCCGTACGACGGCATTTTCATCTCGAACGGTCCAGGCGACCCCGAAATGGCCGACGCCACGATCCAGTCGATTCGATGGGCGATCCAGCAAGAAGGCGCCAACCTCAAACCGATCTTTGGCATCTGCCTCGGCAACCAAATCCTCGCGCTCGCCGCCGGCGCGACCACATACAAGATGAAGTACGGGAACCGCGGGATGAACCAGCCATGCATTGACATGCGCACCACGCGATGCTACATCACCCCCCAAAACCACGGGTTCGCCGTCGACACGGCCAGCTTGCCCGCGGGGTGGAAGACGTTCTTCATGAACGCCAACGACCACTCGAACGAAGGCATCATCCACGAGTTCAAGCCATTCTTCTCGGTGCAGTTCCACCCCGAAGCATGCGGCGGGCCCACGGACACGGCGTTCCTGTTTGACATGTTCCTAGACAAGGTCAATGGCCACCCCTCCAAGCTGACGCTCATGGACACATCTCTGTACGACCGCCCCGTGTTCCGCAAGGTCGTGCTGCTCGGCAGTGGTGGGCTCAGCATCGGCCAAGCTGGCGAGTTCGACTACTCGGGGTCGCAGGCGATCAAGGCCCTCAAGGAAGAAGGCATCCAAGTGATTTTGGTCAACCCGAACATCGCGACCGTCCAAACATCCAAGGGCTTGGCCGACAAGGTGTACTTTGTGCCTGTGCGGGCGTCCACGGTGCTGGAAATCATCAAAAAGGAGCGCCCCGACGGCATCCTCGTGTCCATGGGCGGCCAGACCGCGCTCAACGTCGGGATCGAGCTCGAGCAGAGTGGCGCATTGGCGGCCAACAACGTCCGCGTGATGGGCACCCCCATCTCGGTAGTCATCGACACGGAGGACCGCGAGCGCTTCAGTGCCAAGCTGGCCGAGATCGGCGAGACCATCGCCCTCAGCAAGCCGGCCAAGACGGTGGAAGACGCCGTGGCCGCCGCCAACGAGATCGGGTACCCCGTGCTCGTCCGCGCCGCGTTTGCGCTGGGCGGGTTGGGCTCTGGCTTTGCCGAGAATGACAAGGAGCTCCGCGCGCTGGCCAAGAAGGCGCTGCACGGCGCGGGCAACAAGGTCGGCGACCGGCAGATCCTGATTGACCAGGACCTTCGCGGGTGGAAGGAGGTCGAGTACGAAGTCGTGCGCGATGCCAAGAACAACTGCATCACTGTGTGCAATATGGAGAACTTTGACCCCCTCGGCATCCACACGGGCGACTCGATTGTCGTCGCGCCGTCTCAGACCCTCAGCAATGCCGAGTACTTCAAGCTTCGATCCACGGCGCAAAAGGTTGTCCGCCATCTTGGCATTATCGGCGAATGCAACATCCAATACGCGCTGGACCCGCACTCAGAGCGGTACTGTATCATCGAAGTGAACGCGCGGCTGTCGCGCAGTTCCGCGCTCGCGTCCAAAGCGACGGGGTACCCGCTGGCGTACGTGGCGGCCAAGATTGCCCTCGGTATCGACCTCGTGAACATCAAAAACAGCATCACCAAGACAACCACGGCTTGCTTTGAGCCGAGTTTGGACTACTGTGTCGTCAAGATGCCCCGATGGGACTTGAAAAAGTTCAACCGCGTGTCCAACGACCTCGGCAGCTCCATGCTCAGCGTCGGCGAAGTGATGAGTGTTGGTCGTAACTTTGAAGAGTGTATTCAAAAGGCAGTTCGGATGGTCAACCCCAACTTGGATGGACTGAACGCACGCCCAGTCGACTACACGGCGGACAAGGCCGAGATCGAGACGAACCTGAAGAAGGCGACGGACGAGCGGCTGTTTTACGTGATCGCGGCGCTCGATGCCGGCTACACGATCGACCAAGTGCACGCGTTGACCAAGATTGACCGGTGGTTCCTCTCCAAGTTGCAGCACATTTCTGGCCTCCGCAAGGGTATGAAGACCCTCGGGTCGCTAGACAAGCTCAGTGTGAACAACTTCAAGACACTGAAAACGTATGGCTTTTCGGATCGCCAGATCGCGCATGAAGTCGCTAGCACTGAGCTCCAAGTCCGCAACCGCCGCAAGTCGTTTGGCGTGGTGCCGTTTGTCAAGCAGATCGACACGCTCGCGGCAGAGTACCCGGCGCAGACCAACTACCTGTACATGACGTATTCAGGCATGGAGGACGACATCCCCATGGACGACCACGGCGTGATGGTGCTCGGGTGCGGCGCCTACTGCATCGGGTCGTCGGTCGAGTTTGACTGGTGCGCCGTGTCGGCAGTCCGCACCCTGCGCGAACTCGACTACAAAGCCATTGTGGTCAACTACAACCCCGAGACGGTCAGTACCGACTACGACGAAAGCGACCGGCTGTACTTTGAAGAGCTCAGCTTTGAGCGCGTGCTGGACATTTACGACCGCGAAAACGCGCACGGTGTGATAGTATCTGTGGGCGGCCAAATCCCCAACAACTTGAGCATGCCGCTGCACAAGATGGGCGTCCGGCTGCTCGGGACGTCAGCCGAGTCGATCGACAAGTGCGAAGACCGCAACAAGTTTAGCGCGCTGCTCGACAAGATTGGCGTGGACCAGCCCAAGTGGACTGAAGTCACGACGACGACGGCCGCGGAAGCGTTTGCCCGCGAGGTGCAGTACCCCGTGCTCGTCCGTCCGTCCTACGTGTTGTCGGGGGCGGGTATGATTGTCACGTCGTGCGAGGCCGAGCTTCGCGACTACCTCAACAGCCCCAACGTGGCCACATCCAAGTCGATTTGCATCTCCAAGTTCATCCTGAACGCGAAAGAAGTCGAGTTTGACGGCGTCGCCAAGGACGGCCACATCCTCAACTATGCCATCTCGGAGCATGTCGAGAACGCCGGCGTGCACTCGGGGGACGCAACGCTCGTCCTCCCGGCGCAAAAGCTGTACGTGGCTACGATCAAGCAGGTCAAGCGCATCGCGTCGGCCATCGCGCGATCGCTCAACATCACCGGACCGTTCAATATCCAGCTCATGGCCAAGGAAAACGAAGTCAAAGTGATCGAGTGCAACCTCCGCGCGTCGCGAACGTTCCCGTTCATTTCCAAGACGTTCGACTTGAACTTTATCGCGCTGGCGACCCGCGCCATGCTCGGACTGGCCGTCAAGCCCGTGCCCATTGCCCTAATCGACATTGACTATGTGGCTGTGAAGGCGCCGCAGTTTTCCTTCACGCGGCTGCACGGGGCCGACCCGACGCTCGGCGTCGAGATGGCGTCGACGGGCGAAGTCGCGTGCTTTGGCACAGACATGCACGAAGCGTTCCTCAAGGCATTGCTGAGTGCTGGCTTCAAAATGCCCAAGGAGCAAAAGACGATCTTGCTGTCCATTGGCAACGACGACATGAAGCGGGAGTTCTTGGACAGCGCCAAGATCTTGGACGAGCTCAAGTACAACCTGTTTGGCACGCCCGGCACGGCCGCGTTCCTCCAAGAGCATGGCGTCAAGTGCGAAGTGCTGTACAAGCCGAGCGGCAAGGACGCCAAGGGTGCCGTGGACGGCGCCGTCGAAGCGATCAAGAACAACAAGATTGAGATGGTCATCAACGTTCCCGATGGCGGGTCGCAGCAGGAAGTGTCGGACGGGTACCTCATCCGCCGCGCGTCGGTGGACTTTGGCGTGTCGCTCATCAACAACATCAAGTGCGCCGTGCTGCTGGTCCAGTCGTTGGAAAAGGTCAAGAAGCTCGAGATCTGCCACATTGGCGAGTACTATGCCATGCCTACCCTCGGATGGAGCACTGGCAAGAGCCTCCTCGCCCGCAAAATGTCTATTTGCTAATTATCCTAACAACCTATATAAACACCGTCAACATATAAGCAAAGCACTTGACACCGACTACAGTACTGACTGTATCGCATGCTGCTGGTTCTTTAGAGGAGATATATCGTATGTGGTGGTACAGTATGATTATCACTTGTTAGAACGTATACTCCTTGCCGGGGTGGTTGAGTGGCGGGAGACGGCGGGTACTTCCGGCGCCGTCGAGCAGGTTGGCACTTGTCTGCTTGGCCGCGACGCCCGTGGACGGGGCGTAAAAGTCGGTGACGGACACGCGCTCGTGGTCGGCGTCGGGCACTCGCTTGAGCTTCCACTGCCGGTACAAGATGAAGCCTTGGCGGATCACAAGGAACAGCACCACGAGCCCCTGCAGCGACAAGATGACGTACCCCACGACCGTGCGGGCGGTGGGCGGCAGCTCCACGACGGCCGACAGCAAAAATGCCGTGAGCGCGAGGGCGGCGATCTTCATGACTGTGATGAGGGTGGTCGCGGCCTGGACGAACTTGGCCAGATGGGGCTGGCGGACTTCGAGGTACAGCACGAACACAACGTGTAGTCCCACGAGCACGAGCACCTGCGCGACGCCCGGGAGGTTGGACATGCCGGTGGTGATGCCCACAAGCAGCGCCAGGAGCATCTTGACGATAAAGAAGAACCGGTTGGCAAAGTTGTACTCGTCGTAGAGACACCCATATCGCCGGTGCACGGGCTTGTCAAAGTGATCTTTCGTGCCAATGTCTGTGATGTCGTGTTCGTGTTGCCGCACGACAAGGTACCCATACACGATCGTGCCCACGGACAACACCAGCAGCGCCGCAATGGCCTAGGTTTTCACGTTAGTAAGCCGAGTAGTACGTCTAGTAGGCTACTAGGAACGTACCACAAATACACTGACACCCCACGCATGCCCCGAGTCGACGGCGCGCGTGATCTCATATGTGCCCGTGACGCCGATTGCATACTGCGCCACAATCCCGAGAAACATGCACGCGCCGACGCCTCGATCAACCATTTGTTCGCGATATGTTGGAAAGTTGCGGGAGAAGGCGAGCCCGACCAACAACACAGCCGCCAGAAGCACCCCAATGGCCCCCGCGGCCACGCAGATGCCCATGAGCGTCACGTAGAACAGCTGATCCGGACGGATGCCCACGGTGGCGGCGTAGCGCTCCATGCCCGACATCGAGTTGTCGGCCACGACTGCCAGCGACCGGGCCTTGGTCGACGACGCGGTTTGTGGCGGGGACCTCGCTGCTTCCCACGTGAAGAACGTAAACTGAAACGCCGACACGGACGCCGCCACAATGCCCATGGGGGGCGGCAGCCGCTCGATGTTGAGTTGGCTAACACTCGTGACGAAGCTCGCCATGTCGAGCAAACTCACGGCGACGCTGAGCGACGCTGCCGATCCAGCGGCGGCCGCCGCCCCACCGGACGATATCACGGCCGACGACGTCGTCAAGGACGTGACGGCGACTGCGGACGCCGACGTGGCCACGCCAAAGTACGTGGCGTACTGGGTGACGGTAGCCGTGAACGACGCGACAGACTCGAGGGGGGTGCGGGGGGCCCAGCCCTGTTGGGGCGTGAAGTCCGCCGCGCGGGCCTGCTGCTTCTTGGCATCCTGGATCCGGTTGTCCAGGTCTTGCTTTGGGTTGGTCGACTTGTCGGTGGGGGGGACGTACGCCGGGCACGAGCACCCGCCGGCGGACGCGCACGTGTCGACGACCGTCATGGAAAAGTTGTGGAAGTCGACGATATTCTGCGTGCGGGTATTGAGCTGGTTGGTCGTGGCCGGATTAAACCACTGGGAAAAGTTAAAGTGGGCGTAGATGGCGCTTCCAAACCCAGGCAACGCCGTTGAGTACGCCCACTCGTTGTTGATACACGACGGGAACGCGCAAGTGGTCAAGCAGGACGCGACGGTCACGGCAGGCAGCGCCACGTCGCCGCGGTAGGTGGCGCAGGCGGCGTGGAGGACGGCGGCGTCCACGTCCAGATCTGCCAAGGACGGGATGGTATGTATATATATTTGTGGAGAATGCATGGTACAGAGGCATATATATAAATGTACCGTGTCCACCACAGGTCAAGTTGCTGGTGATCCATTTGCCGTAGAACGCGGCATCGCATGCAAACGCAACCGTGTCCGTGCCAGTACCGAGCCGCCGGCGGCGAGACGAATCCGGTGACGACGGGGAGGTCGATGGCGGCGGTGCTTTGGTCGTGGTCGCAGATCTCAACGTCGTGGTGGGGAGCGGTGTCGACGCGGGGAGCGGTGCCGACGTGGGGAGCGGTGTCGACGTGGGGAGCGGTGTCCACGCGGGGGGGTTGTCTGTGGTAACGGCGGTGGGCGCTGGGGTGGTTGGTTCGTCATCGGGAGGTGTTGAGGTGGTCAGTACTGTAGAGAAGGTCGTTGGTGGTGCAGTGCTCTACATGCACCAAGGGTTGAGCATCGCATGATCATCGTGATGAGGAAGAAGGTGGATCGTACGGTGGGAAGCGGGGACGGCGCAATGGACGTGGTTCGGCGGCTGGTTGTTGTGGGTGGTCCGATGATGATGTCGGTAGCATTCGACGAGTTCGAGGTGTTGACAGCGTTGTTAGCGAGGATTTCGTCCAGCACCTCGTTGAACTCGGTGGTCACGAGGGCGGACGTGAAGACAAAGGAGCACTGGACGGAGGTCGGTGCATTGTTGGTGGAGGAAGGAGCAGGCGACGAGATGATGCTTGTCATCAACGCGGTGGGAGGAGCGGTCGAGGAGAACGAGCGAGTCGTGTTGGGCGTCGCCGACGGCGTCAGCCCGCTTGGCTTGGTGGTCGGGACACGAGAGGTTGTAGTGGAAGTGGCGCTTGTTGTAGGCTTTGACGTCACCGAGGCCGACGTGGTGTTTGGCGTGGCAGGATCAGGGGGGGTGGTAGGCACATTGGTGGTCTGCGGTGCCGACGTGGTCGTCGTGGCAGCCTTTTCCGTGGCGGGAAAGGACACAGGTCCTGACGTCACCTCCTGATCGGTATCTAGTGATGGCAACTGCTCTGCCATCACTGTGGCGGACGCAGCCATGACCACCAGGACAACGGCAGCAGCGGCGGTGGATACCTTCATCGTTCTTAGAATGTAAGAGGGTCGCCGCCTAAACCGAATCTGCTTGAATCACCTCTGACAACAAATACCTTGCGACTTTTGACGGATACGACCTGCGTCTTTAATGGAAGTTGGCACTAAAACCCGTATATTACAATACCCTGTGTCATATTATGTTCAATTATATACCCAGTAACGTTAGCTAACCGTCTCGGCTTTGCACGTTCGGCGTCTCGCCAATCATCCGCATGTGTGATATTTGTCATACAAACATCAAGTACAAAGGATGAGACAGGCTACCTTGTCTACCAGGTCGCCACGTCATACTCTTGATCTTGCTATTGGGAATCGTCAAAGGGCAAAGTAACGAACGTTAAGGATCTGCCATATACTACTACTAGTACTACTAGTTAGTCGGCTACTTGGTTTGCAGCACGCCGGCGGCAATCAGTTTTTCAATCTTGGCCATCACGCCGGCGTTTTGTAAATGGCGCTGGGCCGCCTTCGGGTCCGTCTGGAAGTCGTTCAGCACGTTTTGCATCACCGGGTCGCGCAGAATCGCTTGGATTTCAGGATCGGCCATGCCGTGCGCCGCTCGTTCCGTGTCCGTTTCCCCGGCCTTCAACTCCACGTTAGATCTTTCAACGTTTCAACCATCCTCATCTAGGTAGTACCTGGATCTTCGACTGCACGCTGTACAGCCCTTCCTTGCACTCTTGGTTAGTCGGGTCCAAGTCGAGGCCCTTCTGGTACGACTCCATGGCTTTGTGGTACTCCTTCATGAAGAACTGAATCGCGCCCATGCGGCTGTACGCCTTGACGTAGGTCGGATCAAGCGACAGCGCCTTCTCGCAGTCCGCCTTGGCGTCGGGGAACGACGTCAGCTTGGTCAGCGCCGCCGCGCGGTTCGCATAGTACACGGCGTTGGTCGGGTCGCGCTTGATCGCTTCAGAGTACGCTTCGACTGCCTTGGGGAAGTTGGCCGCCTTGAAGTAGTCGTTGCCGAGGTTCTTGGCCTCCAGACCCTTGTCCACATCCAAGTACGCCAACTCCTTGGCCTTCTTGAGCTTCTTCTGGGCGTCCTTCACCTTGGCTTCCACTTCCTTGGTGCGGTGCTCCACTTGCGCATGTTCAAATGCATCGATCGCATTGGTCAAGTTCTCTTCCGTCTCGCCTTGCTTGATGTATGCCGTCGCAATGCGCACATATGCCTTCGCAATCAACGAATAGTCGGCGCGGTATTCCCGACCCACCTCCACGGCTTTCCTATTCAAACATCATTGGATTCTATATACATATATCAACGATATATATACAATACAATTGAAATACTAGATATTAATAGAAAGAGAAATATATATATATACCAAGGCACTTGGATACTCTTGATATCGAATGACATTTCATGGATGTACGTACTTGCACTGGACAATGCACTGGTCGTAGTCCTTGAGCTCCAAATAGACCGCGGCCAAGTTGGACAAGTATGACATGTTGGTCGGGTCCTTCGACAATGCTTCTTCGTAGGCGGCAATGGCTTCGGGGAACTGCTTCTGCTTGTACAACGCGTTGCCGCGGGCCTTGGCTTCGTCCGCGGCCTTCCTACCATTCCATTTGCCTCGTGTTAGAACGATGGAAATGCAACAAGACGACGACAGCGTACTTGTTGGCACGGATGGCCTTTTCTTCGTCGGTCACCTCCTCCTCAAACACTTCCGCAGGCGCCGCGGGCGCGGTGTCCTGCTTGGGCGTAGGCGGCGTAAAGTCAGCCGACGCGGACGTTTTTTCGTCTGGCCGCATCATGCCGCCAAAGCCCAGCAGTTCCGCAAACACAGTCATCATGCGCTGGTCGCTCATGTAGTCGTTGAGTTTGTTGGGGTTTTGTTGCACGTCTTGCAACTTGCGCACAAAGTCTGGGTCTTGAAGGAACGCGCGGGTGCGCGGGTTGGTCGCGAGCTTGGCAAACATGTCCGGGCCAAACGCGGCGGCCATAGGGTTGGAGCCCGACGACGTATCAATCGCCTTCTTCACTTCTTCCAAGCCCCCGACACACGCAGAATTGTTGGGCTCCTTCGCCAACCCTTCTTCGTACGCCGCCAAGGCTTCGTCATACTGCTTGAGCGAGTGCAAGGCAGCGCCCTTGCGCGCGTACCCCTTCCCCCAGTCGCCCTTGACGGCAATGCAGCTTTCCGCGTCCTTCAACGCCAATTCAGCGTTGTCGTCGCTTAAGTATGCGGCACTGCGGTTCGAATAGTACACGTGGTTGGACGCGTCCAACGCAATCGCTTTCGTGTAGCATTCGATGGCTTCCGCGTTGTTCTTGGCCGAGAGAGCGGCATTGCCCTTCGCCTTCCATTGTTCAGCCTACGCAGATACACATGAATTAGCTCATGCTTCCTCCATGCATCATCATCGTGCACACGTTGCAGGGGGAGCTTCTACCTCCGACGACATGGCTGCTCCTTTCTCTGTCAGTTGATAGCAAAATGGAAATAATGTGGAAATCTGGCCACCCCTTTCAATCGGTGGGATAACACTTTAGCCAATCAAATCGCTAGATTTGAGTTTTAGCCAATCATTTCTCTTCGTTGGCCAAATTGAACTCGCCAGGGCGAAATTTCGAGAAACATCCAAAGGGAGCTTCCATGAATTACGAAGCCAAGAAGCAGGATGGGAACACCGATGGTCGAGGCACATGAACCATTCATTATCAACACATTACGTCGTTAGAATGCAGATATCTACGCTTGCGCCCTAGTCATAGTTGTCACGCCTGTTGCGGCGCTTGCGTGCTTCCTTCTCCAACCGCGTACGTGCGTGGTGTTTGCGAGTGGATGCGTCCAGTGGCGGCGACGTCGTGAATCGATTGTCAATCTCGGGATCTCCGACGGAGCTCAATTCGTCAAAGCGTTCGGTGGTGGCGGCGCCACGATCAGCGCGTTTCGACGGGCAGACCATGGGTTTGCCAGGTGCCTCGTCGTCGTTCGAGAGTCTGCACGCCGACACGTCTACCTTCAAGAACACCAACGCTTCCTCAACATCTTGTCGGTCGGTGGCAGATAACGAGTCCATGAAACCAAAGTTCTTGAGTCGCAATCCCTTGAGAACATGTTCAAACGCCCGAGGGCTCCAGTCAACAAAGATTCTTGGTCCTATACAATCGTACCAATCATGCTATGCGAGCTCGCGCGACGATATAGTTTGGAATGCATATTCATACCTGCGGACGACGAACGACCTGCCAGGAGCTCGTGGAACAACGTGTGGCCGCACCCCAACAACGTCGCATTCGTCGTAGCAAACCGAGTGCCTCCGACGTTGACCTCCACCACGCCAGGGTGCCCGTTGTAGCCGCGGTGGTGATGCCCATGGTGGTGGGGACAGAAATCATCATCGTGGCGATGGTGGTGATGCCCATGGTGATCGTGGTGATGTCCATGGTGGTGGTGGTGATGTCCATGGCGATGGTGGTGATGTCCATGGTGATCGTGGTGATGTCCATGGTGGTGGTGGTGGTGAGGACGGAAATCGTCGTCCTCATGATGATGGTGATGATGGTGATCGTGGTGATCGTGGTGATGGTGGGGAGAGTACTCGTCATCATGATGGTGATGATGGTGGTGAGGATGGCGATGGTGATGCCCATGGTGATGGTGGCGATGGTGGCGGTGGCAAGGGGGGCCATGCCACAAGAAGATGGCACCGACAGCGAGGACGAGAAGGGCGAGGCCGACTTTGAATCCCCGACAAGGGCGGCGACACCACGGATGCGGCGGGTCCACGGGACGGAGCGGTGGACCGCGGGGCGCTTCCGGGATGCTCATGCGAACAGACGACGTCGAATAGCACAATGACCATCCTCCACCTCCTCGCCCCTTCCACGCCCTTTCGTAGCGACCTTCCACAGAAAGTTGAAACGTTCTCCGCCGCCTTCTGTTGTTCCGACGATGCCATTGGGCATGATACCCCCCTATACCTCCCTATGGCACCCCCCCTCTACTGACCCCGTGGAGCTGCCCCCTCACCCCCCACAACCGTACGGTGACAATAATAGAGAGTATTACACTGTGCAATGCGTGCAAGCTGGAGCATGTACGATATATCATCTACGGGTGGCTACGCCCTAGATACCGGTAGTACGTAGTAGTACTGCACTGTGGAGATGAATATATATATATATATATATATATATATAGCGCGACAGAATATTGTGCCAGCCAGAAGGGTTGATGTAAACCACGGCGCCGTTTCGCTTTCCAAAAAGTGAAACGGTTTTCGTGGCGTCGACTTTTACTGGGCATTGCGTGCGGCGAGCACGATTGATCGCCAATGATGCACGCGAACGACATTCTGTTCTGCTCCACACTCCAAGGGTGCGTCTTGGAGCTCGGGTGCGACCTCGTGGATGCATTCGAGTCTCCACGCCACCGTCATGGGGGAGATACAAGTCGTAATTTTAACACAGCCGTTGGCCCGGCATCCAACGGCGACGTGTTCAGCGACGAAAGCAACGACAAAGACACCAGGAATGACCACACGAAGCCGCAGCAGAGGACTGTTACACGACGGTAGACTCGATCCGAACATGAACTCTTCCTCGATGGCATGCGTATGCACGGCCGGTCTTGGAAACTCATTGCCGGGAATGTCAAGTCGCGGACGTTGACGCAAGTTCGAACCCATGCACAGAAATACTTAGCCCTTCAGCTCCAGCAGCAGTTATTTGGTCGAAAGGTGTCGTGCACCACCAAACGCCACCAACGGGAATGTCAAGTCGCGGACGTTGACGCAAGTTCGAACCCATGCACAGAAATACTTAGCCCTTCAGCTCCAGCAGCAGTTATTTGGTCGAAAGGTGTCGTGCACCACCAAACGCCACCAAGCGAATCGATTCGACTCTGACCTCAACGACGACAGGCTCATATACATCAATCGCCATACGCGGCCGCAACGCCATGAGTTCATCCCCATCAAGCCGTTGTTTGTACCGAATATGACTGCACTGCACCGACGCACTAGCCAAAGATACACTCTAAGCCCTCGTGGAACTGTATATGAACCGGCAAAACTAAAGCAACTACGAAGCTAACCGCATTGCATTGCCATCGACGAGGAAGGAGTTCCACGGCACGGCCGCCACCTCCATCGCGTTTGGGTCCAACACTGCGTAACCTGTGCATGCACTCCAGAGCATTATTTATGTCCCGCCTGTCGTCGATTTGACAGGCTTGGTCGGTTGGTGGACGATTAAGATGCATGCGAACTTTAGCCGCATAGTAACGTTAGAATGAATGCTGCTCTACTGTAACATGGTAGTAATAGGAACTTTGGTGGCCCTCTACTACTGTACACCGCCATAAACTGAACCAGTAGTTACAGTACCGTCGCCGTGAAAAACCATCCAGGTCACAGCCAAACATGAACTTTAGTATTTATTACCTGCAAAGTGCAAGCAGCATGCTCATCCGTCTGTGCGACCCCTCGTCGACCACGCAACCCCCCCCCACAACTGTTTTCAACGTTTGAGATCACATCAACACTACATTACCGTTAAATTATTCTACGCGATCCGCTCCGCTTGGACAGGACTGACGCTCAACGCATCCGCGTCGCTGACTTTTTTGTGGCGAATACATAGCCCCTGCAATCGACCCGCGTGGTTGCACCCGTCCACCTGGCAGCGCTTGCCACCCCCGTGGCTGTAGCATGATCCGCCGACTTGGGCGCTTCGGGTACACCCCTCCACGTCGCAGCGGCGACCGCCGCCGTGGGCAATACAGAACCCACCCTTGTGGGCGCACTTGTGGCAGTCGTCCCACTTGCAGTAGATCCGGCTTCCGTTCTTGCCGCCCCCATGGCTGTAGCAGGTGCCGCCCGCTTGCGCGCTCTTCCCGCAGCCGTCGATGGCGCACCGCCGGCCACCGCCATGACTGATGCAGAACCCACCCTTGTGCGCGCACTTGTGGCACTTGTCCACTTTGCAAAAGTGTCGCCCGCCGTGGTCCATACAAACACCCTTGCGCTTGGCGGCTTTGGAGCATCCGTCGAAGCTGCATGGCCTCAACGACACTATTTTCCGCGTCTTCGGGGTCGTTTCGGCAGTTGTGAACGTCGACGGCAGCCGTGTGACGGGGGAAGGTGGCGTCGGGACAACGCCACAGTGCGCCAAGCACAGGCCTAGGATCTTGGCGTACTTGGCGCAATGGTCACGACTGCACATGTGATAGTTTGACAGGGACTCGCCGAAGTGAGAATGAAGTGGCCGTAAGACTAACATAGGGGGGATATGATAGGCAGATGCTCGTTGGCAGCGTAGTGGCAAGTGACCGCCGTTCCATCGGGGCGACGGGAAGTGGTGGTGTAGGGTTGCCGTGGGCTGCGAGTGCAGGAATGAGGCAGTCGTCGTGCTTGGCATGGTGCAAAGAGATTGAAAAGTGCGACGTGTATCACGCCACACTGCATGGGTGGTAGGTAGTACAAGGTGCGTTCGAAATACTTATATGCTTGCCATAAGGTGGAGACAAAAGTGATAACATTTGATCGCTTGTGCTTCTTGGACTGGCACTCAGCCCAAACGACGCATCCTATAGAAGCCACAAGTGTATTTGAACCCGACGTCATGTTTTCATGAACATCACCCACACCCATGGTTCATGTTGTCACAAGGCCTGTTCACGGGGACACGCACGCTCCACGTGGAATTCAATTGATTTTCGCCGACTCATCACCTACATAATGCCCCAAAACGTTCATGTAAACACCCAGTGTAGTAGTTTCCTGTACTATGTTCAACTTGCCATGATGATGTTTACCCCAACAGCGATGTTCTTGTGAAGGGTCATATGTACCAAGGAGGGGAAACATGGGGGTGGATAATATGTTGCCGTGGACATACAATCCAGTTGTTAAATCGCTCCACTACGTTGCAAAACGGTGTGATCCCATATGGGGGAAGTGAGGCGACCATAGGGGCCTATGTGTGAAATCGAATTCAAATTGCAGAAATGGCTACTAATATGACATATACGTATACATAACTTCGATACAAAAATCAATATGTTCGTAATCTGATTTCTACAGGGAAACCTCTAACATATTTTTTATTATGTGTTACGTCACTGTTGCCATTTGACATGTGTGCAGAAACCAGGTTGAACCAAGTTCAACCTTGACGTAACGTGCCCTTAAGCTCGCGCAATAATCAACCTGATGCAGCTACACAGAACCGTTACTGTACCAGCTATTCACGACTGACGTTGTGATTGTTTTTCCTGTCGACTTCTGCCTTTGCTTGCTGTTCAAAGTTCCGAGACTGTCTCCGTCGTGTAACTAACTTCACAAGGTGTACACCCAGGTGGCGCAGGTTCAGGACCAGCTCCTCTTTCGCCTCCCATGTCCTTCCACTTGTGCACAAGCAAATCAAGGTGGGGACTATATACTACCGTAGTACATGAGTATGAACTTTGCACGACACCCTGGTGTGTTGATCAGCCAATCTTTTCGGCTGGTGAGTCCTTGCGTACCTACTTGCTAACGTCGACATTGCACATGCATCCGGCGATACAATCGCGTACCCATCCCAACTTCAACCGGACCTGGATCACGGGCAACCCTTGACAAAGTGGTTCCTTTGTTATCGTGCGTATGTACGGGTCCTGCAATCCCCCACCCTCTCTAACCTAAAGCAGCCTCAACAATCCACTGTCTTGTCAACATCTCGACCAGCCCTGGCCGCTCGTGTGTCGTTCGTGTGCGAAACCCGTCGCCTCGCTATAGATACCAACCAGCCTACGCGAATCAGCATTATTGTCACGATTGTACAGGCCGACCCTGGTCGAATGAGATCCTCACCCAGTACACACTGTACTGTACGTTCATGCACCTCGGGTGGGCAAGAATAGCAATGATGATAGGTCCTTCATGTTCGCACTTGCAATGGAAAAACGATCATCATCGTCTCGACGACGCCTTGGTATTTGCTGCCAGATCTGTTGGTAGGACAAACTGTACGTTGGGCCATACTTGTCGTATAGTATTGAACTTGTTCATCAACTGAACAAGTGGTTCGTTACCACTACAGTTCATGGTAGGGTATGGTCAATGAAAACGAGCATGAAAGCTGTTGTGCGTGATCGCACATGGAAGGTAAAGAAAGTTCAAGGTGGACTACTTGCATGTATGAAAGCCAACAACGAGCCACATGCTGGTGAACGGGTACGACATAGCGGATTAAATAAGTCGAATTACGTTCGACAGAGGAGGATGTCGCACCACGTGGGCATGACAGGAAGAGTCAGGATATTCTGACATGTCGGGCGTTGGCGCATGAGCCGTTCGATGAGCTGTCGAGTTTCTGTGAACCGAGACGGCAGGCGCGACGTGGACTTGTCAAACTCGATCACCATTCGGGTGAACACTAGCTCTAACTCAGAGCCGCGACGCTCTTCGTAGAGAAACTCTAGGCCGTCGAAGAGATCGCCTTGATTCGGACGGGAGCAGCACGGACACGGCCCCTTGCCGTCCACATGTGCCACTAGGGTGTCCAGGAGGAGGAGGAGTGTCTGTACGACGGGGAAGACGTTGCGTCGAAGCAAGCGCATGTACAGCTTGTTCTGATGCTCCGCGACGTAGAGGAGACAGTGCAGGTGCATGGTCGTGTGAATATCCAGCCACGGATCAGCCGACGAGAACCCAATCTCGAGCCACCGTGGATGAGGCGTCAGCGGGGATTCCACGGGCGCGGTGGGAAACGACACGCGCCACAATGCCGCCAATTGGTCCTGCGCAAATACACTCGCCGTATCTAGTGTCTCCCATCGACCCAGGAGTTCTTGCAGCAGCTCTTCCGTCACGCCGTCCGCAGCCGTTGTGTGCCACATGCAAGACAAGATACAGTACTGCAGTACTGCAGTACGTGAAAATTGGATTCTGTGTAGATGGTGCATTATCCGGTTAAATGGGGCCGCGTTACCGGATACTGCTTAACCGTCGAATTCGAACACAACGTTACGAATCACGTTGGCTTCAAGTACTTGCGGAGCAATCGGGCAATCCACGGCGTCGATATGACAGTGATGCCACCGCGGAGTGGACCTACATATGAAGGATAGGGTGGGAAGCAGACTGACTTCTCGCTCACGATAAATATCTCGTGTACCTGTCGCCAATGTCACCAAGTAAGCAAGAAAGAAGGACCCGGCATCAGGGTCAACATCCTCGAGGTTGACGAACGGTACTTTGACATGCCGAATGTCTACACCCATGCGAATACTCGTGTACGCGGAGCCAAGCGTGGCGACGAACACCGACGAATGGAACACGACCGCAACCTTGCCATACTCTTTGGTCACTTGCTTGAGTTTCTCGCCGTGCTGGGCAAGCCATCCTTTGCCGCCGCTTGAAATATGCCTACAGGCGTCGGGGTTCAGTTTGCCCAGCGGAGCCCGCGTGGCGTGCCAGATACCACGGCCACCGCCAGCGCGGGTGATCAAGTTGAGCACTTGCATGATGCTAAAAAATGGTGGCGAAGATTGGTTAATTCGTACGTACACATTGTACAGTGTACGTACATTGTACATAACATGTAATGTACGGTACGAAACTCATAAAAATCATTCAATTGGCCCACTCGAACTGTCGGAATGTTGGTTTGAATAAAGTATTTGTATGACTACCCTTGTGGGATGGGTTATATCCAAGTGCTCGCCTGTGATTGGTGGATTATATTTCTATTGTATTTGCATATCATGTTTTCGGCCACTGTTGGACTCGGAGAAGAAGCGTAATGACCTCTCCCGCCTTCCACGGTACGTCGTTCGCGGCACCTCGCTATGCTGCATGTGATCTCATCCTGTTGTAGCGCCTCCGCTGTCGGCGTTCTTCAAGAAGGAGGAAGATCTGCTGGTCACGCATGGCCTCGCCGACGTCCACACACCAGCAATGTTCCACCACGCATTTGACATTGGCGACGTGATCGGCCGCGGCAGTGTCTCGATGGTGTATGCGTGTCGCCACAAGTCGACCCTACGCGAATACGCCGTGAAAGTGATCAACAAGCAATTGTGCATTAAGAAAAAAAGCCTGCGCGACGAAATCTCGGTGCTCATGCGCGTCAAGCATCCCAACATCATTAGTCTTGAAGCCGTGTTTGAGAGCGACCAAGAGCTCTACCTCGTCATGGAGCGGTACGTCGCGTCATCCATATCTCTCCACCATGTGGAGTCTCATGGACATGCAGCGCGACGGGCGGCGAGTTGTTTGACCGCATCGTCCAGGTCGGCGTGTACTCGGAGCGCCAAGCCGCCGATATCGTCGCGCACCTCCTTCTCGCGCTCGAGTACCTTCACGACCACAACATCATGCACCGGGACATCAAACCCGAGAACCTCCTCTTGGGGACTACCGATCGTCCCGACGATATCAAGATCAGCGACTTTGGCATTGCCAAGATCCTAGAGGACATGGAGGATGACGACAGCATGCAGGGCATCCAAACGACGCGCCGCGCGTCCAGTGCCGCCTGCCGCGGCCGCGCCTACACGAGCTGCGGGACCGACTACTACGTGGCGCCGGAGGTGCTCAACGGCAACGGCTATGACAACAAAGTGGACATGTGGAGCCTGGGGGTCGTGATTTACATCATGCTGTGCGGATTTCCACCGTTCGCAGAGGACGAAGGCGGCATGGAGTCTGTCTATCGCAAGATCACGTCGGGGGTGCTCGACTTCCCCGACCCGTACTGGAGCAACGTGTCTGAACTAGGTACAGGATTGCGCACACGACATGTGACCACGGGGGTCCTCATGTTTGATTGTGTGATATGTCATAGCCAAGTCATTTTTGAGAAGTTTGCTGAATGTCGACCCTGTCCAGCGCATCAGCGCCGAAAAAGCATTGGGCCATCCTTGGATCCGGGTACGGGTGTTGAATTGAGCTACCAGTATGGGATCTTGGTAATGATATAAAAATGTCATGGGTAGGGCCGGACGGTGTCGACGAGCGAGGCGCCTCTGCGGTCGGCAATACACGAAATGCGGCGGTTCAACCAGAAGCGCCGGTTCAGTTGATCATGTGTGTGTGTCCGCTATATACTGTACAGTAACGTTGGTTCGTGCATTGGAGGTGTAGTGTTGGTGTTGAGTGTTAACGTGACGTGGGAAGTCGTCGGATAAGTGCTTGGAACTCGCAGCCGTCATTAGCCATGTATGTTGTGGTGAGTTCAGTTGTTGTCGTCGGCTAGCCACACTTGCACCTACGAATTATCCAGCGAATATGAGACACTGTTCGGTGTACCCATCGATTGATGGTACCTGGCGCCACATCCTGTCCTTTTCGCGTTTAGCTGCTGCTTCCTTTCTCCACACTCCCACACGACATGACCACACATGCAGCACTCGTCGCTTGGCGTCGGCCTCGCGCTTGACCTGAAGACGGCAGAGCTGAGCCTTTCGAGCGTCCGTCAGGCTCTTGACGACACCCCATAGGCGCCGGACGAGGTGGTTGTGAGACGCTGTTCGAACCGACAGTTCTCTTTGCAGCGTGGCCTCCCGCACGGCCTACCCAAAGTAGTTGCATGTTGGTCGTCGTGGCATTCAAATGGACATGAGATCAGCACTTCTGTACCTGCCACTGGAACATCACTCGATTCAGCCATCGCTTGTCGTGCCAGGTTGCCGCCGCGCGCAGTCGCGCCGTTCGAATCGCCCGTGCTTGAGCACGACACGCGTCTCGGTACCCCACCCACGCGCCAAAGCGCTGGTGGAGGGTCGTGTCGTGGTGCCAATGCTTGGCCTTGATGGCTTTCGTCCTGAAGATAGATAGGTTATCCTTGAGGCCTTGTCATATCGAGATGGACAAACCTGCACATGGCCACAAGATGACGCCACGGCCGCCACCCTTGGAACAGGACGAGGGCTCGAAGGTGGTGTCGCTTGGCGAGCGTCCACTGCTCCACGGCCAGCTGCCGTCGCTGCGCTTTCTCCGCTTCCTCCCTTGCCATCTCCCTGTTATTGTTGAAGATGACTGACATGTCTCGTACGCCTGGGTTGAAGTGGTTGTTGTACCGTTTTCGTTCGAGTTTGAGTGCCGCCGCAGCTGCTTTTTGCTGCTGTACGTCCGCCAGGGCTTGCGCTGCCGCCACGCGTACCGCTTCTTCCCTCGCTAGTTGTGCTTCCTTGTACTTTGTCTGCAATGCTTCCCACCGCAGCTTCCTCTCAGCCTCCCGTGCACGCATGTCCAGTATCCGCGGGGGTAATGCGTCCTGGACTACAGCCGTCCGTGGAACGCGTACACGCAATTTTCGAGGACTGGTGGCCACGTCCATGTGAGATCCCCGTCGCGGTGGCGGTGGCGGTCGCTTCGCACTCTTCCATGGGCGTCGCGGTACTTTCGTAAATGAAACCGTTGACGGTGGTGGCAACGACGGTGACGTGCAGGATGTACTGTACTTCGTCGTTGTCGTGGCAGTTTCGAGTTCAACTTCAATCATGTTTGGACGCAACACTTGTGTCAGAAGCCTGTCCGTTCGGGATTGCCGAGCTACAAAGCCAGCGGCTGCGTGCTTGACCGCCTTGCTTCGCTTCGTGAAGGTGTTCCACTGAACAAACGTTTTAAAGAGGGTTGCTTTGCGATAATGCACGGTAGCATCGAGGTCCGCACGATGCTGCCACGCCGCCGCCGCTTTCGCTGCCGCTACAGCTCGCGCATGCACGATTTGGCGGACGTAGACTCGCCATGCGGACCAAATGCGTCGCTGGAGGTGCCACATATGTGCGCGGGCGGCCTGTGCCATCGTCGATTGGTGCATGTGCACGACGCTCCACCACGTGGCGAACGCATCTTGCAGCACGACACCCGCCGCATGCCGCTGCTGCCGCGAGGTCTCCAGGGCCGCCAATCGCTCTGTTTCTTGCGCCAAATGCAACGTGACCGCGTGAGTTTGCTTGCGGAGCAGGGTCGAATCGATGGGTCGTCTGGTTGTCGTCGGCGGGGGTGGCGGTGGCGGAGATGCTTTCAGTTTACGCTCCAGTCGCTTTTTGTCCACCACTGCGTGCCTGGCATTGATGTGTTGCAAAGTGTCGATGGCAGGGGGAAGCGGGGGTTTCGGGGGTTTATTGAACGGATTCTGCATTCGAATAAACGAGCGAGGTTTGTGTATCGATGAAGATGACGGAGTGCCAGCCCGGGCAAGTCGTTTGGCTAGGACTAGGGCCTGTCGCGCTGCCATGTTGCGTGCTGGGTCTGACGCTGGCACCGGGTCGGCAGATCGGGGTGCGGGACGGAGAGGGGTATTGTTGCGGATGGCAGCTTGGGCTTTGACTGCACCTCTACACATATGTATGAGCAAAGAAAGATGGGACAAACCAGACTTGATCGTTTGAGCTGTATTTTCGACGTTTAGCCACGCCTGGATGCGCTTCTTCGCGTCACCTTCCACGACACCGTCGTCGTCGTCACGGTGACTCGCGGCAATGCTGCGACCGGCTTCCCATTCCTTGGTGACGGCAGACGCAGAGAACTTCGCGTCCGTGTCCTCGGGGTCGAGCGTCGCTTGGACGAGCATCTTCTCCCGTTCCCAGTTATCGACCCATGTGGGTCGACTGTCGTCGTCGTCGTCGTCCTGGTTTCCACGATGCCGTGGAGGATCATGCCCTCCTGCTTTGTGTGACTTGCCAAACAACTGTTGCCATCGAGACGGCTCGTCTCCTGCTTCGACCTGCTGCGGCATGAAATTGACGCCGATTCTTGACAACAACCAAATGTAACGGTCTCTTTTAATAGTGTGGAAATGCTGTAAAATAGTGTGGTCGCAACGTAATTGACCACATCAGCAGATGATGGCGACAGCAGAGGAAGTGCTTTGGGAGTGGCAGCCTGAAGCCATTGCGCTTGTGGTAGAGGATGAAGATCACCGCCTGCATCTCACAGAGCAGGGCGTGGACCTCCTTCGCTCCTTCAATTACCCCGTTGCGGTGGCCTGTTTAGTTGGTGGCCCCACTCGTCATGACGTCTTCCATGCCTTTGTCGACGACGGGATGTCGAACACAGTCCCACCTCTCGTTCCCGCCACCCATGGCATCTACTTGATCGGCTCGGCTGATTTCATGCGCACTGGTCGATGCATGCTCGCGCTATCCCTCACTGTAGACCTCGAGGACGACGACCAGCACGCACCATTGTGGGACTTGGCGCTTCTCCTCAGCTCCATTGTCCTCTACATCAACGACGGAGAGATTCCGACACCGCCACCGCGGCTCTTGGACACGCTCGAAGTCATTCGCGCCCTCAAACCCGACTGTTCCACCGACGACATCAACGAGTTCCTCCCGAGCCTGTTGTGGGCGACCGCATCACCCTCCGACGCTCCATCAGCTGCAGCTTTCCATGCGTCTTCGTGGCCGTTCGAGCTGCCTTCCACGGCCGTCTCGGACATGGCGACGCTCGATCTGGTTGGCTGGTGCGTCTATCCTTCCCATGCTGCTCCATCCTCTGACGCCGCCACCATCATCGATGACATGCGAGTCATACTCCTGCATCACACCAAGACCAAATCGTTCTTTGGCACGTCGTTGCATGGAGACATGCTCGTGGCTTTAGTCGACCATGCGCTTTCGTGGCTACCACGCGACGATTCATCTGCCACGTCCGTCACAGTTGACTTCCTTGGGGGATGGGAGCACATGGTAGGCATGCAGTGCACCGCCGTGGCAGCGACGGCGCTGGCCGCCTACGACGATGTGATGGCAGAGGTCGACCCGCCGCCATCCTCCGCCCCTCTCTCGTCGAGCGTCCGTCCGCCGATGCCATTGGCCGAGTTTGAAAAGCTCCACGTAGACATGCACGAAATGGCCATGTCCTCGTTCACTTCGCAGGCGAAACCGTACAAAAAGTCGAGGGCATACCGCCGACACAAGCAGTCCCTCGTCGGCACTCTCCAGACGTCGTGCACCCGTCACCGCCGCGCCTTGATCGAGTCGTCCCGGGTGTATTGCACTGCCGTGGCTCATGTCCACTTGTCTTTGTTATCTAACGAGTCGACCGTACCCGACGATACACCGTCAACCTCATCTTCATCGCCAGCGCCTCCCAACGGCACCATCGATCATTCAACTCCTCCAACAGAAACGTCACAAGACGATGTATTGAGCGCATTTGTGCGCGTCTACCGCCAAGCCACGACCGGCCAAGTTGCAGCGGACCAAGTGCTGGCCACCGTCGTGGTCTCCGACGTCGCCGACTTCCTGACCCGCCGCCAACACGCAGCCAAAGCGTCGTGGACGAGCGCGCACTTGGCGTCCGAGCGATCTGCGCTGCAGGCCGCGTACGCCGCCAAGCAGGACCAGCTCACGGCGCACTTCCATGACCAAGCGCTGCAGCTGCGGGAGGCCCTCGCGGCCGAGAAGAAGCTCTGGACCCAGGCACACATGGCCAAGCAAGCCCGCGACAAGATCGACGTGCATGAAACCAAGCGACTGGCGGATGATCTGTCGGCCGCCGCGGCCACGATCGCAGCGTTGGAACGAACCAATCAGGCGCTGCAGGATGAAGTGGCAGCGCGAGACGCCACCATCGGCCACCTCCAACTACAGGTGTCCGACTTGCAAAGGGCGACCGCCGACGATGACCGCGTCCGGTCGGCGCTCGTGGACAGCATCGCAGAATCCATTCGAAACGAAAAGCGACTCGAAGCGGCTCTGGCAGCTGCCGAGTCGGCCGCGACCGCCGCCGCCGCCCACCTTCGGATTCTGACAGAGGAAAAAGAGCACCTGCAGACGAATTGGCGGCAGCTGATGGTGCAAATCACAGCGTTGCCACCGCCGCTGCAGCACCAAGTGCTGTCTTTGCATGTCGACGAACAAGCGACCGGACACGAACACACGACCGTGGGGTTTTCGGACGCACTAAGTAGTTTCATGTCCACTTAAAGAGTACGACTACTACTACCGGTACTACCATACCACACTACGTAGTGGTATGGTACGAACAAAGAAGTAATCCCCGTGTTGTAGGTCTCGTTGACTGTGTGGTTTTGGCTGACATATAAGAAGTCTTAACGACGACTTCTCTACACCTGGAGTATGGGGAAGCGAAAGTGGATCAAGTGTGTGTCGAAGTAGTCGATAAGACATAACTCAGGTTCAGCCATGTCCATATTGTGAATTGGCTATACACTTCCAAGATACGCGTGGTTTGACTAATCAATATTGAATCACGCTAGAGTTCTGATTGGTTCAATATACAACTCCTTCCTGTAAGAGCCAATCAAATCCACTCAAAAATTGGATTAGCCAATAGCGTCAATGATTCGTGATTCGATTATTCGATTCGATTCGACGGGGTCTGGAAATTTGTACCGAATCCACAATATTGTCGTATATATATATATATTCGTTAGATGGAATAGATCCAACTAGACCCAAACAAGCTGTTCTTGGGCGAAGCCTTGTTGCTTGTTTTGGCGGCCTTGTGCTTGGTCGGATTGCCTTCGCTGGCAGCTTTCATGGCGTGGTAGATGTGCACAAGGGCGACGGCATCGAGGGCGGCGTACTCCATTTGCGCACTCGTGAGCGGGCGGCGCGTCCAGTTAGACATGCGAGTGCGCTTGTCCAGGGGAAAGCCCAGGTAGTGACGACACAAGTCGGTGAGCGAGGTCTTGGCGCCCGTGGTGGGGGCTTCGCGGCCCCCAATGGCCTTTTGCAGTGTCTGCAGGTCGAGGATGCAATGCACAGGACGGACCCCGAGCGCTTTGAAGTCCCCCGACACATCCAATCCGAGCTTGAGCACGGCGTCCGACGTGAAGAGGGGCAGGAACGCCGCGAGGATGGCGTCCTTGCCGGCATCGTCACGGGGAGATTGCAGGTCGATGACGAAGGCTCGGGAGGCCGACGCGAACTGCAAGACGGCGCACGGGGTCGTCGAAGCAGCAGCAGCATCGAACGACGACCGCCATTCAGTGTCGAGGCCTACCACTGGTTCCGAGAGGAGGAACGCGGCGGCGGCGGTGGCGGCAGCGACAGAGTCGACGAATTCCACGGTCGCATGCAGATGTTCCAAGGTGAGGAAGCCGGCAAGGGGGGGCGGGTCGTCCTTGTTGGCGCCAAGGTCGAACGAAGCGGGCGGCGCGAGGACGTCGGGGAAGTGCGCGCCGAGACCGAAGAGGTGGACGATGTACCTCGTGATGGGGTTATCGTGGCCGCATTGGTCGTAGAGGAGGTTCGCGGCGTACAGCTGCGTGGCGTCCGACGAACCGGCGGCATCTGGGACGTCGCTGTACTGTTTCGCATGGGCGAGGTAACGCAGCGTGGCGCGGCGGCGGCTAGACAGAGGCGGCGGCATGAGGATACATGTGGTGAGATGAAGAAAGGGAACATGCGACGATGTTGAGAGGGGAGAAATCTGGCTGGGTAAGTATGCGTACCGTTCGACGTAGACGGGAAAGTCGTCCGGGGGGAGGCGGAACTTGGTCAGTCGTTTCTTGATCACTTTGTCGTCGACATGGTGTTCGATCATGAGGTGCACAAGGGCGCGCTGCCGGATAGGGTCACCGAGGACAAAGCGGTCGGCCCCGGGAATGTCGTTGGTCTCGAGGAGGAGTCGCATGACGGAGTCTGCCGGAAGATGGGGCAGGAGCGACAGATCATGCATGAGATCCAGCGCTGCCTTGGAGTTGACGTACAGCAATGACATGGCGCCGGTGATGCGGTCGGCGATGTCGACGTGGTAGAGTTTGCACCATGTCACCGTTGCATGTACGTGTTCTGGGAGGTTTGCCAAGTGGTGGAGATAGATCGATGTCGATACGTGGCGGACGTCGCTTGGCGGGGGGTCGTTGGAGGTACGTTTGGATGCGACGTCGAGGGCGACCACGAGACTGTTGAGGTATGCGGCCCAGTTGAAGGAGGCAGTCTGAAAATTCATGAGTGTGGCCACGTGGAGAGCTTCGACAAGAGGTTCGATGTGTGTGTAGTACCTGAATGTGAAAGTCGATGCAATACGCGAAATGACCCAACGCAAGGGGCAGTGGGACCAAGGCCATAACGTTGGCCAGTTCGTCTTGAAGTGCTTGGAACTTCCGCGTCGAGCATAGCAGCGCCAGGTGCGCGGCGGAATTCGGAACATCCTCCGACAAGACAAGCGGTGCTAGGACGAGGGCAGCGGCATCATTGCAAGCTTCCTTGCTCATGATTTGCGATTTGGGATTTTTGTAGATTCGGCAGGATCAACCTATCAGAGACGCGATAAGATTATGTTTTAGCGAATCAAAGACCTCGAATGTATGTCGAGCAATTTTCTGGTCGCGAATGAGCCGTCGCGAACGATCGCGTTCTCGCAGTCGAGACAGGGACTACGTCGAAGTTGGTGGCGACCGCCGCCGCCGAGGAAATGAAAGGAGGAGTGAAGAGCGGCGGGACGACCGAGGAAGAGCAAGAGCAAAGGACTTCTCGCATCTGGTGCAGCCGACGGGTACAGGTGCCGATGCTGTGCGGACTTGGGGAGTGGCCGAGGTGGCTACCGACGCAGACGCTGTGCCTGTAGTCGTGCAAAAGCCCAACTTTGGGCTGAGTGGTGCCTTGGCGAAGGACTCTGCGACGGGGAACGTAAAGAACGGCATCGTGATGAAGTGGTGCGAGCCGCCGGAAGCCCGAGTGCCCACCGCGCGGTGGCGCATGTACGTGTTCAAGAAGGACGACAACGTCGCGACGCTTCATTTGCATCGGCAGAGTGCGTACCTGTTTGGCCGCGAGAAGAAGGTTGCCGACGTGTATCTCGAGCACGAGTCCATCTCGAAGCAGCATGCGGTGCTGCAATTCCGCGTGCGACACAAGGAGGTCCGGCGCGACGAACTGGATCAACCAGAGCTAGTCTCGGAAGTCTTGCCGTACATCATGGACCTCAAGAGCACCAACCACACGTTCCTGAACGGCAAGCAGATCGAGCATTCCCGGTACATCCAACTCAAAGCGAAGGACGTGGTCACGTTTGGCGAAAGCACACGCGAGTACGTGCTGGTCCTAGATGCAGCCAAGGCGGGGGTGTCCCAGTAGAGCTATTGGCAAAAACAGTGTCACAGCTAAGACTCCTTTAGTCCCGTTTTGTCCTGTATTACAGCCAGCAGCTAGCAATAGCAATCCTCTGTCGAGCTCCAGCTTGACTACATGTACTGTGCATACGCTTGTCCAATTTGAATTGGTTTTACATTCATATTACTACTACTACACTGTAGTATTATGTAGGTCACTATTGAGGCGCTAGAGTGGGAAGTGTACATGTTATAAGTTAACATGCGCTACGCTCGAATGTGGTCGAAGTAGTTGCTGCACTTAGATGAGCAATTGCTCGATTTGTTCACGCATGGCGCGGATTTGGGGGCCCAATTGCGACGCATCGTTGGACGTGATGGACGCAGAGATGACGGGGCGGGACACGCCGCACGCTCGGCCCAACGCGACTTTGGAAGGGACGAACACGTACGGGACGTTCTTGTCTTCGCACAACAACGGCAAGTGGAGCAAGATTTCAAGGGGTTCCGTGTCGGCGGCCATGATGATGAATTCCGAGATCCCGCGGTTGAGGGTCTTGGTGGCTTCGTTCGCACCCTTCTTGATCTGCTTGTAGTTGGTGGCTTGTTGCACCAGGTCCAAGATGCTCACAGTCAACTTGGCATCGGCCAACGGGTACGCTTTGGGGTTCACGGCAGAGTCAGACATAGTGATGGATAAGCTCACACGTAGATCACGGCTAAATGGAAAGTAGATTCGAGTCACATGCTGATGCCAGGACGACCACCCAATGAGTGTAAAGCTGCTGCTCCAATAACTGAAATGATATTTGATTGGCTAAAACTCAGCCAATCCACGAGATGCAAGCCAAGTCCTCCTAATCGCGCGTGATGATTGGTTAATAATCGAACAGTATGCTCACTGACACTGTTCAGTTGCCGGAATCGGCGGTTCCTTACGCAGGAAAGTAGTGGAATGCACGCAAGGTCCAACACGAGGAGTACATCACATCAATCGGACACGTGGTCAATGCGGCCATGCACTTCGCCATGGCTGGGAGGGAACGTTACAGTTACGTATAGGATGATTGAATCTTAATTGCTTGCCTACGACATGGAGGAAACATTTAGCGAATACAGTCAAAACGACGATGCATCCTGCAATGAAGGAGGCTTCATCCTTACGGAGGCATCAAGCGAGTTGTCCCCGTGGCTTGACTGGACAGGACACTCTTGGAGGTTGTCGTCTGTCATGTGGACGACGCTGTGGCCTGACTCGATGTTCGACTTCGTCTCATTGGTCGATTATCCGCTAAATGTCCGGATAAAAGTGTGTTTGCACTTGACTCAAATTCTGACCTTTCTAGTGTAAAATCGCCATCGTCGCATCGGGTCATTCGCGAACTTTCCTCGTCCCTCGACATGGTTACCACGGACGACATCTCCACGAAGCTCGAAGCCGCCTTCCAAGCCACATTCGTCCAAGTCGAAGACAACTCGGACGGATGCGGCAACAAGTTCAGCGTCATCGTCGTCAGCAATGCATTCGAAGGCCAGGGATTGCTGCAGCGTCAGCGAGCCGTGAACGAAGTGTTGAAGGACGAGATGGCAACGATTCACGCGCTACAAATGAAGACGTGGACGCCGGCGCAGTTCGAGCAGAAGAAGAGCCAGCCATCGGGGGAAAACTAGCCACGACGTCGTCCTCCTTGCTGATGTGTGGTTCATGTACCATTCGTTGCCTTCATTTGCGATGAAGATCCCATAGATATCCCCCGATTTCTCGCTCGCTCGCTGGCTCCTACGATTAATATATATATATGTACTACATGGACATGATCTAACTGTAGTTAAGCAGTCCACAACGTTGGCGGCTTGGACTTTCGTGAAATTCATTCAAATAAATGCATTTTGACATGTTACACAAAGAATAACTCGGATTCGACAATTATGGACCATGCGAACAACAGCGCGAGATCCGTTCCGCGGCCGTTAATGTCCACCTTCGTCCAAAGCAAGGTTAGCGATGTACATGACGTAGGAGCATCATGTAGCTCATCATCATGTTGGCGTGTCCATGTGTCATGATCTTCACAGGACAGCAAGGTCATGTCGGTGTTTCGATGGAAAGGCATGTTGGACGTTCTGGACAAGGAGTGGATGTGCGACTCCCTTGCAGACGACGGTAGGCTCCACTATTACCAACCCCCCAAGGACGGTACCATCCTTGATGTTCATTCCTGACTACCGGTAGACATTAGCGTGCCCGAGGAATTGGACGCCACACTCGACGACGACGCCAGCACGTTGCGTTTCGGTACACACATCAATCTCAATCTCTCCAGTATCTACACGACATGATTCTTTACATTTTATCCCCAGGCATGTTGCCCGTCAACGGAAGGGAACCTCCCGAGCGATGGAACGACTTGGGCTTGGACCTGTTTGGCCCGCCGCAAGTTCCTCCATGACGTTTGAACAAAGATCCCGTGAAAATGCAGTATCTCCTTAGCGTCTACCATTTTTCTTCTTGCCTCCCATCAAGAGCGAGTCCAACGCGTCCTCTTCTATGATGTCGTCCACTGCATGCACCACCGCCGTCACGTCGACTTGGCGCAACTTTTGCGCGATGACATCGAACGTCGGGCGGTGGGACGGGTCGGCACTCCAGCATTGCCGGATCAATTCCTACATTCATCTAGCAATCAATCGCCGCGTGCTGGTCACGGTGTATTATTACCTGGCACGCGGACGGACAGTCCAAAGTCGGAATCGGCGGGCGGTCGCCATGAAGCACCTTGCGTTGGATGTCGTCGATGGCGTATCCTCGAAATGGAACATCCCGCGCAAACATCTCCCAGAGAAGCACCCCAAACATGTACACGTCCACGGCCTTGGAGAACGGTTTCCCCGCGAGGAGCTCTGGCGGCATGTACGCTGGAGTCCCCGCGGTGCCTTCCTTCGTGCTGCAGCAGCATTGGAATGTCATGGGAGGAGCAAGTTGTGTCTGCGCTTACCACACGAGGCCAAAGTCGCACAACTTCACCGTTCCTGACGCATCCAGAAGTACATTTTGACTTTTGAGGTCTCTACAGGCAGCATGATGATGGCGGAGTAAGCCGACTGGAATGGGGGGAGGGGAGGGGGGGTCATTGGCATGTACCGATGGACAATGGCAGGAGACAGCGAATGCAAGTACTGCATGGCCGAAGCCACATTGGTCTACATGGAGGTCGTGAGGACATGGATGTAGCAGGTCGTAGAGAGACGATGAACGTTACCGCCATCTTGACCAAGGTGGGGATGCTGATGGGGTCGTTCGTGCCGTGCAGCTGATCGTACAGCGACATGCTGCACAGTTCCATGACAAAGCACAGGTTTGGCGCTTCCATGCACGCGCCGATGAACTCGACAACATGAGGATGGTCCAGTTTGCTATACATGAGGTTTCATAACGAGGTCGAAGTCGTCGTCGTCGGTGCGTAGACGATTACCTCATCACAAGAAGCTCGTCCATGAACTCTTGCTTCAGTGCGCTGTCAACGCGCGGGTCAAACTAGAAACCACGACGTCAGGGAGTACAGTCCTTCCGACTTGGCTGCGTGTTTTACCAGTGTCTTCAACGCCACGGGCTTGCCTCGGTACTTGCCGCGGTAGACGATGCCGACACCACCTCCGCCAATCTTGTCTCCCACGGAAAGGTCCTTGAACGGGATGCTCGTCCATCCTCCACCAACGCCATCTTTAGCGGTCATGATCTCCTCAAAGAGTCACTTTTTGTAACCGTCGACGAATGTAGCGATAACGATAGAATACTTTAACCAAGTTTAATATTAGGCTTCAACATGTGTCACCAAGAACTCAAGCTGGTCGTGATCGGCTTTCCCTATGACTTTTAATGTTGTTCTTTGTAAGGAATGAACCATGACATGATGCATGCCGTCGTGTTCATATTTTTCACACTTTTGTAACACTTCCATACAAATATCAAGTGTATTTGAAAGACAAAAATGTGCAAGGTATTCGTCGTGGCCGGCGCTGCAGTAATGTCCACGGGTGTACAGTATCTATTTCCAGCCGCGCATGTGCAGCAGCGATGGCAGCGGCACCACATCACCATCACGCAGCCGGCGAAGACGAACGTAGCCATGGCAGTTTCCTAAAGTGCATGCGACCGAAGGAGCGGTTTAGCTTGCCACGCACCAAGGCCCGCACAGGATCCATCTACCACACACCGACGGCGGCAGCATTCGGGTCGCCCCCGACCCCCAAGCGCCGGTTTTTCTCCAACGAACGAACTCGTGCGTCGTCGATTCATTATCAACATGGGCAACCTCCGACTACTTCGTGCGACTGCGTGGGTCTCAAGTCGTTGCGGTGTGAGTATGCGTCGTCGGAATGCGACAGTCCAACGTCGCCGTCCCGCGGCCGCGGGTCGTCGTTCTTGACCCATGGACCATCATCACACAACCGCGAAATCGAAATGACGTCGATGGTGTGCGCAAAGAAGAAGAAGTGGGAGGACAAGTTTACGTCCAAAGAATGGGAACTCGACTGGCTGCAAAAGTGGCGCAAGCGGACCCTCGAAGAAGCGACGATCTCGAGCTCACCGCCCGACGAGTCCCGGCCGTCGTTCACCGACCGCTTCTCGGACCCGCACTTCCAACAGCATGCCGGCTTCCGACGGCGGAGTCTCTCGGACGCGGGCCACATGGGGTTCATGGGGTTTTCCCTGGGGCAGTGGCAGGTCGACACGATGCTTCGGTCCGGCGTTCCCGTCGAGTACCGCGGTCAGGTGTGGTGGCTGTGCAGTGGCGCGGCGCAGAAGAGGTCCAGTGCGGCCATAGCGGACCAGTACGAGTCGCTTCTGTGGCGCGCCGACGAAGTGCGCGTGGACGTGACAACAGAGATCGAGAAGGACCTGTATCGCACATTTCCGCATGAGCCCGACACGCGGGACGAGCGCGAGTCGTCCATCTCGGAGCTGCGGCGCCTCCTGTCCATGTACAGCCTGCGGAACCCCAAGGTCGGGTACTGCCAGAGCATGAACTTTCTCGGCGCGATGCTGCTCGTGTACCTCGGAGAAGAGGAGGCATTCTGGGTGCTCGCGTGCATCGTCGAGGACCTCGTTCCCGGCTACCACACCAAGTCTATGGTCGGGTCCCGCGTCGACCAGTACGTGTTTGCGGCGCTGGTGGAGCAAAAGCTACCGCAAGTGGCGCACCACCTCCACACGCTGCATGTCCACCTGGCGCCGGTCACATTCAAGTGGTTTCTATGTCTATTTGTCAACACATTGCCGCTAGAGACGACGCTGCGGGTGTGGGATGTGTTCTTCTCGGAAGGCAGCAAGGTGATCCACCGCCTCGGCCTGACCCTGCTCAAGCTGCTCGCGCCAGACATCGTCGCCGCCGACGAAGCATTCGACGTGTACGAACTGCTCAAGTTCTCGCCGCGGACGCTGGCGAATCTGATGGCGCCGCACCGGAAGGCCCCGCAGTGGCGCAAACAAGACGACTGTTTCTGCGACACACTGCTCCGCCTCGCGTTCGACAAGGCGTTCCTGGGCCCGTTTCCGTACCGCGCCATCGTCGAGCTACGAACAGTGTACCAAGTATATGTTGAAGACGAAGTGGCTAGAGCTGAGGCGGACAAAGCCACCGACATGGCCGTCCCGATCCCCGTCGCGGCGGTGACGACGACGGCGGTCATGGTGACGAGGACAGCACGCAAGGCGGACGAGTACGACTTTGTGGATGATTTCAAAGCCGACGATTTGGACTACGAGTTCCTCATCACGTCTTCCAACGCGAGCAGCGGCAGCGGGTGCGCGGCCGACTCGTCGTGGCGGGGCACGGCCGGAGGCGGCGGGGTCGCCGTGCCTGCCGCCGACCAATCGCTGATTGAGAATTATTGGTAATAATACCGAAAAACACACCACGTCACATACAACCACGTCGCACCCCTACTCAAAACGCAGCATTGTCTGTACGACACATAGAACCAATGTACTTGGAAGTATGTGAGAGAGATGGGCTGGTCATGTTGTTTGATGGGGATGTGGGTAGTGAATAGTGTTGACTCGGGCGGCTAGTGTGTGTGAGAATGGTGTGGAGCTGGGACTGATACAACGGCGACATTGAGACTGCCGCTTCGTTGATGGCGGACGACGACGATGATGAAGTCAGGTGGTGGCGAAGGAACAACATGCTCAGTTGGTACACTTGTGTCGGCCGCGGACTGTAGTGGTCGGCGCCGTCGACGACGACTTTGGCGCACGGCCCGCCGTACGCGGCCGCGAGCTCGTGGGTGTGGGCAGGGCCGACGTACTTGTCGACGGATCCGCACACGAACAGCGCCGGAATCGACGGGATGGCGGCCGCGACGTCCACCGGCCGCAAGAATTCCAGGCGCACACCGGTGCGATTCTCGACAGATTTTTGAATGAAGTGCGCGGCCGCCTTGAGCACGAGCTTGGGCGCGCCAAAGCCTTCGTTTTTCACATTGAGTACGAGGTCGTCGATGCATTGGTCCATGGTGCTGTACGCTACATACTCGTGACAAACTTGCTAAGCAACGCAAGCAATGGACAGATATGTCGTACCGCCGTCGAAGACGAGGCCGGTGATGCGCTTGGCGTACGGCTCGACGTTCCACTTGCGGAAGATGTGGGGGATGGCGTCGATGGGGCTGCCCTTGATGGCGAGCTCCGCGGTTTGCTGGGACCGACTCGCGACGTTGAGGATCGCCGGGTAGCAGCCCATGCTGTGGGCAAAGAATGCGATGCTGGTCACGCTGTCGCACGCGTCGAGGTCGTCTAAAATGTACTTGAGATCGCTCGATTCGAGCCACCCCATCGTCACGTAGATGCCGTCGGACCGCCCCGACCCGGAAAAGTCGAACGCAAACACGGAAAACCCGAGGCGGAGGCCGATGTCGCGCACGCGGAGGGCGTCTTTGCGTGACCCGACGTTTGAATGCAGATAGATCAAGCACGGGGCCTGGGTGAGATAGGACGAACGATCAGAACATACGTGGAGCACACAAGCCGACGACGTACGGGTTTCACAGTCACGCGGTCGTCTTCTAGTAGGTTCCAATGGGTGCACGCAAGACCTAGCTGACGTTCGTTGAGAACGACACGGTCGGTGCGAGACACGTAGATCGGAGCTTGGGTGAGTGGATCCTCGAGCTCAAACGATGGCGGACCGAGGGCATCCAGGGTGTACTTAGCTCGCGTCGGCCGAATGATCAAGTCAATGACCAAGTCGTATCCGTCCGAGATCAAATCCTTCACGGAGATGTTGCCATTGCCGCCGTGCTTTTCGAACTCGGCCTCCATTTCGCCCTCTCCGAAGATCGAGATTTCCGACGACCCTGCCTGCCCCATCGTGGTCCGTGTGACAATTTGGAAAATGAACGCCCAATATGGGAGCAAAACCACGCGATCTGATTGGGCAACACAAATCTACCATCCAGGTTTGTGTTGCCGTCAACAACACCCAAAACGACTCCACAACAACCCGGCGACGCTTTTCAACGAGGAGTCGGAATGCAAACACAACTATATGGAGCCTCTACATACCTTGGATCTCATCAATAGCCGTATATGATGGCTGACATTGCACCCGAACCTGTGCAATAACTGATATCGCTACTTGCAAGCATTACCGTGCGTGATACTGTTAGTCAATCAGCTTTGATCTCGATGTATACACTACGGTATCTCTTCATTGGTCAGCATGTAAAGATGTAAAAGTTTCAACATGCACTTCAAGTTGGGGACAAACTATATTTGTCACGTGGGATTTACCTAATCGATAACTCCTATCGCGACGGTTCGACAGGTGAAAATGCCAGATGCCAAGCCGAGCCCAGGCAAGTTCAAGCGCTTCAACCGCGTGGGCATCCTGCCAGATATTGCCGTGTACGCTCCAGATCCAAAGGACAAGTCGAGGTCCGTGGCCGAAGTGCACCAAGAATTCCTCTTCAACCAACGCCAAGAAATTGAAGACATCTGCACGGGGTTGCAGGTCCGGCTGGAACATGTCAAGAAAGCGCTGCCTGTACCCAAACATGTCGAGGTAACGATACTTCCGCATGTCATCCGCGCGCTACGTGTAGCTTTCACATGCGACTCTACCATGTTCGTAGGACCCTGATGACGCGTCCGACGTGAACGTGCCCAGTCCGCTGGAGAAGCGTATTGAAATCGAAATTGCAGCCGAGCAAGACGAAGTCGACACACCGTTGACGCCGCTGGACCACATGGCGATTGCGCTGGAGGTTTGTCAGGACGCATTTCCGGGCATTGGCAAGGCGCTGCACGACGAGGCCGGCGCCCAACTGAATGTCGAGTACACGCAAGTGCTGCTGGAGATGATCGAGACCATCGAAAGCTGTGTCCACGACAAGGTGGTGCGGGATCGGGTGGTCCGCCAGACACAGCTCGAAGTTCGGAGCCCCGAGAAGACTCCCGTGAAGCCCAACCTCGGCATATCGCCCACCGCCCAATTCAAACACTTCCGACAGCAACTGGATCAGCTCAAGTCGCCAAACCGCAAGGCCCCTCGCCAAGACAAACCACCTGCGTTTGAACTCGAGTCGCTCCTGCATAAGGGTAACGTCGGAGGTTCTGCCCAATTGCCCAAAGTGCACAAAGACAATACGTTTCGCCAAGTGCTCAAGTGCCGCCGGTTCCCCCCCACCAAGGTTCTCCTTTCAATCGATTGCAATGGGCAACATGTATACTATTCAAGTGTACCCGCCTCGCCTTGGTTTATTGTCACCGCATAGTCTGTCGTCACCATGTAGCAAACGATTATCATCACCACCACATAATGTCGTCACCGTGTGTTGTCATGTGCTAGGTACCGAAAGAAGAAGCGATTGAAAAAACGTACTCGTACTGCCCGATCGAATCGCGGTTCGACATGCAGTCGGTGCACATTGCCGTGGACGAAGCCAAGCCAGTGGCGGACACGTGGGTGGTGGTCGAGTTTCCCAAGGTAGGGGTACTTGCTCTGGTCGTTCTAGAGCCACTACATACCTTAAGTATACCAACGATAGGTGCGGCCATCGTTGACGTCCGACCAAATGGCGTACTTGAGCCGATGGCAAGCGGCGCGGTACCGCAAACTCGTGGGGATGCAAAACACACACGACAGTGACGCGGTACTGCACTTGTACTTGGAGTACACGGACACCGTCATGTACGAGATGTGCCGGCTCCTGTTTGACAAGTGCCCGACGTCGGCCAATCTGCTGTACGGGCTGTGGCACTTCTTCTTCACAGTCGTGGCGTTTATCAATAAAACGATCGAAGAAGAGCTCACGGTGCTGCAGCAAACCGTCCACTGCCTCAAGGTAGCCTGCACAAGACCAAAAACGTGCCTGACGATCTTGACGTTTGCTTTGGACTCTTGTGCTGTGGTCGTGCCACGTCATAAAATTATAAGCATTAGGTTGAAGTGGAGCAATACCAGTTGAAAATATCCAAACAAGTCGAGGTGGGCAACGCCATGCGCGTCAAACTCGCCCAAAAGCACAAAGTGATCTCGTTAGAGCGCGAGAAATGCATCCGCCAACGCAACCAGCTCAACCGATACCTGGCCGCGGTAATATATATATACCAAATAACTACTATCAAATACTAGTAACTCTTGGTTTTCACTCTGTGAACGACATATGTACGGCAAATATTTGCAGCCGCAGCATCGACGAGCTACCGACGACGTGCCGATAGCTTTGTTTACAGACGTGGTTATGTAGGACCAAACGCTCGTTCGCCTTGCCATGACGTTTGTGCAGTCGATTCACGATTCCTTTCCGGACAAGTCCACCGCCACCACGTCATTCCTGTCGTCGTCTTCGGTTCCGTCTCGCCATTTCACCACCACGGAAGCGCTCGACGAGATGACGCGCGCCGTGGGGTTGAAGTTTGTCACGTCGTCGACGTCCCCGCCCGAGTCGTCGCGGGTCCACAGACGCCCCCCACGCCTCTCCACCGTCCGCCACAACCTCATCACCGAGGATGGCTCGGTACTCATCACCTTCTTTCGTTCGTCTATAAAATTGACTTTTGTGTTTAGCGCGTGCTCACCCACTTCGACGTCGACTCGATGGCGCCAGAACTAGACGCGGCGCAGAAACGGCTCGCGCAACTCGTGACCTTGAGCAGCCCCGACTGCACCCTCGGGTGGGACGCCCAGGCGGTATGGCAGCATGCGTTCTTTATCCCCCCTCCCGACGACGTCCTCGAAATGGAGTACCGCGTCCGGCATATGATTCTCCGCGTCGAGCGCGCCATCGCCGCCCGCGGTTCGACCCGTCGACGGACCAACAAAGCCATCCAAGTGGACATGGACAACATGGACAACACTCCCACGGCCCCTCTTGATCCGTCCGATGGAACAGCCACAAGTCCGGCGCTTCGGCCGACTCTGCGGAGCGTACAACTCGCGGCAGACTTCTGTCGGCCTCCCCCTGGTACGAACGACGTCGCTCCTGCTACCATTATAATGTCCAGCGCAAACAAGATCTTGTTATATTAACTTTGATCCAGCAAAGTTCTTGAACGAATGACTAGGGCCCAAACTCACGCTCAAGCGCAAGGGGGAGCTCATGAAGGTCGTGCCGCCGTCGTTCCAGCGCTTTATCCTTCGCATCAGCACTAGTTATAACCCGCACGACTACACGGTCGGGGCGGTGTCGCGAGTGATGACGTTTGTCGCGAATACGCTGCTGGGGCAATTGGCTAGCGGCGTGGACATCCACAGCGACATCCCCAAGGCCCCCATGCCGCGGGACATGGCCGAGATGGAGTCTCCCATGGAAGCCGTCTACCGAGTGTATGTGATGCGGTTCCGCGTGCCGCTGTTTGCCAACGAGCGACTGATGGACCTCGTCACAAGCTTGAGCCACTTGGACACCCAAAGCGACAAAATCCACCTGTGGTGTCGGCTGCTCCATCTCACAGGCGTCGACCCGCTGCCCCCCGCGGCGTTCTGGTTTGTCCTCCATGTGCTGCATGTACTGGCCAAGTGCTCGCATGACGGGTACTACGTGTGCGAAAGCAGCGACGACGTCGAGTACATTGGTCAGCAGCCGGCGTGGGATGCCCTCGGCATTGTGTTTGCCTCGTTCCCGACCGAGGTGCGACGAGTCGTAGTAGTACTAGCCAGGCTGTTACTAGTCGCAGCAAGTCTATCGTCGTTTGAGCTAGCACTACCTATTGGACTAGAGTGGATGGGGGACGTGATGTGTGTTAAGCTAGGTAGGAGTCGTCGTTGTAGGTAGATGTGAGTACGTAGTACCGTTTGTTTGTGTTTGTCAAGAGGGGATGTATACTAGTATTATTGTCTTCTTGTGACGATGTTATGTGACGATGTTGTATGAGGGGTAGGTGTTTCAGCGGTGCAAGACCAAATTGATTGGTCTGTCGCAGATCTACGGGGCCATGTGGATCCCCATCTACTCGATCGTGAGCATGTGTGTGGACGAGTGGGAGGCGCGGTACTTCGCCGTGCGCCTCGAAATCGACACGCGGTTCGCCAACGCCCTCAAAGTCGACACGTTTGCGTCGTTTCACCACGTCGTCACGTCGTTCGTGCCGCGCGTGCACGCGTACGCGACCGCCGCCGCCTTCACCGCCGCCACCCACGTACGTCCTGCGTTTCTCCTTCTTTCTGTCCATCCATCGGTCTCATACACATGTAGATGTCCCGGTCCACCCGCCCGACACCGTCGGATTGCACAGCTGCGTGCGTCCAAGCGGGGCTGGTGCCGCCCGATGCGGCGCCGCAGTTCGACAAGACCGCGCTGCTCTTTGGAACCCCCAGCGACGCCATGATGGCCAAGACCACGGAGCTGTCCATGTCGTTCCTCTCAGTCGTGTGGTCCACGTCGAAAGACGTAGTTGTGCGAGCCATCGAAGAAGGCGGCGCCGACACCACCGCCGGCCTCCGCCTCGTCTCTCCTCTGGACCACGCCCTCCACGAAGACCCACCCAACGCCGCCATGTGCTGGAACTTACTCGAACAACTCATCACCGTGGCCTACGCAGGCTGACCACCCACAGGGGTCACAAGCTACGGAGAACTAACACGACTATAAAAATTATAAGGTTGGAATTTGAACGGTGTTGGGTGCCGTTTGTGTGCTGTTAAGCGTCGAACAGATGTGCCTCCATCGCCACCGCAATGCACGCGCTACCAAAAAATATATATTTGGTTATTACATTTTGTACACTCACATGTCAATTCCATCAACCGTATTCTATTGGGTTATTACCTGGTAAACATCGAGAATGGCCGCATGTACGAGATAATGTGCTTGCCATACGTGGCATCCTACGACGACGACCGTCACATGATGTTCCAGACCCCGATGGTCGTGTACCCCCTCGCGGTCGATTTGAAGCAGCGACACGTTGGCCGTCGTGCCCCGGACGTCCGCCACCGGATTGATGAACTTCTAATACCCACAAAGGGGTGAACATATGCCATAAACCTATAGACTACGACATGTATATATATATATATATATATATACCTGAAGCAAGCACGAGACGGTCGCAACATCGCTAGTGGCGGCAGCAGACGGGGTCGGCGGCTTCATCTTTTGAAACAAGTTGACCAGTTGATTCTACCAAGATGGAGATATCACAAATCGATCCCATCCAGACGGGGGTCCTACTTTGACGTCAAAGTGCACGACAAGTTCGAGTTTGCGGTTGTCCTGTTCGATCGTAAACACTGTCCGCTGCTTGCGTTTAGGACACACGATCTACGATCGTTCCCAGGGTAAAGCGAATACACGAGGCAACGATCGAATGGATGGCCAGGAGACGTCGACGCTTGTACCTTGAACTTGTGGCCCCGGGGGGTTTTGTACATGGACAGCTTGCCCACGTACGAGGGGTTGCTCCACTTGGAGATGTTGGTTTCGCTCAAACTAATCGAGTTTCATTGCACGAGTGAATGCTAGTTACTGGTATGATTAATAGTTACCTGAATCGGATCTTGTTCTTGTTCAAGCGTTTGCGGCCCACGAGGCAAAAGTCCACCTGCGAGTCGACGATCTGGGGCAAGTAAATCTTAAAGTACTTGGACCCGTACAGTTTGGCCATGGTCTACCAAGGAGCATGACGGCGGAACTACGAGGAAACAGACGGGAAGGGTACGGACCGCGTCCGACGTGCACAGCTCCATGATGAGCACGCTGGAAACCAGCGGCCGGAGGTGCATGAACCCAGTCTTGGTCTTGACGAGCGCCGCTTCGTCCTCCTACGCTTTTTATTCGTCCTTTGTCATGAATACATGCAGGAAGGAAGGACATTGATCGATGGACGTGCCTCGGTTTCCGAGAACGAGCTTTTCCTCCGAGACGGGGATGATGCTGAAGCTTTCTTGACATGCGCGGGTTCTTGATGAACGGGATCGGCATGGGTGGTGTGGTTGTTGTTGTCTTGCACGGGTGTGGTAGCTCGAACGTCGTTGACAAACCAATCTTGCGACGCTTGGGCGTCGTCGTCGTTGTCCGAGTCGGGGTCTTGGAACTGCGCCTTCAACCTACGTCCACGCGGAGGTTCATTTGCAAGCTCCTATCGTCGAGCAAGAGTGCATTTGCCTGTTGGACAGAGCGCGATGCGCAGGAGACGACGACGGCGACGACGTCGTCGATGCGGCCATTTTCGTGATTTGGAACGCCTCTTGCCCAAAGATCACGTCGTCCGATTCCGGATATACATATCCGGATTTGTCGCGCCAAAATTAGAGTTGTTGCAGTCGCATCGTGATATATATGGCCGAGAACACGTACGACGCGCTGCGGGACGCGATATGGAACGACGACCTCGAGCAGCTGCGTTACCACATGCGCACTGGTCGCATCGACGTCAACCACACCGACTCGGTCCGTTGCCATTCGCATTGTGTCTATGACAGGCCCCGTGCATGTACTGTAGGCAGGGCAGACGCTGCTCCATCTGGCAGCATTCTGGGGCCGCACAGACATCGTCCGAGTGCTCATCTCTCTAGGTGTGTTTGAATACCAATTTCAATTGTCATGATGATAGTGTGTCGTGATAGGAGGAAACATGAAGACGAAGAATGCGGTACGACACTTCAATCAATCGTGGATCGTTTGATTGATTATTTCCATGTCCGACAGACGGGATGCACAGCACTGGACTTGGCCATCCATTGGGGACATTCAGCCACGGCAGAGATCATTCGCTTGCGAGGTACTACCGTTCTCGTCCTATCTGCATTCCTGATGGATGGTCAAATGTAGGAGGCACGAGTGTTTGGGAGGAAAAGATGGGGTTGTTGCAGATGCAGGTGGAGGACCTCACGACGACCGTCGTAGACGTCGAGCGGCAGAACCGTGACCACGAGGCGATGGTGGCGACCCTGCGTGCGGACCTTGTGACACTTCATGCGACGTGGGCCGAGGCCGTGGATCAAGGCAAGGCGCATGCGGCGGAGCGGGACACCTTCGCGGCCGCCGCCGCCGATTTGGAGGCCGCCGTCGATCGGTTACACCAAGACGTGGCAACGCTGAAGCAGGACTTGTACGAAAGCCAGATGGACGGGTTCCGTCTGGACCGAGCCCGGGAACAAGCCGAGAACGAGCGCGACGCGGCCGTGCAACAGCGCCGCGACGCCATCGACCGGCAAAATGCAGCGCTGGAAGGTCAAGCGCAGCGGACAAGGGACTGGCAGGCGGCCGAGAGGGCGGCCGTGATCATGGAAACCCAACGCAACATGGCCTTCCACGAGCGAGATCATGTATGTACACGGAGAACACGCCATTGCCAATTGGTCTGACGAGGAAAATGGCGGCAGATCCAACGGCGCGCGACGGTGGCCGCCGTAGAGCTGGAGCTGCAGGCAGAACGACTCGCGTATGCCCAGGCAGAGCACCGTCGGATCGAGGAAGAAGCGGCCGAGTTCTTACATGCAAAACGCCAGCAAGACCTTCGGCTAAAGCGTGCGGCGCGGGCACTCGAAGAGTTTTCGGCCGAGAAGAAGGCCGCGGCCATGGAAGCGGCTAAAACGTATGGCCAGCAGCAAACAACCAACCGTCGACGCCAGCTGGCGGTATGGACACGACAGAGTCCACGGGTGGGGGGATACAAGTAACTTTGGGTGCTGGCATTAGGCGTCGCCATCCCGAGAAGACCGCCATCGACAACGTGCACAGACCGCCGCCGCGCTGGAAAGCCAGCAACAGCAGCACGACCTGGCGTCATTTGAAGCTGAGTTTGTGCACACGATCAAAACGTTTACGGAAGCGCGGGACGCAAAGTGGGCCAAGGTCAAGGCACTGGACCAGCAGAGCCGGTTCGACGCAGATCGGGCGGCACGCCGTCCGCTGGTTCACCTGAAAGACTCGTCGTCTGCTCATTCACGTACGACGGCTTCATGTACTGTACATGAATATGGTGCAATTGTACAGTATGCCCCCAAGGACTACACATCAAAGCACCTACCTACTTCTTCATGCGTTGTACTTGGATGTATGTAGCCACGACTGTCACGTGTGAAGTATACGGCCAGCCAAACACCAAGCAACGACTTGGTCTATCCCAAAGGCGGCCGCAGACAGACCACCAACCCAGGAGGAAACCACCGTCGTTATCTCCAGTCCCAACCAAAACACGTTAAATATAAGGTCTGTGTACTGTCGCCGTGGGTAATATGGGCAAGGGTTTGTCTGAAACGGGTCGACGATGAGGGGAGGACGGAGGGCGGCGGGTGGGACTCGTGGTTGAGATGTACTGCACACCTGACGGGGTCGACACCAAGTCGGGGGTCGGGGGGCTCGTGTGAAGAAGCACGCGGCCTGAGTGCGGGTCGTACCTCTGTACCCCCCCTCTTGTCGGCGACCCAGGACCTCCCATGGCTGAGGGCTTGGTGGGGGACGGCGCCCTGTGGACCGCCGTGGCCACGGCCATGAACTGCGCTTCGTTCATGCGAATGATGTCGCACAATTGAGTCGTCTCCCGGGCGTACATGCCCTGGGTCATGTCCCACTTGGCTTGGCGGAGCACCGCGTCTGACTCCAAGTGTCCGATGCGCCGCTTCTATGCCCTCAAACCAAACATCAGATTGTTCAATATCATATTATTACGTGTGAAATATGTCTTGGTAGTAGTGTAACTGACTTACAGCTGTGGCGTTGTCGTTTTGGACCTGAGCCACACGAGCGGCGGACGCTTCCACCGCCGCTTCGAGCTCGACCACCCGCGTCCGGAGCTGGTTGCACAGCTCCACGTCCCCCCGATCTGGCGCCCCTTCAAGCGCCTTTAACCTCGTTTCTAAATAGATGATTTGCATTCGCTGGTGGTCATGTTCCTATACATCAAGAGTGCGTGAGCAACCATCACTTTGACCTTGTAAACGTCACATGGCAAACTCAACACTACAACAGCGTCCCCCATACATAGATACAGACGACAACGTCATGTATATAACTCGGCTACACGTTTCTCCCGGGTCATTCAGATTTTCGTACTTTGTGCATGTCGGCAATGATGTGCTCCAACTCGAGCTTCGTGGCGGCATACCTAAGCTCCAAGTCGTCGACAAGGGACGCATGGGAGGCGGCAGCCTGCGCGGTCAGTTCCTACACCGTCCACGATCCATATCGTGAGCATGCTTGTCCATCAGTTGAATCCCCCGCAAAGCAAGAAACAAGGTACTTGGGTATGCCCCCCACCTTTTCGAACGCGTCGAGGCGGTGTGTCATCTCGGCCACGGTCCGGTCGTATGTTTCATCGAGCAGCGTGCGCATTTGGACGATCGCTTCGTCGTACACGGCGTGGATCTTGGCCTGCACTTCGGGCGTCACGTGCACGGACTTGAGCACGGTGCCGAGCGACGCCGTTTTCCAACTGGTCATTTTGTCTTCGTTGATCTGGAACGCGTAGCTGACGCGGCACGCCACGCGGAGGTCGCGCACGGCCGCCTGTAGTTTCTGGGCCAGGGAGCTCGCGTCCACTACATGCGAATAGGAAAAAGCACATCGTTGGTCATGACGCCAATAACGAACGAATGAAGGATCAACAGCATGCCTTCAGGAACTAAGCCGCGGGACACCATATTCGCCGTCATAGCCGAGAGAATGCTACCACCGCCCCCGCCGCCTTCCATAACGCCTCGTCCAACTGTGGCGGTTTCACGTACAAAAAAAGTAACTGGGGACCTAGTGTGGATTCGATACGAAACCACGGAGCCAGCGATAAATTAAAGATATTTATTCTTGCTTTTTCTTCTCTTTTTTTAAATATATAATATTTGATCTCCTGGTTTATCTTTTCATAAATTACCTATATTTGTTTGGCCAAACATGACACACTACCAACATGATCGTTGATATCGGCACAATTTTCTATTAAAGATTTTTAGTTTTAACGGACTCGTCGTGGCCCATTCGTTGCCGATGTCTGCAATGACTACTGCGCAGGACACATCTCAACGAAGCACAAGCCACCATTTAAGGTGTCCGCCAACGCTATCCCCCTGAAGAACCACTGAGTTGTCAAAGCTCCAGCACCAGCTCCAGTGGAACCCCCAGATAGCCACGGGAATGTCCAACAGAGGAGAAACGGATCGTTCAATTTCCCAAATTGAACCTACTTTGACCCGAGAAACCCCAATAAGCAAACTGTATCCAGTATAAAAATGTTACACTACATTATTAATACCACATATGTACCCATCCTCGTTGGTGTAAATCTCAGCACGAACGTCGTCACATTTCGTGGTCACTCGTGGCGGCTGCCGCCCACAGAGGTGCGCGTCTTGCGCTGCCACGACATTTGGGAGAACTGCGGGCTCTGGGGCACGGTCACGGGGCGCTTAGTTTTGTCGTCTTTGTCTTTCGGGTTGGTTTTCTGCACCATGGACGCCGACACGCTGGACGGCAGCCTCGCAAACGACTTCTTGGTGAGCAAGTTGACGTAGTAGAGGCGGCCGGTCTTGGCATCCGTGCGACGGGCCCAGTTCTTAGGCAGGACGTCCGGCATGGACGACGATGCGACCACCGCCGCGATCGGCGCGGGGGGCAGCACCTTCTTCAGCAGGCCGGAGAGACCCGCCAGTCCGGACGACACCAAGCTCGTGGTGGTCGTGCTGGCAAGGGCGATCGCACTCACCGGTTTCTTGTCCAACGTGGTGGCGGACGGAGTGGTGGGTCGACTTCCGGTTACCGGGCGTTCCCACGTCGACGTTTTCGTTGCATGGTCCACGTAGTATGCGCGATTGTACTTTTTATTGAAACGTTCCTCCCATCCAGGGGGAAGCGGCGCCACCGCCGCCGCCGCGATGACGGCGGACGGGTGGCTGCCTCGTCGGTCGTTGTCCGCGTCTTCTTCTTGTTCGTCATCGTCATGGCATTGATCTTGGTTCGATGGTGGCCGAGCAATGTGGACGCGGGAGTCGCCAGTGGCGAGGGCATCCTGATTGTGTTTCTGGATGGCTTCCAGAAGCTCGTCGCCGTCGTCGTCGTCCCAGTCAGACGATCCCGGCTGGGTGCTGTCTAAACTCGCCTTCTTGGACTCGCCCTCGACGTAAATGTGATCGTCGTCATCATCGTCCGAGTCCAATTCCGTGGGTTCGCCATGCCCGGCGGCTTTGCGGTTGTCAGCTGCTCGCCCCTTGCCGTCCGTCGCCCACGACTGCTGCTGCTTCTGCTGGTGCGCCGATTGGTCCGCCCACGACTGCTGCTGCTGCTGCTTTTCGTCGCTGCCTTGTCCATTTTCGTCCCCAAGGCGGCGGCGGTCGGCTTTGTCGTGAGGTGAGTCCACGGCGTTGGTTTCCGGAAATCTCTCGACGCTCTTGGGGGCGCTAGACAGGTCACCGCTATCGACATCCCGGTTGTTCACTTTGGCACGTGTGGCTTGGTTCGTGCTCAAGCTGTCGTGGTTGGTGTTCACGGTGGGCTTGGCGACGCTGACAGGTTGAACATCATTATCTTCCTCGTCGTCGTTGGCTCCTTCAACGGTCGTGTCCCCTCCACTCTTGATGGCTGTTGGCTTGGCCGCGGTACTAGATAAAGCACCACATTTCACCTCGGCTGCGTCCTTGTCGCTGCTACCCCGGGCAAACAACCGCACTTCGTCCTGAATTAGCTCGCGCAACGTATGTAGGCTCATGTCGTTTTGATCAAACTCAAAGTCGAACGATGCCGACACATGGAACGCCACGGGTTCGCCCAACTGCGCCCGCACGGCCTTGAAGTACGGATGCTGTAGCGCCTGGTCCGCTGTGATCCGGCGCGTGGGGTTGATGCACAGCAGCCGGCGGAGCAAACTCACGGCCTCGGGGGACGCCTTTCGGAACGCTTTGGTCAGCGCTTGCGGCGAACAGCGGGGCAGCGACTCCAAAAACTTGAGCGCGTCACCCTCCACCGTGTAGCCACTACACCAAACGAATTACCAATTGAGTCGAATGATTCAAAGTCCATCTTAAAACCCCCCGCGTACCGCTTCTCTTTGGGTGGTACCGGGAGCACAGAAAACACCCGCGTGAGTTGGTCGATAAAGTCGGTTCCTGGGAACAGCGGTTTGCGGTTGAGCAGTTCAGCAAAGATGCACCCAATGGACCACATGTCGACGGCTACCAGCCACGTGTTGTTAGACCAGTACCCAACCAGCCCTTCTAAAACAAGTAGAAAGCGTACCGTCTGCGTAGGTGCCGTTAGGGGCCAGCATGATCTCCGGTGGGCGGTACCACCGCGTGACGACGTACTCGGTCATGAGCTGCGGTGCCGACTTGTCCGACAACGACGACGGTGGGTGTGCAGACGTGCGGCCTTCGGGGACGTACCGGGATAGCCCAAAGTCTGTAATCTATTCGCAATTGACAAAAAATAAATATATATCAGGCCATAACTGCGCAAATATGAAAAATACAACAACGAACCTTGACGTCGCAGTTTTTGCTAATGAGGATGTTGCCGGGCTTCAGGTCGCGGTGCAGGACGCCGTTTTCATGGAGTGCTTTAGCACCACATAGCAACTGGTACATGATAGCGCTACAAACATTGGGCATATCATTCCAGCATGAGAACCCCAAAAACAACGAAACGAAGCGTACGCAACGTGGTTTTCCTCGAGCTTTGTCTTGGACTGAATCAGCCGGTGCAGGTCCGTGTCCACAAGACCCATCATGATGTACAGCTCGTCCTTGTCAATGCATGTGCTCAAGTTTTGCAGCGACGCAATCTACAGGCACATGTTAACGAACACAACCAAATCACAATCCGACGACGTAGATTGATGCTGTCGTACGTTCGGATGGTGTTCAAAGTATCGCATGAGCCGAATCTCCCGCAGTGTGTGCTTGGCATCCCACTCGTCGCCCGCCATGGGTGTGATCTTCTTGATGGCCACGGTCTGGTTTGTCGTCGCGTCGGTGGCCGAGCTACGAACGAACGAACGATACATGACCATCTTGACGAAAAACAAATTTGACGCTTCGTACCATACGATTCCGTACGAGCCTTCACCAAGCACGTGGATGGCACGGTAATGGGACGGAACGTTGAACTCGCATCCTTTAAGGGTAAAGCCGAGTCCGGCGGCGTAATTCCCGTCCGCAGCAGTGGCCGACGTCCGTCTCGATGCTGTTGCAAGGGGGACGTGGGATCCTTTGGTGGTCACGGCCGTCGTGGGGGTGTCTTGGGCCAGGGGGCCGTTTCGTGCAGTCGCGACGTCGGCCACGCCGCCATTCTCGTCGTCCTCTGGCTGGGTACCCGACTCGATCGTTTGCGTCTTGACCTGGAACGCCGCGACTTCGTCCTTGATGTACTGCCGCAACACGTCCAACGGCAGCGATTGGTCCTCAAAGGCAAACTCGAGCGAGTGGGCGAGCTGGAGCGGTGGGATCACGCCCCATTCGATGTCGACGCCCTTGAAAAACGGATGGGCGAGGGCTTCGTCGACCCCGATGCGCTCCTTGGGGTTGAAGCACAGCAGCCGCTCCAACAGGTCCTTCGTGTCGGGCGACACGTCCTTGCCTTTGCACAGATTGTCCAGGGCATTGGGCGGCGTCGCGGGCAGCGACGACAAGAACTTGAGCGCGTCCTTCTCGATGATGTAGCCCCGCTGGGCCTTCGGTGGAATCTGAATCACTTTGAACACCCGCGTGAGCTGGTCCATAAAGTCCGACCCGGGAAACAGCGGCTTGCGCGTGACGAGCTCCCCCAAGATGCACCCCACGGACCACATGTCCACCGCTGCAACACCCATGAGATTGAACTGACGTTATCACCATGATTGTAGGATTTTGATGTGACGTTATCGTACCGCCATCGTACACGCCATTGGGGGCTAGCATGAGCTCCGGGGGACGATACCACCGTGTGACCACATCTTCAAAGAGAGTTAAGGTATAACAGCACTGGAGTTATATGGCACTAGCACTTAGTACAACAAGAAAGGACCGTGGGGAGTTCGTACATTCAGTCATGGGGGACGACACACTGGCGGAATCGTCGTTGGCGTCTCGGTTCTGTAAATCCTTGGGCACCATTCGCGCCAAGCCAAAGTCCGTGATCTACACAAACAAATACCACCAGGATTAGTCAGTAAATTGGATATTCAACTAGTGCCACTGAACCAGCGATGGACAAATATACGAGAGAGGAGGTTTTCATGTAGATGTCGATGTATCGTACCTTGAGCTCGCAATCTTTGTTGACGAGAAGGTTGCCAGGTTTGAGGTCTCGGTGGAGCACGCCGTTGTCATGCATGGTCTTGACGCCACACAGCAACTGGTACATGATCACTCTACCACAACGATCAATTGCGATACGTCACAAGAAGATAGTATATGTATTGTATACCGAATATGGCCTTCGTGCAATGGGCACGAGCTCTGGATGAGTCGGTGGAGGTCGGTGTCTGCCAGTTCCATCATCATGTACAGCTCGTCTTTTTCGACGCACATGGTCAAGTCCTTGAGCGAAATGATCTGCAAACGTGAAGACGGTAGTCGTGAGGTCAAAGTCGAGATATATATAGCAGCAGCGTGGCCATGAGTCGTACATTGTCATGCTCGCCCAGACATCGCATCAGACGAATCTCGCGAAGCGTGTGGGTCGCGTCCCATTCGTCTCCGGCCATGGGTGTGATTTTCTTGATCGCAACCTTCTCCTTGGTTACCGTGTTTAGGACAGAACACACGACTCCGTACGAGCCTTGGCCGATCGCGTCCAGCGGCTCGTACTTGGGGTCCACGTGGAACGTGCATCCGTTGATGGTGAAGCCGCCGTCCGCATGCTTGATGGGCGTTGCGTGCTTTGGCATGGCAGGCCACACCTCCGAAAGCAAATGCCACTAAGCCCCACCCACGCAGGATGAAATGCCAACCTGCGCCCTGAAACGGGAAACTCATTCCTTTTTTGGACATCCACGCATTTCATTGGTTGAAGTTTGAAATCCAATCGGTGATTGGTCCGTTCCTATTGTAGTCGTTTTGTAACCGCCGTTCACCTAAATTTACCCGCCCTTCGTGGGAACAACGTTCGCAGAACGCTATTTATAGCTATTAGGTGAGAAGCAAAAGTATCAGTGATGACGTGGCACTCAGACCATATGTGTTCAATGGGCGATAGGTCAGTTGCATGCTATACAACAAATCCACGAACGTGACCGTAAGGTGCACAAGTAGGTAGATAATGCATGTGTTAGTGCAATTAGAACGGAGACTTCCACCATGCGATGAATTCTTCCCAGTCAATCGTGCCGCTATGTGTATGATGAATGAGCTCCATGTGTACTGTTGACACTGGAAGTTCACAAGTTTCACATGGGCGGATATACATTTGTACCTGCCGTCAGCGTCGAACTCCTTGACGAGGTAGTCTAGCTCCTCCTTGGACAACGGTTCTCCCAAATCATCTGCAATCTTCCCCAGCTCTTCAACGTCGATGTCACCACTGCCATCCTAGCATGCCCCACAAAACATGTCATGTCGCCCGCCTCGAAAAGTTTCATACAGTGTGTACCTCGTCGTAATCGTCGAAGATCTTCTTCAACTCCTACGACGCATTAGACATTACGTGAGGGGGCTCTTCACGCGGGTATATCGATCACACCTGTTCATGCTCCAACGACAGTTCCTACAGCATCGTACACGTTGTTATGCCTTGCCATGGAGTCTGTCTCGTCATTACGTACCATCCCGCGACTCTTGGTACAAAATTGGATCCTCGGTGGAAGTATCGTTCGACCTGCATTCTACTTTGAACCAACATTCCATACTCCATAAGGTGATATTGTACTCCACTTGAAGGTCTGTGATTGGTCAGTTTCTGTAGTCGGACGTTCATGGCATGACATCCCATATATAATTACCAAGTTGTTCCATAAAAAAACCTAAATAAAGTATGATCTAAGCATGTGGCTTGTCACCCCCTAAAGTCGAAGGACTGTGGCGGGCTGGCAACATCTGATTGGTGGGGTTCCCTTCAAGATACCGTAACGGTTGGGCATCGCTCCTCCTTGTGGAGGGGAGTTCTTCCACATCCGCCATGAAGATGCACATAGGTGCCGTTATCCTTCTGGTCGCGGCCGCCACTCACACCGCCACCGCACGAACATGCGGCGACAAGAGCCCTTTGGACGAGAAATGTGCTGACCTGTTCCCTACTTGCCCGGATCAGCACTCCCCTGCCATCTTCAACGGATGCTACCATTGTGCCCACGACGTCACGTGCGAGATCAAAGCGTTCGCCGTGGTGAATGTCAAGGACATGGTAGCTGCCAACGAAGACGTGGATCGAGATGTTAAGGAATCACTCCTCGACGCACGTGAGAACACCCGTGTCAGGTCTCATGCGTCTTCGTCGAGCGACCTGCATGCAGTGGCCTCGGTGACCTCCAGCGACGAGGAAAACACCAGCAACGACGGATGGGCTGTACCGGGCGTATTGGGACTCCTTGGCGTCGGTGTGGCTGTCGGCGGAGTCTATCGGCACAAGCGAAGTCGGGGGCAGTACCATTCGATTCTGTCGCAGCAACAACAACAGTACGACGCTGACGATGCCGCGCTGGACGACCTCAACCCCTTCTGCCACGGAAGCCTCAGCGAAGAAACCCCATCTCTGCTGAAACCTTCGCCCAAAGCATCGGCGACGTCATCGTCGTTCCGCATCTTGACCGTTTAATCCACCTTCTAGAAATACATGTATGCCATGCCTCGTGCTTCCTGTCGTCCTTATACTGATGACTTCACATCGTACTGAATATTATTGTGAATTCGCTATAAACTTCCATGGTTTGTCTAGTTCAAATTGAATCACGCCGGAAGTTTTGATTGGTTGAATATGCTTGTCCTTTCTGCAAGAGCCAATCAAATCCACTAAAAAATGGATTAGCCAATAGCGTCGATTCGTGATTCGATTCAGCGGTGAGATTCGATTCGACGGGGTCTGGAAATTCTCGTGATCGTCGTTTCGAACGCCCCCAAACCAGGGACAATCTCAACTTGTGTTCCCAGGCGGTTCTTCGTCCAGTTAGCACGTCGAGATCGTCGTGTGTGCCATGTGTACGCTTTTGGTGGGTCAAAATATCCAATGAAAATGACCCATACGATTTGACTTTGACATTTGTTGACAGTGAGGACCTTTGAAATGGGTACTTCTTGGCTAGGATTCACGACACTGATACATGTAACCCATATGAACGCGTGCCCTAGGTAGGGTCACACCACCAGCGCCAAACTTATATGCATACAATCTTCTCAATACGAGCAAAGTTGTACTGACCGAGTTCTACCACATTTCACTGTAAACATATTGAGATACCTGAGCTACAGTATTACAATAAACACTAGCGACAGCTAAGGCACACATGACACCTCGAGCTAACATACACAAAACATCTTCGCGTTGCCTACCTCGCGTCACCTCTGCCATTTCTAGCCAATTTTACTCATTCATTGACTGGTCCTATCGCTAAGGTATGCACCGAGATGTGGGACCAGTCCTAAACATACTGGTACAGCACGTACGCTACATACTTCCCTACGTACGTACACCAGGTAACCAACAATTGGATGGTTTTCAAAGAATAAAAGAGGAGGAACATGATTGCTAGCTAACGAGACAACTGCATGAATATAAAACTTGAGCCATCTGGAGCCTTCCGACCCCTTTGGCCCAAGTCAAAGTGTATAAACTCCGGCCTCTCGGCCCGAGACCTGTCCCGTCATGTACAGAGGACGCTCCAACCGTCACAGGTCAGAGAACGGGGGGTGACGGCATTCCAGTAGTTACTCGATCCATCCGGTCTCTTCCCCGGCATGTCGTGTGGAAGGACCGATTGGTAGAGACCGGCTAAGAGGGATATTCGACGAGTTTCGTCCCGGACATATCACGGCGTAACCATAGGTGTTTACGCGCCTCTTGCTGCAATATGGGCACCTGATTGCTGTGATAGTGCGTGGAGTTGTTGGGAGGCAGTCAGAACACCGTGTTCTGTCATGAACATCACCACTGCCCTGAAGCATCAGGTTGTAGCATTGGCTGCAGCTAGTATGAGGTTTTTTATCTAGAGCCAGTTGTTCTCACTGGTGACTAAGCGAATTCCCTTTCCGTTTCACCCGCAACCACCCAGTATTCCCCCTGCCTTCTGAGCCATTCCACTGGTTTCATCACGTTACCAGAAGACATGCAAATAGGCAGCATGTATACATGCCAATTTTTAAAAGATCATGCATTTACAGTGGTCGCTGGCGTCGAGGGGGCAAATGTGAGTTTCTGAAGAAATATTTGATCATTTTTATTGAAATTTTTGTATGTGTGCTGAACTCACCGCCACAAAGAAAACCTTCTCGAGATGTCATACGTGGAAATGAATACTCTGTCAGTTATGATACTAAACGCACCTGAAATAGACCACTTTAGCCCCAAAATAAAGTATTCATTTTATTAGCATATGATACAAAGTGAAACCTCTGAAATTAATAACTTGCTCCAACGATTCGCGAAGCCGCCTTCCTGGACATGCCCTCCACCACCGCCATCAGTGACGACGACTACGACGAGATAGCCAGCTACATTCGTCAGGAGCGACCTAGAAGTTTAACAAAGGAAGAACGTCTTGACATACTGCGACTTCATGCCGAACTTCGCCGTGACGGTCAAATGCAAGTGTCTTCTACCATCGGCCGCCTGCTCGGTCGAAGCCAAAAGGTTGTAAAGTTGTGTTTGGTCTCAGTACTTACGATCAAAAAACGTTTTGGCTGTTCCACCCCCGTCCAACCAAGTACAACGTACCACACGCATCCCACATACACATGCTGTGACGTCTATTGTGCGTCAATTTATTCGAACACGGAGCGTTACTCGTGTCCGCACTGTTGCGAAGGATGTCATGGCGTTGTTGCTGGAAGCCAAGATCATTCACTACGATGTCAATTGCAAACCTGAGGCCGTCAACTGCCTTCGACGTGTCCAACAATTCCTCGTGAAGCTCGGATTCAAGCGGGGGAAGCGTCGGGGTCACGCTGCATATGCCATGTCAAGTGCCCATGCAACAGCTCGTGACGTGTATGTTCAACACATGATGCAATTGGCTCCTGCGACACCTGTGGTGTACTTAGATGAGAGCTACATTCATCATCACTACGCACGCCACCACGATTCCCTATACGACCCCACGGACAATGGCCCCACCAAAGAAATGCATAAGGGTCGCCGGTTCTGTTTTATTGCTGGTATCATGGCCGCTAGTCCCACTGAATCCGTTGTCGTTGGCCTAGACGTATTTCAAGGTAAAACAATTCAAGACCAAGTTCTCTATAAAAGTTGATATAATACCTCATACATGCAGACTCAGGTAAAATTCAGTTCCAGTACAATGTGTCAGAGATCTGGCAAACCGGTGTACATACACCACCGCTGTGCTTGCATCCCAACATCCTAGTGTTCTCATGTATGAAGTGAACATTTTGAAGTATCATTAGCATGCTGCATGAGGGACAGACTTTGTCGACATGCGAGATGATTGAGAGTTTTCGTTCATTTCCTGCATCTCCCAGAAATGCGCGCTGTTTCACTTTGACAGTGGTCGATAGTCTCGAGGGTGCCTTTGGCCATAACTTTTGCTGCAAAAACACAATCAAGAAAAGGTGAATACGACAAATGTAGCGTTCCGAAGACGCTAAACTACAAAACAATGTGATCTTGAAACCGCATACACCCTAAGATATCATTCTTCAAATTTTAAAAACCTGTCTAATTTCACCCTCATACCCAATACACTATGACACACTTATTGATAGCGTAGTAATTTTAATGCTATCAATTCATTCTTGATTTTACCATCTCCAGCGCCTTCCTCTGCGCACGCTCACACTTGGTAGCACTCCGCGTTCATCCAGTCGACCACTACTATATCCTCCATCAAGACCGCAGCGCATGAAGCGGTCCTCGCACTTCTGCGAGGACCGCCGATCTTGGCAGCCACGTTTATCGAAGAAACGTGCAACTTGAACGACCTACCTCGGACGTCTTCCGAGACGCTTGCCCTGCCGGAGATGAGCTTCCACTGGCTTGTGGAATCTCTCCGCGCCCATGATATCGCCACGATGGCGATGATTACTGTCGAAGGAGAGATGGATCTCTTTTCGACCTCGACCGTGGATGACTCGGTTCCCGCCGCTCCTTTGAAGTCCCAGACGTGGGGCTCCCTGCGTTCGAACCCTTACTACGACCTCTTCAAAGAGTTGAGGACGTCTTCCCCGACGAAGTGCCCCCCGACTACCTGCCGACAAGGGTTTCCAACAAGAGATCGGCCTCGTACCGGCGCTAAGTATTGCGTCACGCGGCAATGACCGCTGCCTCGCGAACAAGTCGACGCCATCGACGCCTTCTTCGCGGCCCGCAAGGTGGCGGGTCACGTCCGCGACAGCATTTCCCCTCACAATAGCCCGACCTTATGTGTGAAGAAGCCAGGCGGGAAATGACGTATAATCTACGCCTTTAACAAACTGAACGCCGCCACAATTCCGGCGCAGACGCCTATTCCACACAATGATGTTATCATCGACGGCATGGGTCGATCTACTTTAGTTGACATGTCAGTTGCGAAGCCATATCACATGTCACATTATTCAAAATGGCAGTGACCTCCAAATATTTATATTCAGATTCTGCAATAGATTATTCGATTCTACAAGGCATCATTGTATAAAGTTACGTGCTTAGACTTAACCTGTACAATAGCGCAACCCAAATTATAGATACAACCAGGAAATGTATTGCTAAAGTTCAACTGCTGCATAAACACTCGGAATAGATGGAATAGAGTGGGGATTCTTTAGCACTGAATAGATCATGATCATTTTTTCCCCAATACATATATTTATGATGCCATTTTCCAATGTTCCACGTACCTCACATCCGTATAAACATCCGGACATATCGGCTTGTGACCTTTCCTGCCGAGTACGAATTGGCATTACTGTACCGATTTAGGATCTGCTTCCACACTGTAGTGCGCTTGGCTCCCGCGACACCGGGGAAGAACGTGTCGATGGCGGACTCCATGGAATGTTCTTTGCGCCAGTTGATTATATGAAGCTTTTTCTCGTA